GGCAATAGACTACGCCCTGTAGACGTGGACGGTGGTGACAAACATGTCGTCTACAATGTATTAAAACATATGTTTAAAAGGATACCACGACGAGTGAAACCAAAACTAAAAGTAGGTGATACAGTTCGAATAGCCAGGGAGAAAGGGAGATTTAGCAAAGGCTACGAGACAAACTGGAGTAAAGAAGTGTTTTCGATACATCGAGTGAATGTGTTTACGCCACTACCTTTGTACACACTTACCGATCTCAATGGTGAAGAATTGAATGGACAGTTTTACGAAGAGGAAATACAAAAAGTTACATTACCCGACAATCACTTGTTTAAGATTGATAAAATAATAGAGACTAAAGGTCGAGGACACAGTAAGCGATACCTAGTGAAGTGGGAAGGTTACGGAGACGAGTTTAACTCTTGGGTAGCTGCGCACGATATACAGCATGTCTAGTAGTATCAGTCAATTTTTTATGACATTGCCCAGCAATAGTTCTATGAAATATTTCCCACAAAATACAGTGACCAGTTATACCACACACTTGTCCAAACACATCCAATTAGACGGCAAGTGGGAGTTGGCTTTGGTGGACATTCACTATCCTTGTTCATTTGTGGTGAATGGAAACAATGTTGATGACGAAACAATACGATTTCAGTATGATAGTTTACTAGCGAGATCGACTATCCGTGATACAGAACAGTTCGCTGTTAAAATTACAGGCGGATACTATAGGAATCTTGATGATCTATTGAATACAATAAACAAACATGAAGACATCCACGATTATATGGAATTTTCATACGACACGAGAATCAACAGAGTTAAACTCAGGATCATGAACGAAAACGTATCGAATGTGAGTCTGAGTGAAAAACTATCACAGCAGTTGGGTTTCGATTATGACGAGAAAAATATATTAAAACCCAATATTACCGAATTGATTGGTTCTAAAGCACCAAACCTCGCATTGGGTATTCCAGCGCACATTTATGTGTATTGCGACTTGATAGAGCCACAATTTATCGGCGACACTACAGCGCCATTATTGAATATAGTCAACATCAATATAGATACGTACAAGTACGGTTCGTACAATTCAGTGTCATTCACAAGTCCGCACTATGTACCCGTTATGAAATCCACATTTGAAACAGTGGAAATCGACTTGAGGGATCACACAGGGAAAAAACTGCCATTCATGTTTGGAACGTCGTACGTGAAACTTCATTTTAGGAGAGTGCAGCAGCAACAGCAGCAATAATGATAATCAATCTGAATGATCCCTATTTGGCATACTACCGACGGCAACAATTACAACAGACTGGCGGTGCTATCGATCGAGTATTTCACGGTGCACCATATCAGCGAGGACATGGAATCGGTAGTTTTCTGGGCGGTATGATTCGCACTATCGCGCCACTGATCAAGTCCGGAGCAAAATCGGTGGGACAAGAAGCGTTAAGATCCAGTGTTGGATTCCTAACCGATCTGGCAGGTGGTAAAATTACAGATCCAAAATCAGCCGCCAACTTACGACTTAGAGAGTTTACTGGATCGTTGAAACGTAAAGCTGACGAACAGATAGAACGTATTATGCTTAATGGCGGCGGAGGCGGCGACATTGGCGCGAGGAAACGACGCGTAACGCGTAAGAATAACGCGAAACGCGCAATGCGTGGCCGTGGCAGAAAGCCTGTTACACCACAGTCGTTGGCTAAACTTCTTAGGGTGCGGACGTCTACATCAAGAAGAAGAAGAAGAGTTGGAGGAGTGAAACACAAGAGACTAGTAGGGAGGATACGACGACGAGGAGGAGTAGAGCCAAGGAAGAAGGTGACTTTGCCGAAGAAACGTACTCGTCGCAGTAAAAATTTGAAGTCTATTGATATTTTTAGTTAGTTAAAGAAGGAGGAGAAAAAAAATGTCGTTCCTACATCAAAAATCATGTGAGTGTGTCAAAACCGAGCTGGATTTATTCTCCTTACCACCTACGCAGACGAGTATTGAAAGTGGCAAATGGGTCCAGTACAAACCAATATCCACATTGACCGATGATGCGCCAATAGAGTTTGTAGTTCCGGGTAATGGTGATGAATACACTGACCTTTCACAAACAATGATACAATTGACCGCGTCTATTGTTAAATCTAACGGAACTGCGGTCACTACTGACGAAGAGGCGAAAACAGTTGGGCCGGTCAATAACTGGTTACACTCACTATTCAGTCAAGTTGATATGTTTATGAATCAAAAACTTGTTACTCCCCAAAACAACACATACGCATATCGAGCGTATGTTGAAACGTTAATGAACTATGGATACGATGCTAGAAAATCACATCTAACATGCAGTCTTTGGTACACTGACGATGGAATTGACATGAACGATTGTGCGGAAGAAAATGAAGGACTCAAAGCGAGACGGGAACTAACTAATAAAAGCCGTGAGATTGATATGCTCGGACATTTGCATGTGGATATTTGCAATCAGAATAAGTTCATGCTAAATGGCGTAGAGTTGAGATTTAAATTTATTCGATCAAAAGATGCTTTCTCCATTATGGCCAGTGCTGGTGAATTCAAGGTACATATTGTCGATATTAGTCTCTGGATTCGAAGATGCAAAATAAGTCCCACCGCACTGTTGGCGCACAGTAAAACACTCCAGACTGGTACGGCAAAATATCCAATCACACGAGTGGAGCTGAAAACATTCACACTACCCTCTGGAATACGTAACAAGACTTTGGACAATATGTTTCTCGGCCAAGTGCCGAAACGCGTCATAGTGGGAATGGTTACGAACGCCGCATACAATGGAGATTTTAAAAAGAATCCCTACAACTTCGAACATTTTAAAACAAACTTCTTTTGTCTATATGTTGACGGAGAACAAGTTCCATCAAAACCGTTACAGCCCCACTTTGAAAAATCAAAGGATAAATATGTTATGGCATATCATTCGATGTTCTCCGGTTCTGGTGTACATTTTAGCGATGCCGGCACTGTTATCAGTAGGGAAGATTTTGGTCAAGGATACTGCCTGATGGCATTCGACCTAACACCAGATTTATCTGCAAGTGACACTACACATTGGAATCTGGTGCGTAACGGTAGTGTTCGAATGGAACTCGGATTCGACGACGCGCTTACCGAAACTGTCAACTGTTTGGTTTATGCCGAGTTTGACAATGTTATCGAGATTGATCGACAGCGCAATGTAATTGTGGACTTTGGCGGTTAATCGATCAGTCTTCAATAAACATTCGTTTGAGATGGACCGTTTACGCAGAGCATTCAAGAAATTGAATATATCATCACCCATCATTGTGGACATTCAATGTTTCAAGGACAATCAAAATGAATATACACAGAAGGAAGTTTGCGTCTTGGAAGCCGACACCGGCGTACTACTTATGCATCATATTGCTAAACCACCTTACGATCGATCAGAGTTATCAGATGAAAAACTGAGGGAAAGCTACTGGCTCACAAAACACTGCCACGGACTACGATGGGAGTTCGGTGATATTGCGTACTACGAACTTTTTAACAAATTGACTGATTGTATATCAAAAAGACCGACGGTTTATGTCAAGGGATTGGAAAAGAAAGAATATTTAAAGCGTCATCATGTGATGGACTTTGTTACTACCAATATAATCGATATCGGTGCAATTGGTTGCGAATCAATCACTTCAATCAATAATTTAATGTCAACAAACGTTTTACGATGTCGAAATCACAAGTCTACATACAGTCGATGTGCGCTCACCAACTGTGTCGCAATACGTGGTTGGTTGCATTTGACAACAAATTTGGACGAATGTCTGGATACCAGCGGAGATGCGAGATCCTACTACTGTTCTTGTTTTAGCACCTCTACCAGTACAACAAAAACAGCATCTACTGCTACTATTGGTTATGATACTGTAGAATGAACACGCTACAGATTGAAAAATATCTAGCCACACTTCCTGTGCGCAATGTTGGAGTCTACGCTGCTGACAGAATCCCACGACGCATCTCACCACACACTGCAATAATTGTAAACACTGATCCACACAATGAAGGTGGGACTCACTGGGTGGCTTTCTATTTGAATCGAGAGGGGATGCTTGAATATTTTGATAGTTACGGCCAACCGCCATACTTACCACTATATCAAACATTCCTGCGACACAACGCTCATCATTACCTGTACAATCCATACCGACTTCAAGGTGATACGTCTTCAGTCTGCGCCCACTACTGTTTGGTTTTCCTGTATTGCAGCACACACTTCAGTATGAAGATGATGGATTTTGTTCAACTCTTTGATGAACACACTACTGATCGTAATGATAGAATCGTCAAAAGACTCTTTACTCAAATGTATCACAAGACAAACTAATCACTGTACTGTTGTAAATTATATATATTTTTAAATATATATATTTTTTTTATTACCAATAAACTTTTTCCTTTTGTCAAACAATATTTTCAGTTGTTATACTTTATTACCTGTGTTCATCATCATTATTATCATATTTTTAGTTTAAAGCGCATAGACTCTGATTATTTAAATGTGAAAACAAAATGATTTTTCCCTTTATTATTATTAAAATATTTCTGTTCAGAGTCTATGAATGCTGATCAAAGTCTAATATTATACTATGAATGATAGGAAAATAATTACAATCAAAATTTGTGAAATAAATATATCTGTTTATTAACTAAAATACTATTTACAAATATATGCATACTTTTGAGGAGTCAGTGACTAGAAATATTTACACGTGACTTTGAAGTGGAAAAAATTAAAGAATTTATTTATCAAAACATCTTTGAATTGTATTCAAAATCTAATACTAATGAAGACTGTTCAATAAATAACTCTACCTAATATCACACTCATGCGGACCTTGGTCTACTAATCAATAATAATATATCAGTTATGATGGGGACAGAGGTTGTGGCGCAATTGGAGAGTATCGTATCCACTAAAGGGTCAGTGGCAGTAGTTAAGGTCCCTCAAGTATCTGTGGTACCCTTAATGGTGGTATTGCATAGTGTCCCCAAGGTAGCGTGTTGATACCATCTTCTGGCATTACGTATCGTTTGTCGTCAAACGGTGCCATTGAGCGCTTCTTCACCACAACAGTGTATAAAATGTGGTGACGGCTTTGAAAACGTTGATTGTCTGTACTTTTAGTAGTTTTATTGTACAGACAATTCAAATAATCTTCTATGGTGAGATCACGCTTCACTACTGCTCTATTTACCCCTTTTGCTCTCTTCACAGGCGGCGGTATACAGTTGGCACCATCTCCGTTGTCTCCTTCAGGCGCACACGTTAAGATGCTATACGTGAAACAATACAGCTTCGACATCAGACCAATGAACATTTTAATGGCCACACCGGCAGCTTCGTCCTTAAACTTCCCCAGAACTCTAGCGTTTCCTCCGTCGTAACAAATGTGGTTCCGGGGATAGTTACTGGTGTCAAAGTCGTCCAAATGTTCTAACATGTCGCGGTATACGTTCTTAGTACGTATTGAATAATGACAGCCATCGGTGTCCATGTAAATCATCGATATTCTATCGATTCCATACCTATCTACCATGTCATAGTGGAAACCATACATCCACCTCTTACTGTGGTCCAGAATGCACATCCCTGCGTAGACGGGTTTGCTCAGTACTACCCGCACTTTTGACATATTCAGTATGGCAAGGTTCTCATTTAACCAAATACGGTCATTGAAATTAGCTTTTGCTACATACTTTGTATATGTTTTGCGGGATGATACAATCTTTAAATCTTGATGTTTGCGCACATTCTGAAGACTCATACCGTAGACAGCGTTTACCATAAGTTTAAACATTTCTACCTCAAATTTATTTGCAGCACGCTGTCTAAGTTCGGTATTCATAGTCACGTACGGTTTCAACCATGCCGACTGTTTAAAACGAATCACTCTGTGGATTCGAGTTACACGTAATCCATTCTCTATAGCTTGTTGTAGGTAGCGATAGTGAATTACATATTCCCTCTTATCCATCAGTGTGGCCATTAGTTTCTTCGATTTTCCTGCTCCACTATTGATAATTTCCTCCAACGAGTATGGGAGTTGATTAATCGGTGCTTTGCATATCTCGGGACAGAATGGTAAATCCCTGTGTCGATCGTGCAGTGCTGGATCTCTGGGGTATTCTAGATCTACTTCCAGCACATATCCATATTCACCATCTGTTGGAATTCTTCCAATGTCCAAGTCGTCACATTCCTGACGTGATAACCACTCAAACTTGGAGTGAGGGAGCAGTTCCGACATTGCCCAGCCATAAAGATTGTTTGCGTCATAATACATTATAAATGTATCGTCATCTCTTTCATCGCAATATTCACTTGATGCTGCTGCGTTCTGACCGTCTCGGTCATTGCCAATTGTTTCCATTCTGGTAAACTTATTGTTGGCAACAACGTGTCTAGTAACGCATTGGGTCAGTCCACCTCGAATACCCTTCTCAAAAAACAGATACATATCAATATCTTGTAGGGTATCAAGGATAACATCTGTCTTGAACATCATTACGTCCCAAGCATATGATGGTAGTGTTAAATAACGCGCTGGGTCCAATCCGTAATGTGTTAGACACATCTCTCGGAATCCCTCGAACACATCCGCTAATAGCAATACGTCAGTTGCCAAATAGATATCAGCATACTGTCCGAGGGTCGTACAGTCAAATTTCTCCCATACTCGCTGCGCATGCTCGTAATCCGCATCACTCACTCCTTCTCCAAATACACACTTTGGTGGAAGGACATCTTCTTCGAGTACCTCCATCGATGAAATGTACTCATACGGAAATACACCTTTCCTCCTAAGCAGATCAAACTGTTCTTGATTGGGGTAGCGTGACTTTGTAATTTTTAATTTATCGGCCGGCAGGATTGATGCTAATGTCCCTAATGCTTTTGACATTAACCTATAGGAATCAACAAATTGTAGTTTGAGACCACCTTGCCGACCTGCTCCCGGATATTTAAATCGTTTGGAGAATGTGATATACTTTTCCTCCGTATTTGCGAGTACATTTATATTTCCTTTATCAACGGATAGCTCTCTGATGATAAAGTGAGCATCGTAATTGGATAAATTGTGGAGATAAATGTTGATAGTGTCCTGTTCCTTGTGGCGGATATTACAGGAACGGTGTGCTGCTCCTCTGTAAGTATAGGGAGGAGAGTGTTCGTGATCTCTAACACGGGGGTCGAGTATTGTGAATTCTCGCTTGCATATGTAGCATACTGTTTGCTCGCGGAAAGAATCCTCTTCCACCTGTGTTAACCGTGGAGGGTCATTCGGCAGACGTTGCCCATACACTATATCGCCAATCTTCTGTACGTCATCCCGTATCGATTTGATAAAGTGCTGGGCGGCGTCTTCACCTCTGTACAGACGCAATTTGGAGAACGTCAAAGCTGTATGGTCATTGTCATCAGTGTCACCATCACTTACATTTCTATTATCATCTCGAATGTAATAGGCGTATGCATATGGTACATGGACATTTCTGGCATTGAGCATTTCACCAGGTCGGTGTCGACGTGCTCCTCTTGCTAATGCGGGATCCCATACTGGCGGTGGAACAGTTGGCGGAGGATCGATTGTTTGTTCAGGCTCAAGAGGTACGAGTGCGCATTCAAAGTCAGCGTATATGGTGAATCGACTTCGTTGAGTGCGTTCAAAATTTTTAAAATGTATTGTTTTGTCTTCCGCAAGATCAGTTCTTAACGGAGCATTGTTAAAACAATATCGCTGATGCTCCAAAAGACGTTCCTCTCCTCTAAGACCTAACTTCGTTGGCTGGTTATCGAAGTGTGCAAAACAGCGCTTACATATGTAAAGGCGATGTCCTCTTAGAGTCAGCTGGGATGAAACCAATCTCGTAAAGCTCTTGATCCAAACGTAGTGGGTGGTGACATCATTTGTTATAAGGAGTAGGTCAAAGTGATTGACCAACTCACGATCTGCGACACGAAGAGGGTAGACAATGTGTTTGTCCGGGTCCATGAAATGATTCTTTTTCTTCTTATCCAGACCATACACATTAACACTAACACCTGGATTATTGCGCTCAAACGTGCGGATTTGGTTAAGGCTTACAGGGAAAATTAAGTCATTAAAGTTTAAATTTGCTCTTTCTCTAATTTCTGCTGTGAACATGTTAGGTGTTAGTTGATGTTAATGATTATCAAAATATTTGGAAAGTATTGAATATTCAAAACAACGTTCATCCGCATCGTTTAGCACATTAACCGTTGCTTTTTTAATGGTGATATCATGCGGCAGTTGAATGAAAGAACTGCCTTTGAGCGGGCTATAGACATTTACACGGATTTGCATGTCCAAAACCCTGATAAAGCTCCAGCCAGATCCTTTCATTTCACATGTTTCCTTTTCTAGTAATACATTTTGAATAAACTCTTGCACTAATTCGTCAATGTGAGACGATTGAAAAAAAGGTACATTTTTAGTTTTGAAAGCTCGCCTGCATGTATCACCATGAACATTTACAAATTCACATTCTACAAATATATTACACTTAATGGCATGAGTGTGATTTAATATAGTCCGCATGAGTGTGATTACCTTATCTCGAATGTCATTGAGGAACTCCAGCAGTGATACGGTGTTTTCGGCAGGCTCGGATAAACAATAGGTTTTAAGCCGACCTTTGAACGCCGTCTCAATTTCCTCGAACCCTTGTGGAGCCAAATTGTCAGGAATCTCGACCTGGTCATTAGTATCATCCTCGTCACTAGTCGACTGAGGTGATGACAGGTTGATGGATGGTGAGGCGGGTGAGGGCTGATTGAGTGCTGTCTCAGATCTATGAATTCTGCAGCTGAAGCGGGCATGTGTTCGTAAGATATTCTTCCTGGAGAATGTTTTCCCGCAACCGTCACATGTGTAGCCTATATCAAACAAACCAACAAAAAATTAATCCTAACAATTCGGTGTGAGTAGTTCGTAAACATAAACAAGATCATAGAAGTTTATATCAATTTATTTAATTGCATATAGTATTTTTACGTTATATAGTTGTTGTTATTTCAGCGATTGGATGTCTATTGTTTGTAATAAAATTATTTTCGTAAATTATAAAATATCTATTTTTGGTATTGTTTTGACGATTAAACCCAATTAACCACAACCGAGTATGACTCGGCCCCGCTGACGTTTCTAGTAAGCAGAAAAGAACAAGTACACTAAAACCTAATGAAAAAAATATTTTTACTTTAAACAAAAGAGTGTAATGATAAGGAATATACTATATACTATATACTATATTGTTTTGTTATTGTTCAAGGAAAGTGACAAAAGATAAATATATATTTCATATTTTTACTGTGAAATAGTAAAACGTATTGGTTTTGAAATAAAATGAAATATGATATATTGATTTGTTATAGTATGCCTACAAGGAAAGTGACAAAAGATAAATATATATTTCATATTTTTACTGTGAAATAATTGGTATTGAAATAAAATGAATGAATAAAGCATATAATTACTACTAGTATTTTAACAATAGAGTTCAAAGATAATTCAATACTCTATTGCTATCATACTAAAGGTTATGTATCGAATTATATTTAATTAAAACGATTGTACAGTTTATTGGTGATTATATTATTTAAAACGTACCTATAAGGTGAGGTACAGTGGGTTGTGCTATCATCGGACAGTCTGGGGCAGTCGATGGTCCTGGTCTTGGAATGTAGTCTGGGGCAGTCGATGGTCCAGGTCTTGGGATGAAGTCGGGAGCGCTGGATGATGGTACAAGCCGATTACTTGTGGTAGTAATAGCAATGTTCTGTCTAAATGCGGGGTTCTCCGGTTGTTGTGGCTGTTGGCGATGTGTGCTTAGCATGTGACGTTTTAAGTCATCGTTGCGCCTAAATGTTGTCCCGCAGGTAGAGCAGGCTTCAGTTGTACCACCATGAGTGACTCTAGTATGTCGCATCAAATTGTCCTTCCGCGTAAATGCCTTGTCGCAGAGGGCACAAGTGAAACTACGCCGTACGGTGTTATTATTCATGATCTGAAAACATAAATAAATACTTTTAATATACATACTAAAAACCTTTGATGCAATATTTTAATGTTTTTTTCAACCAAGAGAAATATTTTTAATTTCATACATTTTAGTTAATTGATCTTATTAGTTTTCTACGTTCACTATTTGCTACGATCAGAGCACTTCTGTTTAGTCAATTTCTTTTTGTAATATTGTTGATTTATAGTACTATTACAACTATTTATATTAATTAAAATCTAAACTTATTAATCCAAGTATGATATTAAGTTCACGATAGATTGGATTTATTTTCGTAATATTGTTACTTTATAGTATTACTACCATTATATATATATATATATATATATATATATATATATATATAAATTAAATCCAAACTTTTTAATCCAAGTGTGATATTAAGTTATATATTTATCTCTTTTTCTTCCTAGTAAATTTAATTACCTGGAGTAATTCTAGTCACTTCTTTTTTACATTTGTTTAAATATGAAATACATAACAATAAATATATAGTACTGTATACATAATGATATGTACTTACATTTTATGATTGAGAGGTTAATCCAAAATCTCGATGCTGCTATGCACCTATCGACTGTAGAAGTGGGTTGGTGATTAGTCCGTCCGCACTACACGAGTAATGGAAGCAGAATGATGTTTTAATATAGGGCTGGGATTTGTTATTTGGAAGGAAGGGGATGAGAGGGGGGTTGATGGGGATGAGGGGGAGGGGATGAGAGCGGAGATCTCTCATCTTGGCGTCATTTCTCGTCCTACACTCCAGCAAACATCACGATGTCCTTTGGAAGTGATATTAATGATGAACAGTTAATCGATGCTTCTATTTCGGCGGAGGCTGAAGACAATGTCATCAATGATATTGGTGAGATGACTCTAATCGAAGCCTGCATCGAGGTTGAAGTACGATGGGAACAATCCTTAATGAAGACAATGAGTATATCACAGTTGATGTCTGCGATGACTGATGTGGCCTTTGAATGGGAATTACGGACATATTGCGACACTCACACGCAGGACACGGTAAGGATAGCGTTGCAGCGATATGTAAACCTGGACGCGGAGATAAGAAGCCGAGGACTCCAATAGCTTTAGTATTAGTAGGATTAAGTTAGATATAATATATTAAATGCTTGACTTCCTGGTTCCTCAATAATGTAAATTAATAAAAAATAAAAAAAAATAAAAAAAAATAAAAAACAAACAAACAAACAAACTAATAATTAGAACTATTCCATACTGTCTCAGCTTAGCTAAGACAGTGATGTAATAGTGTCTGCGATGAACCCTCTCTGTTGAGTCCAACGCACCCACGTGTCTAGACGTCATAAATCATATTGAAACATGTGGTGAGGGTGGCGAAGGGAGAGCTTGTCGAGGCTCCCTTTCTATCTTTGTGAGAAGATCACAACACTGGAGGGGATGAGTACCCCCCGCCTGGGATTAGTGTGTGGGAAGCAACATCACGATGATTTCTCAAGATGTAAAGAATAATTACACTTAAAAAATCAAGGAAGGGGTAGGAGTACCCTCTGCCACCTACAACATGTGTATTAATTGGTAATTACACATTATCGAAAAAAATAATTTTAATTACACATTATCGAAAAAAATAATTTTAATTATATATAAAAATTTTAATAACTCATAAAAAAAAAAAAACTAATTGTAAATACTCATTACTCATAAAAAAAAAACTAATTGTAAATACTCATTACTCATAAAAAAAAAAACTAATTGTAAATACTCATTACAAAAAAAAACTAATTGTAAATACTCATTACAAAAAAAAAAAAAAAACTCATTACAAAAAAAAAAAAAACTAATTGTAATTACTCATTGTAATTACTAATTACCGGAGGGGAGGCATGTGTGAACTCGGCTATTACCAGCTACTAACAATAACAAATGCCACCTCGGAAGGAAGAGGTGTCGTGTAGAATGTCATTGTCATTCGAATGATTAATCTTATTAGCTGCGGCAGACTCAGACACCCGCCCCACGTGTACATGACACCACTGCTGGTGTATATCGACCACTAGGTGTCACCAGTTAGCGTGTGTGGTGTCGTAATGAGCGGCTGCCGTTACCTCTTTGTCAACATTCAACATTCCCAGACACCCTTCGAGTTATCAAAACCAGCCTTTGTTTAAGGTTTTCCTTACAACAGATAAGGTGCCCCAGTGTTTAGCTTAGGAATCAAGTAGTGATAAGATTGTTTTTAGAGACATGTGTGCAGCAACTTGAATGAGTTAAAGATGAGAAGTGTTGTGGAATTAATGACTGAATGAATGCCTATACCGGATGGAAATACAAGGTCTTTGAAAAAGGATTAAGCTAAACATTGCACATCCTTGTAGATGCTGTTACCAGTTTTAGATTGAATGAGGTAAGTTGAATTGCCTCCGATAGAGTGGGCTGATAAGGCTTATGTAAATTGCTGATTCCTGTTGTTTATGCCTTTTTAATGAAGTCAAACTGAAAGAGCATCTTGATAAGGGTAGCATCTTCTTATGTCCAACCGTCACAGCAACAAACATTGAGGGAGAAAATACTATTTAAATCAGTTGTTTTGATTAACTCATCCAACTAAGTAATTTTTAATAAGAAAGCAGAGTACAATTGGGTCTTATAGAGGTCATCGTCTGTATCCAGAAGTATTTATGAAGGATCATACCACCAGAAATGCACACGTTCTGCATTTACTATGCACTGTGGAGTAGCCTTATACCTTCGTTTAAGCACTCAGGATGTTTTAATAAGTTGGCCTAATATTTTAATATTTTTGTGTCTACGCCAGTGGCATTTTGAATTAATAGATTGTAAACGGTTAAAATAAAGCGATCTTTATCCTTCGAATCTTTGTGAATCTACCTAGGATCAAATTCACCATCCCTCTCGTACCAAATTGAAGGCTATATTTGGTCTAGTATCTGTGATTTTTAACACAGATTATGAAAGGGTTGAAGCCTGTAATAGTGATGTTCGTACAGTGTAGAGCTTGCCTCGTTACGGATTGACGCAAACAGGATGTTTTATAAATAGACAGCAGTGAGCGGTGTCTGCGGGCGGCACTTGTCTCAATGACGGCTTGTTCATCTCATCTGCAGACTGCAGACTGCAGGGGGCAGGGATGTGGGGCAGAGCACTAGAGTTGCAGAGATCAGATCATCACACTGGACGAGGAAAATCTCTTGTTCGCTTACTGTGAAAACCTCGTTTAGAAGTTTTTAGCTTCGGTTGTAAGTCTTGAAATCGTCTATGTCCAAGGATTAAATTATGAATACCTGCGGTGCAGATTTGTGGAGTTAATCACCATGGTCTGGAGAAATAATCGCCCGCCATCTATGAACAACATCGCAGAGTTTTGGCTTTTGAAATGTCCTTTGACTTCACCCTAGGTTTTATAGACAATCGACAAATATTTTGAGTATTGTTAGTCTATGGTAGAGTATTATCATTCCAGTCATATTATAAGTTCGAACAATTGTGTTGGCCTCTTTAATTTGGCATCGGCTTAAAATGTGTATTTAGACGTTGTAGGTCTCCATTATGTTTAACATTGGGAGGTTTTAGGATATCCCAAAAGGTTTTTAAATGGTACTTAAAAGAGTTGGTTAGTGTAAAGTCGTAAAGGATGGCTAGTTCATGGTACAGTTATTTGAGGAAATGGATGGGATGGCGGGACGGTTTGTTTTTTAGTAAATGTTTAAATGTAATTATTTATATCTTCTTCACTCAGTCTATGCGTTGATATGAGTGTATGTACGCCGAATCCTCTGTTCCTGGCGACGATAATCAAGATTCTGTTGACTCTATTGGTCCTGTATGTATTGGTATTGGCGGGGAGGAGGGTTGTCGCGTCTGCATCGTCAAGCGGTGTGATGAATAATAACGAGTTTGCTCATTCACTTAGACAACATTTGCATAAACGATTTGTCTTCTGTTGTCTCCTTGTGTAGGCAACCGCTCACAACATTGGGGCTTGTCTGTGTCTTAAGCGTTTTGTGAGACAATTTTAACACTTAAAACCCGCTGTTTGAAAATCCAACAACATGTAAGGAATGTTGGGTTTAAAGATGCGTCAGTCCAGTAACTGTTGGCGGTCGGTTGTATGCGCGTGGGACTCAGGAATGTCCAAGTGACACTAAACAACTCTTTTTGTCTCCCAAGTGATGTGATGCACTTCGTCACTTGGTACAGTCTTGTGTTTGTGTGTGGAAGTGGCAACCATCAACAGCGTGTGTATGTTTGTGTAAAATTCGGGGTGTAAAGTAAGTACACAATAGTTATTGTGGTATTTTTTTAATTTACAAGAATTTCGTTATTACCCCGTGCGTAATAAACATAGGATATTGAGAGGGCCCCTTTTATACTACAGTACTGTACATACTACCATATTAGTTCGAAAACAGAGAATGCCAGGCCAAGAAAATGCGCTGTGTGAATTTGTATTGAAATAATATTTTGCATAAAAATAGATATTTATATTTATGAAAATGAATGAATGTCTGTTTGACTGTCCTTTGTGTTGCCAAACCATTTATCCGATCGCCATGAAAATTTGGGAAGTTATATGTGTCCGTCCAAATACGAATAACAAAATATTTAGGTATTTTATGGATTTATTAATACTAAAACTTTACTTATACAGTTTCAATAATGCTCACGCGAATCCATTTGTCAGTTACCCCTACATTATTATAGCGTCTTAAAAATTTTATGTTTGGTTGTGTCTTTGCTCTCTCTTTTTGGTTGTGTATGTTTACTATCATAGAAATTGATTATATCAACAAATATTTGCTAACACAAATCAAAATAAATTACACAAAAAACTTAGCCTTAATACTCTTAGCTTTAAGAGTTTTGTCATCGAATATAGACCTAATTGGTTAAAAATGTTAATTTAATTTTTAGTAGATTTTTTTACTTACCCTATAACACCTTTTGAAATAAACAAAAAACATATTTTTATCGCTTCCCTAACCTATGCTTGTACTGACAGATTTGTAATACATTTTCGTTTAAATTCTAGCCGCCCAATCTTAGTGTGTCGATACCCAACACATTTCCTAGATAATAAGGAAGGCTTGAACCTCTTTCCGGCGGTTTTGGTCAAGGGCCATGAGTGTGTATAAAGCGTTGTATATCCCGTTAACTATTGTATTGTCTCTTGATGCACATGAGCCGAATACGACCGCGATATGCTGGCTGAGGTCCAGACCCATCCTCGGTCGTCGCGTTGGCTGGCACAAGTGAACGTGTTGATGAATGGGATTGCCGATGATGCTCGAGTTGTTGTGAACAAGGATTTCGGTGACGGTGAGTCACAGTTGTTTTTGGATTTGTCACGAAAACTGTGCCATTCAAGTACTCGCCTGTTGAATAGTGTGTTATTGGTTTAGAGCAATAGTTGATTTGAATACTTTATTGTTAATAAGTAGCATTTTTGTTGCAGTGTTGCTGTTTTTGAAACTTAAGTTTATCCTAGAATGAAGAAAATTTAACTTAGATTGTACATTTACGCCCAATACGACAGAAAACATACTACCTATGTAGAGTCATGACATATGACTGGTTGCGTCGATGATTAGCCTGCTGGAGGTTTAATGTTAGGAGTGGTGTACACAATTGTTTGTATTATTAATCTTTTAAATCTTCCAATGATAAACAAATTAACTTATCAACATTTACTAAGATGCACCTTCCAATATTCATAGGCAAGCAGTCGCAATTGAATTTATTCTCCTCGATGATAACATGGAAGACAATACCGGCTATTGGCATTTTTAACATATCTTGAAATTACTGTTAATAACTGTTTTCTTGAATAAAAATGGGACGCAGTACTAAATATTGTCTCTTTTGACTGATTTAAACATTTTTAAATGTTGATGGGAAAGTTAACAAAGCTATTTTCTGGGTAAAAACCCTTCCAATAATCTTCTAACTTGTCTATCATGCAAATAAATATTGTTAACGTGTTTGATGTATGTCTTGACAAAATCAGAGCATTTCTACGACAGATTTCGCCAATTTGGTCACAGTACTTTCATATTGTAAAACAATTCAACGAACATGGTGTTTTGTCCTTCTGAAGCCTAAGTCTATTCCCCTTTGGGGCAATTCGCTCAAATAATGAAGGAATTAAATATTCATACAACCTGCCTGATGAAGAATCATCGGACTGTACCACCCAACTCCAATCTAAATGAGTGGTGTTTAACACACGCTATTTGTTGCGATCACATGTCTAGTTCTGGCCGGCCTGTAGGTCGATGTTCCACGTGTTACACGATGTAAGGAGGTCCTGGCCAGGTCGTGTTTGTTATGCTACAGGCTACACGGCCTCTTGGCTCGTATGATGCCTCGTACCGCTTGTAGTATCGCCTGTCCAATGTCCACTACCCATTGTCGCTCTGTCATGGTCAGTCTTCACCAAAGCCGCTATACACTCAGGCTAATGTAGTTTTCATACGGTCGTGACATTTTAAATGCGTTATTGCTAGATTAGCGTGACTTATTTCGTGCTTAACACGTAATTTAAGGGTGTGATCAAATTGTATTACAGATTGATGTGAAGTTCTATATTATTGAGGTAAGGGGACATTATTTTCGTGATCTGTTTATTTGCTTTTCATTTTAAGTTCAGTAGTTTAAACACATAACTACAGTAGTTAGATTTGATGTCTTTTATAGAAATTGAAGATAGTTGAATGACCTTCTGACATAGTGTTACTGGCAAATTTATATTTTCTCCTTAACTTTTAACACTATAATAGTATTTTCTATTCATCTTAAAGTTCTAGTGTATATTTACAACAAGTCCTTTTGTTTTTAATTAGTTGTCAATCTGAAATTGAGAGCAGCAGCAGCGCTATTGTTGGTTCAACTTAATTACCACAACTTCAATTCTACAATTTTAACTCAGCTTTAGAATAAGAACGTATATTGGTAGTCAAAAACTGCAATAATAGTTTTTTTAGCCACTGTCAATCAGATGCTTGCTATAAAGAAAATCTCTATCCCTAAAGTCCGTAAAGTAATGGCGACTATTGTTCTGAAGTCTCCATCCATCGTCTATTATGTTACCGTTTAAGTTTATTACATAACGATTTTGGTGATGCCACGTGATCTAGAGTATTGGTCGGATAAATGGATTTAATTTAGTTGGAAGCGTTAACATATATTCAGGTAGGGATATTTTGGTAATGTGTGACCCAAGGATGGTTGCCTTGGTCTGTGTTGTGTACTGGATGTTCAGGATGAGGATGTCGTGTGTAGAAGTATCTGTTGGGGAGATGTTGGTACTATGTGACCCAAGAATGGTTGCCTTGGTCTGTGGTGTGTCCTGGATGTTCAGGATGAGTATGTCGTGTGTAGAGGTATCTGTTGGGGAGATGTTGGTACTATGTGACCCAAGAATGGTTGCCTTGGTCTGTGCTGTGTCCTGGATGTTCAGGATGAGGATGTCGTGTGTAGAGGTATCTGTTGGGGAGATGTTGGTACTATGTGACCCAAGGATGGTTGCCTTGGTCTGTGTTGTGTCCTGGATGTTCAGGATGAGTATGTCGTGTGTAGAGGTATCTGTTGGGGAGATGTTGGTACTATGTGACCCAAGGATGGTTGCCTTGGTCTGTGGTGTGTCCTGGATGTTCAGGATGAGGATGTCGTGTGTAGAGGTATCTGTTGGGGAGATGTTGGTACTGTGTGACCCAAGGATGGTTGCCTTGGTCTGTGTCGTGTCCTGGATGTTCAGGATGAGTATGTCGTGTGTAGAGGTATCTGTTGGGGAGATGTTGGTACTATGTGACCCAAGGATGGTTGCCTTGGTCTGTGGTGTGTCCTGGATGTTCAGGATGAGTATGTCGTGTGTAGAGGTATCTGTTGGGGAGATGTTGGTACTGTGTGACCCAAGGATGGTTGCCTTGGTCTGTGTTGTGTCCTGGATGTTCAGGATGAGTATGTCGTGTGTAGAGGTATCTGTTGGGGAGATGTTGGTACTATGTGACCCAAGGATGGTTGCCTTGGTCTGTGGTGTGTCCTGGATGTTCAGGATGAGTATGTCGTGTGTAGAGGTATCTGTTGGGGAGATGTTGGTACTATGTGACCCAAGGATGGTTGCCTTGGTCTGTGTTGTGTCCTGGATGTTCAGGATGAGTATGTCGTGTGTAGAGGTATCTGTTGGGGAGATGTTGGTACTATGTGACCCAAGGATGGTTGCCTTGGTCTGTGTTGTGTCCTGGATGTTCAGGATGAGTATGTCGTGTGTAGAGGTATCTGTTGGGGAGAAGTTGGTACTATGTGACCCAAGGATGGTTGCCTTGGTCTGTGTTGTGTCCTGGATGTTCAGGATGAGGATGTCGTGTGTAGAGGTGGGAACAACACGCGATCACGCATTAGTGTTGCGCAACACCGCGATGTTTGACCAAGGTCTGTATTCATTGGTTTGACATTGACACGAACGTTCATCTCTTATTTAGCGAGCCAGGGCCACCACTTCATAATACACCACTTAGCATAACTGTATCAGTATTCCGGCAAATTTTATAATGTTGTTTCAACTTCAGTTAGGGGAATATTTACAACACTTCGCAATAAAAAGCAAACTTGTATGAAAGTACAGAACTAAGAAATACTCGTATTGCGTTATGAATCTATGTGAACGGTTATATTGGAAATATATTGAAAGTAGAGCTGCGTGGTAGGTAATCCCAAAGTGCTTATTTATTCAAGATCGCACGCAGAATTTTTACCAAGGACATCTCGTTACAGAGGTCGAAGAATAGACAATCCTCAGATACTCCGTCAACAAATTTATTACAGTTCATTTTGAAATTGGGTTATTATACGTCGGAATCTTTTTCAAAATAGTGTGCAATATACTGTACTCATTTGTGTCTACAATATTCATGTAGATTTGAAACTTAAAACACCTTGTTGCTTAATTTGTCACAAACATAAAAATACCACTATTCGTTTAAAGCAAATCATTAGAAAATACCTACATGTAAGACGCCGATACACCAGAGTGCGTTATAAAGTGATATGAGCGGGTGAGTGTAGATGAGATGGCGACTTTGAGTAATTAGACGATCTGTCGTCCGACGCTGTGGAATTAGTGAATGTCAATCTATCGGTCATGATAGCGATAGCCCTGATAGTACGGAAGGTTCGGTACATTGTGTATGTATGGACGGATGTTGTCTGGGGTGGGTGGCACCGGAACACGACGCCACTGTCACTAAACTGTCTGATACAATACAATGACCACAGCAGCAGTTGACGGTGTGTGACATCGCCGATGTCCTGGACACGGGATGGGTAGAAATGAAATGAAATGCTTTATTTTCCATTAGGCATAAAATACAATAGGCATCGTGAAAACAATAAAAATATACAAATTTCATAGGACTTAAAACTAAACTGCAAAAATTACACAGCAAACAAAACCAAAAGCAAACCATTCATGAAACTAATTGCAAAACAAAACAATCCGTTACTTATATTGGAAAAACTCTCTCACTGTCTCCTTTGGAATGTCGAAGAAATCACTGGTCTCATAAAGTGAGAAAGCCAATAAAAGTGCCCGGAGATTGTTTTTGAATTTTCTGTTGGTTTGGTTCCAAGTTGTACATGAAATGTGGTTAAGAAGCCTTATGCTTAACTGGCTAGAATTTCTTTTTGTTTTACTTAACCTAACAAATGGTACATCAATATTGTTCTTATTTCTGGTATTGTACATATGTTGATCACCCCTACGTCTGATTGACTGGAGATCATTTTTTACTTGCACAACTGAAACAAAAACATACAAACTACAAACGGTCATGATTCCCTCATTTACAAAGAGAGGTCTGCAAGGGGCATCATACTCATCATTTGATACGATTCTTACTGCTCTTTTTGTATTAGCAATACATAATTTATTTCAGCAGACCCACCCCAGAGTCTGAGCCCATACAAAAGAACTCCTTGAAAAAAATCTACATAGGCTTTTTATAACAGTTTTTACTCAGACAACTTTTTAGACTTTTCAAAAGGAAGATAACTCTGGTGAAATGCTGTTAATCAGCTGTTTTGGAGAAAGTACGACTGTAAACTCATAACGTGAACTGATTAGATCGAATGTGAATTTGTTGATGTTCTTGTGGAAACCTGAATATGGTTGATTGCGATGGAAACCAATCCATGAAATAATTCTTTCAAGGTTACAATGTAAATAAATAGCGTACCTTCGGAAGCTCAGGGAGCAGATCTCTCGGTCGATATTGAAACAAAAATGTGGAAGAATATAGTAACTGGATACTTAAATTATCTTTATACTAGAAAAAAATCTAATTTGGTCCTATGGTAGTGGATAGGCAAGCAGGCTGACAGGCATGTAGCTTGTTTAATAAGATTACAACTGTGATAACAAACAGTTGTTAACTGATCTGTTCATATTTTAGAACCACTATTGGAAATTAAAATTCCAAAATATTTTGTAGATAAAAACGTGACAATCAATAGGCCTATACTTTCGTAAACTTTACAATTATATAGCTTGTTTGATATACAATTATATACATTTGAAAATGTTATCGCTCTGCAATCGAAACATGAAGTTAAACAGTATTTCATCCGCCACATATAATAATTAAACCATATTGAATTTTTATGATTTTGAAACATCAACAATCAAAACACAGCCTTTAGAGAAAGATATTAGAATTATTCAGTTATGAATGAATGAGTATACAGGGTGTTTTTTTAAAAACTTGCATCTTTATTTATGTAAAAACCGCAATAGATAGAAATATGCAGTTTGCGGGAATCATCTATTGACGTAGGGGGACCAATTGTTTTGAATTCAACGTTACATTCACATTCCCCCCCTTTCCCCCCCTGCCCACAACTTAATTTTTTTAAATAGCAAGGTACCCCTTGTGACATATCAAATAAAAGAGCATGAAAAAAGAAAATGTTTGATGAAAAAAAATTGAAAATCGGTTCATAAACTTGTGAGATATTCCCCCCTTACCCCCCGGAACTTAATTTTTTTTTAATAACAAAGTACCCCTTGTGACATATCAAATGAAAGAGCATAAAAAAAGAAAAATTTTGGTGAAATTTATTTTTTATTTGATATGTCACAAGGGCGGGTACCTTGCTATTAAAAAACAAGTTATGGGTAGGGGAAAAGGGGGGTGATTATCTCACAAATCATGAGCCGATTTTAAATTTTTTTTTCACCAAAAATTTTCTTTTTTCATGCTCTTTCATTTGATATGTCACAAGGGGTACTTTGCTATTAAAAAAAAATAAGTTCCGGGGGGGTCGAGGGGGGGAATATCTCACAAATTTATGAATCGATTTTCAATTTTTTTTCATCAAACATTTTCTTTTTTTATGCTCTTTTATTTGATATGTCACAAGGGGTACCTTGCTATTTAAAAAAATTAAGTTGGGGACAGGGGGGGAAAGGGGGGAATGTGAAAGTAACGTTGAATTCAAAACAATTGGTCCCCCTACGTCAATAGATGATTCCCGCAAACTGCATATTTCTATCTATTGCGGTTTTTACATAAATAAAGATGCAAGTTTTTAAAAAAAACACCCTGCATATCTGTAGCACCTAACCTGACGCACAGCGATGTACCTCATTAATTACTGATTAAGTTTAGCTGTAGTGGACCGCCCTGAAAGCTATGATCGTTGTTCAGGTGGTTCGTTTCACAGTTCACTGCTTGCGCATGGACGAGAACGCTATACATTACGGAAGTGACCAACCCATTGTTGTGCGGTTATTTTTGTTGCAACGCTTAACTGTTTCAGTGGGAGTTATTAAAATTAACTTGTTGATGGTTCTAGAGATGTTTTGTTTTGTTTCATTCTTTGAAGTAGACATCCCATGACCTGCTGTTGCCAGTTTTAATTTAATTATAATTTAATTTAATGAGCAGCTTAGTGTCCGATACTTGGACAGTTACTGTTTTGTTGCCTAATAGATATTCAAATTGTTCGGAAAGTTTTGTCGTAAATAGCTTGTGAATACGACAGATATTTGTGCTTGACAGTACACCCTGTTTGCCCCATACTGCGCTTATTTTCATTCTGAAATTGACAATAATATTAACATGGAATGTCTACTCTAGGTAGTCAAATCGTCAGTTTAAGTACAATAAAAAGATCCTTTAGTATTTTCAATTGTTTCAGATCAGTTACCTTAAAATTTATCTTGGCGTTTGAAATTACAAAAAAAACCTGTTGCAAACTTGCTAAATTAATTCATTGCATGGATGAAGAAATATAAGGAGTAAGATGATAAAGTTGTGTTTAATTAGTCTATAATTTATGCGAGGTTGTCATTCTGTATTGTTGCCTACCTAAGTGTGGCTGTTAGGTGGTTTGTTTTTTTAATTCAAATCCGAGTACAACTTGTGTACCACTTCATATTTATATAATATATAATACAGAGGAATGAAAAGAAATAACGAACGTTTAATCGAGTATATGGTGGCCGAATGGTGGTGCCTTGGAGATTGGATAATCTCTAGTCTCGATACTCGATACACATAGAGAGGTTTATAATAACACTTGGTGCATTATCTTGTTTGTTCTCTCAGGATCATTTACCATCTCCCATGACTCATGACCCGTAACTAACAGCTGACCTTCGGATGCATTTCAACCTCAAACCGCTCGGCTGATGTTTGATTGTAGATTGCCTTATAATGTCTATATCATGAGATCAAGGTAGTGTAATGTATAACCGCAGGATCAACCTAGATGATTCTCTCAAAAAAATAAACAAGACAAAAGGAAAAAAAATAAAACGGTAATACAGACCTGTAAAGTGAAGTTGCATTCATTCAAGTTTGCAATTGGTGACGTAGCGGCGCTATCTCGGCGCATGCGCAGACAATGGTGGCTCAATTGCGCCTTTTGTCCCCCTCTCATTGGTACATTCAGCTGGTCTTGCTCTAGTTAAAAACGGACCTTGATGGTAAAGTGCATAGAATAAATAGTTGACGTTGGTACTTCAACGGTATAACATTTATTTTGTTGTTTTGACAGTTTGTTTTAGGCATATAATCAGTGATTTTAAATTTATTTCTGTCTATGGTGTATATATAAGACTCTGTATCTTTTTATTTTCTACGAATAAACTTTCCGAAAGGTTTTTTATAGAATACAATTTTAATTACGTTTTCACTGATTTTTGTATAATATTCCAAATATGATTTCAATAAGTCCCAAATAGATTTATCGGTTCGTAGATAATTTGTTTTCGTACTTCATAACGTTACGTTTTCAGTAACACTTATTATTTATCACCAAACAATTTAAAGAATTGTTCAAAGTTAGTTTTTTAACTACTATATAAAAAAATAGAAGTTGTACGTCTTCTGTTTTTTGTTGTTGTTAAAAATCTGTTCTTTTCTTTTGGGATTTAAGGGGAGAAGAGTGGCAGATTTATCCTTTCAATAAGATTTGGGGTTTTTTTACAATTATGTACCAAATCTTTTTGGACTTTCTGGCCTATGGTTTTGGAAACTAAGTTGAAGTGTAGTCGATTCACACAAATTCGTTAACTTCTCGTTTCTCACCAACGAGCAATTCTTATGGAGATGGTCAAAATCATTCAATCTGTTTTAGTTTCCAAGTCATGTTATTTTTCTGGCATTTTACAATTTCTCCATTTTACACTAAGTAAAGGTACTAAGGAAAGTTTGTTTTCTTCATGATCACGTTTTCTTCTTCAGTTTTTTTAAAGTAACGTAATCAAAATTACTTTTCATATAAATGCAAATTAATGCAATATCATAGTGTAAAATTTGTGTTAGTCAATTTAATGCTTATTCATCTGGAAGTGGTTATCAATTATGAATATTCCTTTAACTTTTCTCTGTCACAATAAATAAATACCCCCGCCGCAGCAAACCTGCCGACTAAGCGAATTTCCATTTGTCTGAATTGATTTTCAGTTAAATATATTTTAATAACATTAGGTTTAACGAGTACCTAGGTTTGCTGCTACGAGGAAACTAATAAAGTGTGTTTTTGAGTAAAATATTGATAGCTTAGTAGAAAATAAATAAATTTGCCAAGTTTGATCAAAATATATCCATAAACAAGCAAACTACAACATTTGACATGTTCTCCATAAGAATAACATGAGAATTTTAAATTAACAATTTTTTTTTTTAATTTTCTCCGTTACTAATAATCGAACAAAAATACTTTTATATACTAAATTATTTGTTTTTTAAGCTCTTTAAAAAGGTCTAAAGATAAATCGGGAAATTTTGTGTTTTGAGGGTCACAAGTGAGAAAAACCAATTTTTACCCCATAAAACCCCCCGTAAAGCCCCGTTCCCATGATCCGATCGTGCTGGTTCGCGAACTCATTCAAGTTTATCCCGCTTTACACCTTTAAACAAAATTTCATCAAAATCGGACAAAAATTACTCAAGTTATTGCGTTCGCGGACGTATATATATATAAGTCTATATATATATATATACACATATATACATATATACAAATTTGAACGAATGGTGTTTTTGGCCTCTGGGGACATCAAAATGAAAAAGTAAATCGGTCCCGGGTCTAGGTCTTACCGTGCCACCTACGGTAATAGCTACTTCCCTAAAGGGAAATTCGCTAATAATTTAGTTTCATACTTTTTACTATATTTTTGTAATATTTTCCTCGCCTCGGATACTGACCTCGCGTCAACACTTGCCACTTCCGAAGCTTTGATTGATGACCTCCTGATCGCCTTTCCTTGATACAGCAATACGAGGCATTGAACCCCAGTTTCCGAGTTTATTGTTTGTTCAGGGCTATCACAGTATCACGGCAGTGCATTGATAGAGCGCTTTTTCATTTCCGACGATAATTACGACCTTTAAAAATTATTAGCTACAAGTTGATACAAGATTTGCAAGGTTGGGTGATGTTTTGTTTTGTTTGATAAGTGTAAGGACACAATTTATTGACGTGAATTAATAATATCATATAATATTTTTATCTCAATTATGTATACAAGTAAATTAAATTTGTTGCTCCATTACAAGTCTACCATGCACACTTTTGTAATCTTATACAGTTAGCCTATACATCTAAAATCCTCTTAAGTATCTCTTAAAATAAAAAAAAATTATGGGTTTAAAAATTAAAATAAAACATTGTGAAACTTGGAGCTATTTTAATTTTTAAACCCAATACGACACGGTAATATATTATCTGGTACCGGTAATAAATGATTGTGAATAGATACATTATGTTGTATTGTGCAAAAGCAAAAAAATGTAATAGTATTGTGTTATAAAAGAAAATGAAAGATCTAAATGAGAAAATTTATTATCATTCATATTACTCTAATCAGAAATCAGAAACTGTGTTAGTTATACAAATTGCGTATTCAAGACATAAGACCAGTTTTCCCAGGATCCTCAAAACTCTGGGCAGATTTTTTGCCACCCACATCTTATTGAGACAATTCCACTGCACATTTTTGCATGATACGCCAATTTAGTTAGTCATGTAGTCTGAGCTGACCGTTAATTTATTTTGGTCAAACAATATTTATACATTCATAGATAGCCACATTCATACATACATCCATACATATCATATCATACACATATCATACATATCATACATACATTCATATCATACATGTACATATCATATGTATGTATGTACATATGTACATATGTATGTATGTACATATCATACATTCATAGATAGTTTATTTTTTCCAACACTAACATTGTGTGTTTTTACAGCAGGTAGAGGTGGGGATGGACCGCCACCACAAAGCCGTGGTGTCCCAGGAGTTGGCCCTGGCTGCAGACATATTTGACCAGTTCTGCACGGCCAACACCCTCAAGACTATCCTGGGACACTTCCGCCACCTCTGCGATGTCCTCCACATCAAGCCCACCAACTTCCCCAACTTCTACCCTAAGCTCAAGGCAAATTTAAAATCATGGAAGGCACAAGCTCTGTGGATCAAATTTGACAAGCGAGCCGCTCACAAATGCTACAACCGAGGCAAAGCATGTCCGAACACCAGGGTGAGCAATTTCCATATCAAAATTTGCTTCTTTATAGTCTTTGTTTATTTATTTCGAGGTTTGGGGCAGTATTGAGGTCGTAGTAGTCGTTTCTTCATTAGGTCTTCTATAAAAAAGAAAACTATTCTCCTTAGGCCTAAACTAGAAATCCATAGTGAACTGTTATTAAATCTTTGTGGGATCACTGTATCAGCATTGTTTTTTAAAGCTGTGATTGTAAATTTAAAGTCTGATTGGTGATGAAGCGGTTCTAGGTGTTGTATTTCCGGTTGCTGTGTTGCTGTTATAGATGGTTTAACTTAAAATCTCATTTATCTTTGGATTGCAATTTGATTTTAACTGTCGGTGGCATAGTCAGCGGGATAGACCTAGCCACTTATAAAAGAAAAGCGGATGTTTTGAGGGGCACTCTTTTTTGTCAGTTGCACGTTAAATTAGTTATACTTTTCTATCAGCTTTAGAATACATCCTACAGGGTACAGTAACAAATTATAGCAATATCACATTTACAAAATGTATTTTTCTAGCTCTGTTGAGGTTTAGGCTCATGGGGTCAATAAAACTATTCTGGGTCAAACATTTTGTGCTTGAGATGCATGCTTCTTTAGTTTAGTGACAAAACTAAAAATTGATAAATTTGGCATGAGGTAATAGCAAGAGTTGTACAAAAAAAATCTGATTTTGATACTAGTTAATGAATTGTAATTACTCATTATCATTACCTTTGACGTCACCTTGGGGAATTTGTACTTAAGCTGAAAATGAATTAAGGGTAAGTAAAGTGAATAAAGTGAACTAATACGTGTAAATTTAATTACTATGATTGGCTATTCCTTAGACAGGATCATTTATTAAAAGGCCAACCATCAAGGACTGGTCCAGTTTTGATCCATAAAAATGCTTTTTACTTTTCTCAGCATTAAATTGGCAACTATCTGAACAATAATTATCATCATAGTTATTAATTTTTGTTATTATTTGTGTACATTTGTTATAGTATTAGTGTTGTTGCTGCAGGTGCTGGTTATAGGAGGAGGTCCCTGTGGTCTAAGAGCAGCCATAGAATGTCAGCTGCTGGGAGCCAAGGTGGTGGTGGTTGAGAAGAGGGACAGAATGTCCCGAAACAACGTGCTTCACTTGTGGCCTTTCGTCATCCAAGACCTGCGAGCCCTTGGTGCTAAGAAGTTCTTCGGGAAGTTCTGCGCTGGCTCCATTGACCACATTAGTGAGTTTCACCGGTTTCATGTTGGGAGTTTTGATGTTTACTTCGAAGTTCAGAGTAGCCGCAGAGAAGTATGATACAGAGGAAACTCACCTATGGAACGACCGTGCGCTTTCAGCTCATTGTTGTGTCGGAAATATGCTTGTGACAAGCTAGGATGAGCCCGAGTGGTGAGCGCTTTACAGAAATTTCTATTGCACAGGGCACTGGGTCTTCCTCCACCAAAGCGTTGATGTACATGAGGGCAAGGAGGTGGAGTTGGACTTTGCCCTAGACACTAGCGACTAATGCTAGACACTACTTAAGTGTACCATTGAATGTTTCCTCTATATTACTTCTTTGTGGGGTGGCTATACAAATCTGACTTACTAGTTAATAATATATGTGTCAGCTTAAATGGTTGCTGACTGTACCTGACAAGTGCTAAAATTTTGGTAAAAAAAAGGTAGAAAACTAAAAATATTCAAAACCTGAGGCTGGTGTCTGGTATCTTGGCGTTCAGGTAATTTCAAGTCAGGTCTGAGGCTATGTGGTCTGATGTGCTCCATTATAGATTACACTGTTTACTTAATTATTAATCATCTGTAACAAAGAGATAATTGTTACGGTATGTGGATACAATATAAAAACTCAAAATCTTCTCTTACCATTGGCATTTTTTTATTACTGTAAATATATTTATTTTGTAATATATTTTTATAGATCAAAGGAGTAGACATGTTTACTCCATTAATCTATGATATTTTGTAACATAAAAAAAACATGGGTTACAGTCAATCTTCAGTACAGTTTTCACACACATATTTTATTACTCTGTAGAAATGTGATTGGCAAGCCCAATCTAGGATTTAAGGTTTACCAGAGTTTTATAACTATCACTAATAATTGTGAACATTGTTATTGTTTCAGGTATTAGGCAGCTGCAATGTATCCTACTCAAAGTAGCCCTAATATTTGGAGTGGAGATCCATGAAGGTGTAGGGTTCGAGTCTCTGCTGGAGCCTCCCGAGGAGCAGACTGAGAGTAAGCCCTTCATTGCACATCTATAGAATATACTCTTTTAAACTTCATATTATAGTGTGGTCTATTGTGGAACAAAGTTTGTTGTAATTCTAGCTAATCCTTGGTGGATGTGGCTTAATCAGTTAAATGGAATAGGTGCCAAAGAAGTATAAAGACATTGAGATGGTAAACATGAAATTAAAAGTATGTCACAAAAACAATAAACTCTTTCATCTCACTGACTGGTAAATCTGTGATGGAAACTGGAAATTAAAAGTCACAGGTTTGCTGTAGTGATGGTCAAATTCAAGAATATTGATTCCAGAATTCAATAACACAAATGCTACAAAATTGTATCTTGAATTAAAAGTCCTGAATCCAAGTACAATTTGTGTAAAATACAATATAACCCAATCTGGAAATTTATTATCATTAATGATTTATTCGTTTTCAAATCAAATCAAATCAATTCCTAAGTGTAGTTGATTTTCAATACTGTTAATACGATTGTCTTGTGATTATCTCTTGCGGTCTAGATAGCATCTCACAATTAAAATAATAATTTAAGATTCCTGTCAAGATTCAAGATTTTTTCAAGGTTCAAGATTCTTTATATGGTCATTAAACATGAAATACAGTAATAGATCACGTCAGATTATTAAGTTAGGCTATAAAATATTACATATCAGGTACATGGTGAATAGACATTTTTAAATTGCCTAGATCTAAGTAGGCTACAAACATTTTAGCTAAAGAAATAAGAACAAATAGATTACTAGACATGAACAAAAACATGTAAAAATACTTTAGCCTACAGTTTTTCACAATCAAAAATTTCTCAAAACTATTTAAAATAGAACTATAAATTTGTCTATTCTATAACTTGTGTCTTTTACTAATTTACTGGATTGGAGTTTCGAGTGGACACATCACTAGTTTTTTTTTTAAATTTGTTTTGTGTAGTTGCTGTAATTGTTTGCAGGAATTGGCTGGAGAGCTCTAACTGATCCTGCTGATCACCCTGTATCTCAGTATGAGTTTGACGTTCTCATTGGTGCTGACGGTCGGAGAAACACTCTTGAAGGTAACAACTGCATTCACTTTCGAAAATTGGTTTTTTGTATGCATTTATGTTTTATTATGTTGTCATTAAGTGAAGATAAATAAAGTGAATTCAGCACTCTAAATTGTTGCATTTTTGGAGTGCAGTCATTTAAAAAAAAGAGAAAATTGAGTGTTTTACTTTTTTCAATGAACTGTTAGTGATTTTTCATTTAAGACCGTGATAAAAATAAAGTTTTATAAAGTCTTGGTAATTCATTAAGTAGTATACTTTCATAGTCCCGTAAAATTTGATTCAGTAAGAACAATGTTATTTATTTTAGCAACACTCACATAATTCATTGTATTAGAAACCAAAGGTTAGCTAAAAAGTCCAGACAAGACTGTTTCTCGACAATTAAGGAACAGTTCTACCCAACAAATTATACATTTTATCTTAGACAGATATAAACATATATATATTATATACAGTATATGTATATGGATATATATTAGTGTTTGGATTTGTTTAACTATTTTGAGTTATAAAACAACCTACGGCCAGATTTAAACAGTATTTAAATATAATTTCTCTAAAGTACTTAAGTACCAAAAACTAATTGTTAATCAGTGACAAATTTTCTATGGGTTGGATATAAGTTAGTATCCTGTTTTATCCATATCTTCTGCTCATCAGGCTTCAAGCGGAAGGAGTTCAGAGGGAAGTTGGCAATTGCGATCACTGCCAACTTCATCAACAAACGCTCCGAGGCAGAGGCGAGAGTGGAAGAGATCAGTGGTGTGGCATTCATATTCAACCAAAAGTTTTTCAAAGATCTCTACGCAACGACTGGCATTGATCTCGAAAACATAGTCTATTACAAGGTAAAACCACTTTGAATACCTGTTACAACTGTAGAGTATCAGATTTGTGTTAAACGTCAAGGTGGTGCTTCATAAAAAGGTTTTTAAGTGGAAGATGTGAGTTTGATACTTCAATCCCGGATGATAAGGTTGAAATCCAGGTCTCGTTATAAACTAAAAGTACAAAACCTCATTTTAGTGGAGTAGGCATGTTGATTTGCTGTTTGCTAGATACCCAGCTATCTAGCAAACAGCAAATCTAAATGAAAAAAAAAACTGTCTATATCTGCAATCTAAAAAAAAATTACTTTTCAAAGTTAGTTTTGAAGAAGCAATCTGAGATTAAAAGTAATAGATTTTATTTTGGATTTAAGGATTGAATAGTGAACACTTTATTGTTTATCTTATTTATTTGTCAAAGATAAAACATTGAGCACAAGGGCCTAGGTTCTTAAGATTTTTAGTGAGGATAGCAGTCTGAATGGGAAAAAGTCCAAACTGGCACAAGAAACACAAACACTTTACACTATACAGGGTGAGTTTTAATTGTCCCCCCCCCCAACTTTTTTCTACATTTTTTCAAATATCAATCCCAGACCACATCCAAACATTGTTGGGTAGTAAGTACTTCATTTTGACAAGGTGGTCATTTCCGGCCGCCATCTTGGATCCGCCATATTGGATGCAAAATTTTTTTTTCAAATGTAAAGGTGGGGTTGTGACCCATTATTTCGAACTACATTTTTACCCTGATTACAATGCCGCAAACCGTTTTTAAAAATTGTTGCGGCGCGTGATGTGATGCGCCAATGTTATGGAAAATAATAAAAGAAACTAACACTTTAAAAACGAACTATGAATTTATTGATGTGATGATATAAGTGGACTGTATAAATGATTGACTAAAATGCTATAACGAAACAACTAATGCGAATGTACTATTGAATGCGAATTAAGACTAATGAAATACGTGGAGGGGTCTGCCTCACACATCCTATGCGAAAACTACGAAACGAACTTGACAATGTGATGCTAGTCGAGACACTGACTATGACTGAATAAAAGACACCTTCCTCACCCTCGATTGGGGTTGCAACTTTCTAAAAGCGGCGAGGAAGGGTCCGTCCTTTCGCAGAAGGACGAAGGTTTATTACTCTGTTACCGGCGCTAAAAGCCGACAACTGCCCTAGGAGAATGCATGTTTGCTACTTCACAACTCTAAGTTAAAACTACACATGAAATATAGAATTTATACTAATTAGCTAATAATATAACGTAATGAAACACACTATCAGAAATATATACAATAACTCTCCTCAACATTCTCCCCCCTTGAAAGTGTAAATCTTTCAACTATTTCTATATTGCAAAAATCTAATTGAATTTAAATTGATACAATAATTACAATACTGCTGTATTTACAAACAAATTAATGAAACCATGTTGAAATGATAGAATAACACAATGGCACAAAGCAATACGAGTGAAGTACATTTAAAATATTGTAAAATACCTTATATGCTGAATACGAATACAGTATGATTTATGTTATAAAAACCAACTTAAACGATAAAGCTTTGAATATACACATGAAAAAATCAGAACTCATAATAATAAAACTAACAATGACACACTAAACTGTACAAACCAAGATGATAAGACTATAAAGTTAAATTGTTAAGTGCAAACATATTTCGAATCACGCTTCTATAGTTTTTGATATCTAACACGATGCTACAAATCCTATTTACAACGATTGAATACATTATGAATGTACAACATAAGAACACGAATATTTAAGTATATTTAAACAAGAAAACAATAAAATGATTATGCAATTAATATGACAACAGTTATTATGAACGAATATGCTGCAACCTTGCAAAACGACAGTAAAAATACTAAAATGATAACACTTTTATATACTACATGATAACTATGCTAATTTAAATAATCAATAACACAAAGAATTATATGCAAATCATAGCCATTTAAATACGTTAGATAAGTGATTAGATGCACGAAAATGAAATACCATACAACAATTAACTATGTGCCAAAATCGATTAATAAACCCTAACAAAGATTAATAATAATAATACAACGATTGATCTGATTGGTTATTCAAAATGCAGTAACAAAACTACTATGAAAACGATAAAAAATGACAATGCAAAAGACTATGACTATTGAAAATATAACTAAAGCTGTTTATATTGAAGCATTGATTTATCCTAAAATTTATCCTAAATGTAGATCTTTATGTTACACTTTCACTATTTGGCTTGGAGATTTTTACTATTCACACTATCACTTTTATGACTCACTCACTGACACTTGACACAGATGGTTGACAAGGGTAGTTCCCAGCTGTTGCAGTGTGTGACGTCATTCCACGGGTAGGATGCACATACGGTTGACAGATACGGTTGAGCTTGTACCCGCCGGTGGTTGTTTTGACGGTGGCGATTCACACCCTGCCATCGTCTCCATGGTGGATCTCTATGACGCGTCCGGTGAAACGCTTCATTGGCAGCTCGTTGTCCTTTCTTGTAACCACTGGTAGAAAAGGAATGATGTGGGTAGACTCCGCTGTCCATTTTGGCACGTTGGTTGAAGTGATACTTTGTCTTGAAGTTTGAGTTTGCTTGATGCAGCGTGGAGTTGTTTGACAGTGTTTTCTCAAACTGACAAAACCTTGATTCCCCAAGCGTTTGATTGTCAACTACATTACTTAGGTCGTATTTTACTAGCAACTTGATTGTGTATCTCCCGGTAGTGTCCCTGACTGTAGTTTCGATGTATGTTTGTTCACACTTTGCCTGTTTGCTATCAAGTTGTGATTCTGGTTGGTCACAGTTGATCGTGTTCCAGAATGGTAGGGATCGAGAATGAAGTTTATCGTCTGTGGTTTGAAGACAAATCGATCCCTCGGTTTCAGCTTTTTTTCTATCAGAAAAATTCCCCGATGATACCCATCCTAAACAAGTGTTTTGAAAGATGGGAGCTTCCTGCTGTGGCTGCACTTGTCCAATGCCCCGAAGTCCCATTTCATCGGCGGCAACTAATAAGTCAATCGGCTCCAGGTGATTGCACTTTTCTTCAAAAGTGGGGAATCCTGTAGTGGATAGCTTCACTTGTTGCACTGAATAGGATTGTTCAGTATTTGACGGCAATGATTCACTAGTATTTGTTGATTTGGCAAGGAGGGCCTTTGATCTTGCTGAAAGTTCATAGTATAAGTCTTCGAATGACTCCCACTCTAAGTTGTGATCACTAACGGAGTCTGCCAGTTCTATTTCTGATTGTACTAGATCAAACTCCGATAACGAATCCCTAAATACAGCTATTCTATCTTCTAGCTGGGAAAAATCTTGTGTTTGACTGATTTGTTCAAGGAAAGATTGAAATCTGGTCACTTTGGACTTGATAGTAGCTCTTTTGATGACTAACTTTCTCATTTCTTCAGCCATTTTAGCTTGCTTGAACAAAGGAAATAGAATGTAGACTTACGATAGATGATGCTGGTAAATCCAATACACAAAGTAGAATAAAACACTTGTCACTACGATTGTTCACTGCGACCGTTCACTGCGAATCCGGCTCGAAGGACCATGCTGTGGTACTATAATCCGGATAGAAGGACCATGCTGTGGTACTATAATCCGGATAGAAGGACCATGTTGCGGCGCGTGATGTGATGCGCCAATGTTATGGAAAATAATAAAAGAAACTAACACTTTAAAAACGAACTATGAATTTATTGATGTGATGATATAAGTGGACTGTATAAATGATTGACTAAAATGCTATAACGAAACAACTAATGCGAATGTACTATTGAATGCGAATTAAGACTAATGAAATACGTGGAGGGGTCTGCCTCACACATCCTATGCGAAAACTACGAAACGAACTTGACAATGTGATGCTAGTCGAGACACTGACTATGACTGAATAAAAGACACCTTCCTCACCCTCGATTGGGGTTGCAACTTTCTAAAAGCGGCGAGGAAGGGTCCGTCCTTTCGCAGAAGGACGAAGGTTTATTACTCTGTTACCGGCGCTAAAAGCCGACAACTGCCCTAGGAGAATGCATGTTTGCTACTTCACAACTCTAAGTTAAAACTACACATGAAATATAGCATTTATACTAATTAGCTAATAATATAACGTAATGAAACACACTATCAGAAATATATACAATAACTCTCCTCAACAAAAATCTTGATTCATTTTAAAGTTATAAGGGCTTTTTAAAACTTTATTTTTAGCCCATTTTAACATTGTGCATTTACAAACTAAGTCCATAACCTCAAAATTGTGCTAGATAAAGATAAGTACACACTACCAGTAATTGTCGACCTATTTTCACTTGGTTATGACTGATGTATTTTTTTCGACCGCCATCTTGGATCCGCCATTTTGAAATGTGATAAATTATTTTAAATAAGAAGGGGATGTTGTGACCTATCATTTCGAACTACTTTTTTAAGCTGAACTTAATTCCATGATCCGTTTTTCATTTTAATTTTTTGCTTTTGAAATATTAACATTTTTTACAAAAAAATTTCAATATTTCATAAATAAAACTTGATAACAAAAAATGGATTGCGGCATTGAGTTAAGCTTAAAAAAGTAGTTCAAAATGATGGGTCACAACACCCCCTTCATATTTAAAATAATTTATCACATTTCAAAATGGTGGATCCAAGATGGCGGCCGAAAAAAATACATCGGTCATAACCAAGTGAAAATAGGTCGACAATTACTGGTAGTGTATACTTATCTTTATCTAGCACTATTTTGAGATCATGGTCTTAGTTTGTAAATGCACAATGTTAAAATGGGCTAAAAATAAAGTTTTAAAAAGCCCTTATAACTTTAAAATGAATCAAGATTTTTAAAAACGGTTTGCGGCATTGTAATCAGGGTAAAAATGTAGTTCGAAATAATGGGTCACAACCCCACCTTTACATTTGAAAAAAAAATTTGCATCCAATATGGCGGATCCAAGATGGCGGCCGGAAATGACCACCTTGTCAAAATGAAGTACTCACTACCCAACAATGTTTGGAAGTGGTCTGGGATTGTATTTAAAAAAATGTAGAAAAAAGTTGGGGGGGGGGACAATTAAAACTCACCCTGTATACACAAAGCATTAGACTATCCCACTGTCACTGACAGCATTTTCAACTGAGGAAATTGACCTTAGGTAAAATATTTAAATGTAATTTGATGATTTCTATTTCTAATCCTACTACTTACTCTTCAATGACCGTGTCGATTTTCCAGGACGAAACGCACTACTTTGTAATGACAGCGAAGAAAACTAGTCTCATCGAAAAAGGTGTGATTCTCATGGACTATCCAGACACTGCCAAACTGTTGTCACCCGACAACGTGGACAAGGCGGCGTTGGAAGAGTACGCACGTCAAGCAGCGGACTTCTCCACCAACTACAAGCTACCTCATCTCGAGTTTGCGGTGAACCACTACGGCCAGGCGGACGTGGCGATGTTTGACTTTACCTCAATGTATGCAGCGGAGAACGCTAGTCGAGTGGTGGAGAGGCGGGGACATCGACTGCTCATGACACTGGTCGGGGACAGTCTGCTGGAGGTATGGTGTTTGACCATGATTAGTTTGTTGTTTTGAAAGGGGGCTGAACATTTTTTTTGTTGATTCGTTTTAAAAGTCCGGTAAAGAGAGTGATGCGAGCTGCAATGGTCTGTGAAATCAGCAATATCATGGATTATCTGCCACTTAAAATTTGTCTGTACAGTTTAGATTTGAAGTGTCAACTGGGGTTTTGTACGACCTGATTGACTTATTACCTTCACTTCAATCCATTAGCCTGCATATACAAGTAAAAGTGTGCCTGGATTTAGCAAGTTCAAGGTGGCCAGAACACGGAACATGACCAAAAATTTTGTAGAAAGAGTAAACATAGGCATATATTGTTCTTATATTCTTATGTTTTCATTTAAAAAAATTTGTTTTCCCATAAAAATGATTCTTAAATTTGTTTGTTTCTTATTCTTAAGTTGTATTTTTATATCATAAAATATTTTGTTTAGTATCTCAGAGTTATTTTGTACACACTAAAACTACATGTTTGTATTTTTTAACATTCGTTATAACTGCGTATAATTTATTTAGCTGTAGGGTTTCTGTACTCTACCTTTGATGTGTTTTCAGCCATTCTGGCCGACGGGGTCCGGTTGTGCCCGAGGGTTCTTATCCTCCATGGATGCTTGTTGGGCCGTGCGGAGTTGGGGCTTGGGCAACAACCCTTTAGAGGTGAGTACACCTCCGATATTCCTACACAGAAAACCTTTAGGTTACCTATTAAATAATTGTGTACATAATACTTATCTGGATAGCCGAGTGATCATAGTTCTTGCCTTCATATCTGAAGGTCGCTGGTTTGATTCCAAGCAAGTCTGTTTCCAAACCCAGATGCCTTATGTCATTGGTCTATCGATTAATGATACTACCTAACGGAAAGGTTGATATTAGATGGTTAAGATCAGGATTTGGACTGTTTCCTTTTAAAAAAGAACTTAAAATAACTGACACAGGCGAAGATAGGCTATAAGTTATATAAATCAATTACAATTCAAATAGACCTATAATTAATCAAAATAACTCACTATGATTTATTTGAGATTTTTTCATGCAACTGTCAAACAAATTTCACATATCAACAATTAAATAGTTCATAGTCTGTCATCAACCATTTGTTAGTAGCATTAATAGCCTTTCAGGTAGCCTTTCAAATTATTATATCATTTCCCATTCCGAGTTCCATGATACACCTACTATGTATATTGTGACAGGTGGTTGCAGAGCGTGAAAGCATCTACCGCATCTTGGCGCAGACGACGCCAGAGAACCTGCAGAGGGACGCGACATCTTACACGCTTGACCCGCACACGAGGTATCCTAACCTCAACAGTCGCTGTGTGATGCCGGTTCAGGTGAGTCAGTGTATCAGTAAACGCCTGACGATTTCATCGCAACTTGTGTTGTTTTTCTCTTCAAAGCACAGGGTTTTCTATGATATAGTCTAAATATCAATTTTAAACTGTAAAATTGACCTCTAAATTGTTTGGAATTTTGCAGGGTGTCCACATTCTGGAAAGTCAGGGATAGTCATGGAAAGTCATGGAAAAAAATTTTGGTCATTGAAAGTCAGGGAAATAGGCAAGAAGTCATGGAAAGTCATGGAAATTTCCAATTATGGATGGATTTGAGGGGACCATTCAATGCTCTAGTCAGCCGTAACCCGGACTGTTGTAGCATTTTTCAGGATTTTTCACAAATGTTCGACAATTCAATTTATTACAGTTGTATTATTTTATGAGTTTTCGGTTTCTTTTAGTTCATTGTTGTACCTATTGTACTCCATTGTTATCTGTTATTACATATTTCAGTATTTTCTGCAAAATAACATATCCAGGCAGTATTATTTTTGTGTGTATGTTATATTATAATTTGCGTGTAAAGTTCGTGAGTCATGGAAATCAATGGTAAATGGTCATGGATAGTCATGGAAAGTCATGGAAATGAATGACAAATTTTTTGTGGACACCCTGTTTTGTCTCTTTGCAAATTGGTCTCTTTCTTGCGACATTAATCCCTTGTGTTTGTAATTACTTGTTGAATCTTATAATCTTGTAGCGCTTTATTTATATATTTTTGGGTTTGCAAACTTAACAAACTTCTCCTGTGATAAGATAGCATTCTGAAATATTCCCAAAATATATTAAATCCTGCCCAGAATACTTATGAATTTTCAGGCATTGAACATTACTTTCTTACTAAAACTTCCGAATTGGTGGAAGCTAGTTATTTATCTTCAAACAGATAGTTTGTTCCGGAATTTTGCTGAGTATTATGTCAGGACACCCTCCTAATATCTGGCCATTCTGCGGTAGTAAGTTGAATGAATCTTGCTTGAAAGCAGTGGACTTTTTTTCTGCACTGGGGTAGTTTGCGTAGTTATTGGTATTATAAAAGGGGTATGATGGATCACTCTTGTGGTTCTAAGCACTCTCCAACTATGGGGCATATAATTGATGGTTGTTGTACTACAGTTTTTCTCAGGAAAATCGCTTGGCCTATTTAAATTCTAAAAACTACTTTCATAAACTTAAAAATGTCACAGATAAAAATCATAATAGATAGTTGTCTTTTGTTGTGTAAAAAATTAAGGATTATTTTTTAGCCAAACTAGACTGAAAACCTAGAAGTGTTAAGTATCATTATAGTTGTAAATTACCTAAATATTGTTGAGCTCATTAAAACAACCATTGTTTGTGAACAGGTCCGCGGTTTGTTTACGTCAGATGCAGCCGGGGTGGTAGAGGCTTTACTCGCTGCTCCCTCGTTGGCTCTACAAGACCAGCCTAAGAAGCGAAGAAAGAGAGGTTAGTATCTTACAAGTTTATGTTTATTTAAAGAGGTATAAAAAGTTAAGATTGTGTTTATCTCATGAAACACACTTCCTTATGAGCGGTCCATCTAGGAATTAGCTGAGGGATTGTGAATATCCAAACAACACTCTTGGCTATCCATCGGTTGAACAATAAGTTCAAACAGGAATTTTTTGAGAGGATAGCAGGCTTACCTGAATGGGAAAGAGTCCAAACTGGCACAGGAAACACAAAACTTTACTTAACTATATACAAAAAACATTGGAATGAAAAAGACTTAGACCAACAGGTCTAATAGCCTGTATTGCATTGTATTGTAGAGATATTCCTTTGGATAACTGTTTATACTGACAGCATTTTCGACTAAGGAAGCGACTGAAGAGAGAGTTTTCTACATCTATGTATCAGTGCCAGTGAAATATTCCAATGTTTTTTGTATATAGTTGTTAAGTTTTGTGTTTCCTGTGCCAGTTTGGACTCTTTCCCATTCAGGTAAGCCTGCTATCCTCTCAAAAAATCCTAAAAACCTAGGCCTTTGCGCTCTATGCTACACCCTTAATAAGTTCAAACAAGTTGCTTTTGTAAGCTTTGTTAGGAAAAATGTATTGGTAAAATTTCAATTGCCCTTGTTGTTTTCAAGGGCTGTGTAAGGGTTTAGTTGATTCAGTTATTTTTATTTATTTATCTATGTAGATTTTCAAAGAAAATATGGAGAAAACAATGTCGCTTGTAATTGCATCTAGGAGTTTGTAATTATTATAAACTAAACCCACAAAGTAAAGTTATTTTTTTACACTCAGAGAAAATCTCTATGTTCAATGAAGGGTTAAAAATTAAGTGTTGAAAGCTTTACAGATGTGATAAACCAGAGTGAGACGAATTCTAAGCTTGGTTGTGACAATTATGCTTGTTACTTTCAATACTCAAATTTAAATGAAATTTCTTGAAGGTGTAGGGCGGGATGAACTTGAATGAGTTCACAAACCAGCATGATCATAATATAGGAATGTTATGGGGGTAAAAATGGGTTTTCTCATTTTCACCCTCAAAACATAAAATGTACCAATTTCTGTTTAAACCTTTTTGAAGAGCTTAAAAACCAAATAATTTAGTAAATTGAATTGTTTTTTATTCGGGTATTGGTTACAAAGAAAATTCAATAAATTGCAAATTTAAAATCCCCATGTTATTCTTATGGAGGGTAAGTAAAGTTTGCTTGTTTATGGATACATTCTGATCAAACTTGGCAAATTTATTTATTTTATACTAAGCTATTCATATTTTACTAAAAAAAACACACTTTATAACCCTCCCTGTAGCAGCAAACCTAAGTAATTGTTAAAACTAATGTTATTTAAATAGATTTAATTGGAAATTCAATCAGATAAGTGGAAATTCGCTAAGTCTGTAGGTTTGTTGTAGCGGAGGCATTTAAAGTTTTAAACAGGAAGGCTAAATGCAGCGCTCAAGGATGGAATAAGCAATTCTATGTCCAATGTATTTTTTAATATGGTATTTATATTAATAATTCAATGTCTCATCTCCTCATATACATCTATCAGCAGATATGGTATATTCATATTGATAATTTATATTTTTTCCATTGACGGGGTGCAGCGGTGGTGTACAGAAGGGGTTAGTGTTTCATATTTTGGGTTTGTCCGATGTACCCTGTGGTCAACGTACCTCTTCTTGTGCTTCAGGAGAGCTTTTTTTGTGATTTCCCCCTTTACCTGCCTGATGGAATATGTTTATCCCTGAAATGTCATATATTGTTTAATATTTTCTTTAAAACCCAGTGATTTGTGTTCAATCCAGCATGGGTTAAAGTATTGTTTATTCAAATATCCAGTGCTTGCTTTTTCAGCATGACTTTGTTGAATTCTTTTTTTATTCATGCATTTTTTATACTAGTCTCAGAAAGAAATTATAACAAAGTCAATGTTCTTATTTCAATATCTATATGTTTGCTTTGTGTCTCTATTGTCATTTGTAATATAATTGTTCTAGTATGAGAATAAAAACAACTTGCTAACCAATATTACAAAATTTAATGAGTAATTGTTTAGTCTATTGTCATCGGAATGGATAGATTATACTTTCCAAACAATATTTGTAGCTATTAGCCAATAAACTGGTTATAGGTTTGGTTGAATATGATAGATCTTTTCAATTGTTTCAAATATCAATGTTGCCAAGTATTGGCTGTACAATCTCCAAATACAGAATCGTACACAGCACTGTTAGGTAACTACTGTTTTCTTTACCATGTTAAAAGTTTGAAAGAAATCCACAGTAAATAAACCAATCGGTGTAAAGTTTTTTTTTGTTTTTTTTTACAATATTCAGTCGTCTGGAACGGCTGCTGATTTTATACCTCTTGTAGTCATGTGAATTTTTTGTAATTAATTCGGTATTTTTAATCACCATAAGCTAGCTGAAAATTTATTAAGTTCAGGCACAAAATAAAAGTTCACAAAACATGACACTGATATTTAATTCTTATAAATGATCTTTTCAATCTGCTCTAATAATTGTCTCTCTGAATAAGTTGTCTAAAAAGATTAATTATCAATGTTGTTATGTTATATGACTTAAGTTATTTGATTAACCCCTGAAATCTTGTTTCATCATGATAAGTGTTTGGTGATTGTTGTAGATACTCAGGTTCACCCCGACACTCTGCTACATTGGCTCAAGAAGCAGGTTGCGCTGTATGACAGTGTTCACATCAACGACATGAGCAGCTCATTCAAGGATGGTCTGGCGTTGTGTGCCATCATCCACCGCTACAGGCCGGACCTCGTAGACTTCCACTCTCTCGTCCCACAGGACGTAGCAAAGAACAACCAGCTTGCCTTCGACATACTGGAGAGGGAGCTGGGAATTCCACCGGTATGTCCCTCTATGTTTTGTATTTTTTTGTTTTAAATGCTTTTGCCATTTTTTTTTTTTTTTTTTTTTTCTTGTAAGGAAATAGTTCCAAACCCTAGTTTTGATGCTCGTTATTATCCAACCATGACTTTTGAACTGTGGTACAAGAAAGACAAAAACTGTATTCATTAAAGTTGAAATTGTTCCCTATTACCATCAGCATTTTCAACCAAGAATGGTTTCAGTCTGCTGGTAAAAGTTTTTGGGTTCATTGATTTTATGTCCCACAAAGAGGTTGCTAATTTTTAAGTACTCTACTAGATGTATCAAGCCTGCCACTTGAAATTTTGCAGCTGCTACAAACACATATAAAAAAAAATACCTCCCAGCCCCACTTTATTCTTACCAATCAGAACAAAATAGTGGAACTTTAAAAAAATGGTGTGCTTTCTTTAAATAGTTTTAATTGAAAAATAATTTTCAATCAATTCTTGATTTAAAAAACAAACAAATTCTTGAGTATATACAAAATTAATAATCATAGACGTTGGATACTATAGTAGTCTAAACATATAAAATGCATATATCATAAATTAAATGTTATAACTGTAGTGTTTCAAGTTTGTAGTGTGTTTGACGCAACTGGTAAATAAATTCCAAAATGGCTACACCCCTTTGAGAGAAATCCTGAATATCATTTTACGAACCAGTTCATATTAGTATCACATAAATATTTTTCAAAGCAACTTCATTTGGCATTAGTCTATTTTGACCTGAGACCTAAGGACAATGTTTTACTCGACCCGGCCTGACCTGGTTTTCTACTTACTGTACTTTCTGTTACCCTGCCAGAACAATCTGTTACTCTGCTGGAAATTTACAGGAACTATTGAATTTAAATGTTGCGTTGGAATTTGCTGGATTTAAATTTGAAAATTGCTGGAGGAAAGATTTTAATTCTTTGTATATTGTTTAAACCTGTTTGGACTAAAGTTCCAAGAAATTTATATTTTATAAATTTTCTCAGCAATGGAAAGCATTACATAAACACCAAGTTTACAATGCTTAACTGTAAGCTAAAAAATAACAAACTGTGCGACTCCATACTACCTAGCATATAGCAGTGGGAGAATGCCCAAACGCAAAGAAAGTATTTTGATAACTAGCAACAGATGTCAGATACAAATAAAAAAACTACACTGTGTGCATGGTGCATGAGTGTATTCGCTTATGGTATTCAAAGAGTTAAATTAATGTCCCAATTCCGTAACATATTTTATGTATATTTCAGACATGTATGTTACTGTTATCTGATAAAGTTGTACATGTTAGGTTATGACTGGCCTGGAGATGGAGCAGTGTGAAGTACCAGACACACTCGCCATGTTGTCCTACCTCTCTCAGATCTATGACACATTCCGTGGCGAGATACCTCACATCAAACACCCTAAGTTGGTGAGTAGCCTTGCAAAACGTTGATAACCAAGCACACTGAATTATTGAGCGGAGCTCTTATACTACACTCCTGCTTTTGTTTTACAAATACTCCTCCTGGAGCGATCAGCACAAAAATTGGCACAGTGATAGTAACTAACTATGGGAAGGTATAAATCTGAAGTACAAATCGGAACACAAGGCTTTTCCCTACGTGAATTTAAACTTTAGAAATTTAACATGGGCCTTACGGTCTAATTGGTCGCCATGACATTATTTACGAGATAACAAAAAAGGTAAACAAGAGTCGCAACATATGTTAGTCAACAAATCATCTGAAATAGCACATTACAAATACCATACAGAGAAAAGGGGAAGAACAATCGGATTAATATCGTTGAGCATAATTTACTACAAAATGAATAACCAATAATTACGGTTGCCGCAGTTAGGCTGATGCACCATTGACTTTAAATACTCCAAATAGCCATTCCATTTAAGGCGGGGATACACTTGTCAGGGATGGACGAGATTGGATTTTTAGTTCGAGACGAGATGAGACGAGATTTTTTATTTCTCATAAAATTTCGAGACAAGATCGAGACGGGATTTCCCTTCTCATACACAACGAGAAATGCACGTTCAAAATTTTTACCTGATTTTGTAACATTGTTAGATGACTGTTTAAATACAAAAATAATGATAATAGGCAAGAATATTTACAATCTTTTATTAAAAACATCAGCATAACATTTTTTTTATTAATCACGCTTAACTTATTAAAAATGCCTACGATTAGGAAACATAGTGATATCAGTTAGGATAGCGTTCAACTTATCCTAAAGTAAAATAAATCATAAAATAAAAGCAATATTAGTTTTTATAAAATAGTTACTTGTTTTGACTTTTTATAGTAATAAAACATTCCTCACACTGGCAACACTTAACAAAACTTCTCAAATGTTATTAAAGTAATATTATTAAAATAATATTTACATTTAAAGAATTAATTAAATAAGAACGCCTTCGCAAAGGAAATACAACTACAACACACTCCTGTATTGCGGGTATTGCATTGACTTTCTGCAGGCGTTTTTAATTTTTTTTTTTTTATTCTCGTCTCGATAAAAGTCTCGGCCAAAAAGAAATCTCGTCTCGTGTAACGAGATTTAAAATTTCCCGAAATTTCGAGACTTGACCATCCCTACAGTTGTCATACACCCTTCCGATCCGACTCCGATCATACTGTGGTACGACTGTCGGAGAGGGGAATGGTACTTAACTTTGAACGCGGGTGTTTACACCTCTCCGACACGCGTCACGTCATACTCCGATACTACTCCGATTTTGACTCCGATCACGCACCGACACTGCAGTCTATTCGTTTGTTGGATGCAGGATGGGTTGTTTCTTAAAAATCACCTTTATTCTTAAGTTTTAAGAATAATGGTTTAAGATAAATATATGCCGATGCTTGATGTGAAATCTGTGCCTGCATACCTTCAATTTGAGACCTCGATCATGAAAATTGGACGGGTAGAAAAGCCAAACGAACTCGAGAGAGAAAACCCAATGTGCTTAATATATAAGATGGGCACTTAAGTAAACCACCTAACTTTCTTTCCATGCAGAATGAACCCAAATTCTTTGTTTTACACTGCCCTCCAGAGATGTCTGACTTTCTTCTTCTTCATCTAGACAAACCGCCATCATGGCTGAATCCCGAAGTCCAAAGTTTTTGAACATGTTTACCACCTTCTGCACGTAGTTTACAAATCAGACTGGCAAGTGTTGATCGACCCATCATTTTTGGTGGAGGAAATCGGAGATGGGTCGGAATCGTATATGACATGTGTGTTCACCCCTCCGATCCCGCACCGATCCTTCTGGAATCCCGCAAATCGGATCGTAGTAGGATCGGAAGAGTGTATGACAAGTGTGTCCCCGCCTTTGTGTGAACCAAATATAGGCCTACCATTGAGATTGGATACTACAATTAGACATTCCATCAACGTGAACCGAACAAACCATTGATTTTGGGTACCACAAATAGGCACTCCATTTATGTGAATTAAATGAAACGTTGACTTAGGATACTGCAAGTAGACGATTAAGCTTGCAGGATTAATATGCTAGCTCAATAATGCAAGCAGACAACTGCATTGTACACCTAGATTTTATTTGCAACTACATTAGTGTGAACAAATTGAAACAAATTAAGGATTGGCTTCCTTTTAAGTCGTATTGGATACATTATAAAATCAATTGAACAAATTGTGTAATTGTAATTATTTATATATAATTTCTAAAAACATGCACTCCTTCAAGTTTTCAATCACTTACACATACCCCCCTCTATATTCCATGTCTAATTTTTTTTCATCGTATACAGTGTATTAAATATTTATTTTTTTTACTTTTTGTAGAAAAAAAGTGTTATGTTATAGCAATTGTTAAAATGTATGTATTAATAATACTTTATGACCCTGCAAAAACAACTATTTTTATCGAGATTTTTTTTAGTTTTCACTCAAACAATTTTACTTCTAAGGTATAATTAACTAATCATGTCCATATACATTTTTTTTACAGTTTTCTATTCATATAAGCTGATTACTTTTTTATCTTCAAGATTCTTTTTGATATTGTTATTATAGTAATATGTTAATTACTCTATTGTTTTGTTCTTTTTTTCTAGGATGAGAGTGAGTTGTTAAAGGAACAGAACAATGTTACCATGATGAACACCAAGCTGCGTAATCTGACCCAACTGTCCACGTCACATCAGCGGACGACGCAGCACACACGACTTACCTCCCCGCGCGACCGTAGACACCCGAGACACTCAGACACGACACCTCGGCGTGCGCGCAAACGACGAAGCGACAAAGCCTCTCCTAGCCTGGTACGACACTTTTCACTTCTTATAAGATTCATAAGTCTTGATTTAATATCTTCTAATATCCAAGTATATCTCCTTTTATACATACTTTATTTCTTCTACTCATTTTTCCCTAAGAGATATAAGATAATTTTAAACTTTTATATTTTTAAAACCAAATGTTTTTAGGTTTGCTTCATTTTTTGTCTAAATATGAATAAGAATAGTGTAATATATGGTATAACTTATTTTAAAAGTTGCACAGAACATATTACTTGACCTGTTATGGGAAAAGGAGATTGATAAAAAAGTGTCTTTATATCTGTATGTTAAAGAACAGATGACACTATTTCCAGATTAGTTATTTTTTACCAATTTGAGTTTAACTTTTAAATATGATAACAATCAGCTATTCTTTAGAAAAAGTTTTACTGCTGCAGAAATAATACCTAAAAATGTAGATATTCTTTTTTTACAAATTGAGCTACCCCTTGGTATAATCTTAAGTGCTGTAAGATGTGTATTGGTGTTTCTGTGGGGCGGTTTAGCGTAGGAGATTACCACGAATAGAGCTCAACGAAGATATTCCAGGAGGATGTCTAGAACGCCAACTAGAGAGAGCCTCATTGGCTGTAAGTGCCGTGACCCCCTCCACCACCCCGCTCAGATAACATCCCCCATATTGTGATTTACCATCATGTGTACATTGTAATGTTAAAGCTCTGACAAAAAAAAACAATTAAAATCAATTTGATTACAAACAAAATATAATTTTTTCATCATATTTACTAGCCTTCTATTTCATTACCAACTCTTTGCATTTTCAAATTTGTAAAGCACATTGTCACATTCAGACACGCGTATGTTCAGTTGTACATTACAGTGTATTAGGTATTTATAAATATCATATATGCACATAGAATAGTTAAATAATCTGAAAGTCTATACATCTGACAATCTGTAACTACTACACTTAAATAATAGGCATGCACTTTTTCATATAGAAGCAGATTTTTTGTTGCTGTATTTTTTTGTCCCTTTTTTGGTTGTGTTTTGCATCATGTGTGACTTTTTAAAATATGTTTTATGTTACTGATTACTTAATTATAAAAAGGAGTTATTTTTTGTTATCAAGCTGAACTGTACCCCTTTCCAAAACAATTGCTGAGTAAGTTACTTTACTTTTCCTTGAAATATGATTTCAAAAGTTGGTTTAACAATTTCAAAGTAGTATTGTTTGGTTTTACTTGGAATTTATCAAATACTGAGCTGTCAGTATGTCATTGATTAATTGTCACCAACATTTTTGCAATAACAGGACATGCAAGTGACACGGCAAAAGAAAATAGTTGAAAGAATCGTGAGAAAAAGCTTGGAAGGGTTGAGCAGAGAGAAAAAAGTATATTTAAGTCCATGTATTCAGGAATATTTGTTGACTAGAAGAACTCCTTGCCGAGAAAGGGTCAAGAAGTTGGAACTGTTGGGAGTTTGTAAAGTAAGCGTCTGTGTCGTAAAATTATTGTGTATAGAGGGAAAAAATGTGTTGATGTAGTTTATTCTGATTTTTAATAAAAATAAAAACAATACTATTATACAAACACAACACAACTAACAAAACCGACTTGAAAAGACTACATTTCCATCCTCTATACAGAATTACTTGAGTTGTCAATGTACGGGATTTTTTAGGAGTTGAAATCATTGAAATTTTGAAGTATTACCTGCTTGTTTCCAGACAGATTTTCTGGCTGTTGTGGTTCTTGGTGTTCTTTTAAATACTGTCTCTTTCCGCATGATGCCATTGTGTATTTGGTATTTTGATTATTATTCATTACAATTTGTTTGTTTCAGAGTTTTAGTTTTAGGCTCCCAATCTTTTATCATATTGAATAGTAAAAACCAATATGTTAGACAAAATTGGTTTTTAACATTCTTGTGGTCTTTTCCTTTTGACTTATAATTGTCAATTGTCTGGAAAGGGTTGTAGATCCTCCCTTTATTAAATCCACCACATAACTGATGATGACTTATAGCCTACTACAACGGAAGATAACGTTGCATTTAAAACTTGAATTCCATCTGGGCAATGTCCTCTATATGGGGTAACAAACCCACATTAAAGAGTGGTACATTGAAATTCATTTTTGCAAAAATAACAGTAGACAACAGTTTTTTCTTATTGTCAAGGGTGTATGAATAATTTAACGTTTTACTGGGAGAGTAATCTCTAAAGAAAAGTACAATGCTAACTGCAGTAGACCCCCTCTTAACCGACCTAAACGGAGCCGGACCTAAGTCCGAATGCTTAAAAGGTCAGGTAAAACAGACAATCACTAAATACTTAAAAAATGATGTGCTATTTATTTAGAATTCTATAATCATTATTCTGAAGTCGTGCGTGTATTATATACTAAATTAACTATCCTTATTTTCTTTTTTACTAAGTATTGACAACAGCAAAGTTACAAATAAATCCAAGCCCGGTTAAGTCAAATACTTTCAGTGGAATAAATTACAGTCCAAGGCAAGAGTCAATAAAAATTCTTGTTTTAATACCTTTAGTAATATTAATATTGTTACTTTCAAAATCCATTGTAATACAGTACAGAACAGAACTTATCGTTGGAATTAAAGATACAGTACGAATAACCATTTTGTTACAATACAGGATGTTTATTTATAGCCTGTAACATACTGTAGTTTAGCGTATTGTTTCCATCGCCGAGCATGTGAGCGGAAATGCCAAGATTCCTAGAAAGCGGTGGTTAAACAAACCGCTCTCAAAACAAGGTCGGTTAAAACAAACTTAATATTTCACGAGCAAGGGTAGGCCTAGATAATCTGATTATCGGTTAAAGCGAGTTCAGCTAGGTTCGGTCTACTGTACCCTGTTACCTGAACAGAGCAGAAAATAATCAAGGGATCAATAAAGTATCATCTTTCCAGACAATATCAATGACAATTATGAATAATTTATGTATTAAAAATCTTGTGGGCCGTCCTCATTTCCTCCTTTTCTTTTTAGACCTTCCATTTGTTCATTAATTATTTGTCCACAACTGATTCCCAACCTGTAGACAAGTTGTTCAGAAATCTAGTTGAATAACAGGACCGAGATGCGTGTAGAAAAGAATTGGAGAAGTTGAAGATGGAAAGGATCATGAGGAGGCAGTATCTTCGACATAAGGCCACTCAGCAGTTCCACAAAAGCATGCAGATGTTGAGTGGGAATGCGAAATCCGACGATGACGACGACAAAACACCTTTCGAAGATTACTCGATCTTCGTCTACCGACAGACTGCACCTGATTTTCGTGATCGAGTGAAAGAGATTGAAATGAAGATATTGTATCCCGTAAGCGAAACTGCGATGAATGAGAGTGCTTCACCACACGGAATGTTCTAATATTATCCAACGCAAACGCTGCTAACATCACAAAATAATCCTGTTCACCCTACATGTGTTTTTATATTTTTTGTTAACATTTCAGTGTGTCAATAATACTAGTGGTTTTGCGATTTCCTTCAGTCTTCTATTTTGTGTTAACCTTTGCGTGTTTTTATGTTTTTCAGATAGTTGTGTTGTTTACCTAGACCAAGTCTTTGTTTGGATTTGTTTTTCATAGTTCATTTTGAAGCAATAATTTCTGCAACAAAGGTGTTCATAAGAAATAATCAATTGTTATTGTTATCCCCCTTTGGAATAATATAAAAATTATTCTTCTCAATCTATTCTTAATCTATCTTGATCTATGATTGTGAAATACACTTTAAACTTTTTTCAGTTTATGAGTTGGAAATAAATAATTTGTGTACTAACTTAGTTAAAGGTTTTTAAAATTATGTTTTTAAGTCTTTAATCTTGTAAAAAAAAATTGAATTTAAGAATTGTTTTTGAGGGTGCAAAAGATGAGTTATTTGATTATAAGTTTAAGTTATTGTAAGATCTCACATTTTACCTGTAACTTTATTTTAAGTAAATCATTGCATGTTTTGTGTTGTTACTAATGTGTATAAAGTATTTGTTTTCTTTAGTTATTTTGATATTTGATTTGAAATGTTTTTGTATTGTACATTTTTAGCATTATATACTTCTGGTTTAGGCTATATGAAATGATTAAAATGTTATTTTCAATGGAGATAATTATATTTAAACTTAATCAACATTATTTAAATATTTTTTTATATACAACTCCAAAATATCAGCAATTACTTTAAATTATATAATATTTCTAAAAATCCTTCTTAATTCGATTAGGGGTCTCAATCCAGGGATCCCGGTCGATTTTTGATACCTAGATTTCCCGGGATTGACGTCTTTTAATCCCGGGAATAACAGGATTGCAAAACCTATGTTTATATTTTTTTTTTTTTTTTTGTGATTTTGAGGAGTTTTATTTGTGGAAAATAAATAAAAAATACGTCCAATAACTCTTAAACAAAAATACTGTTTATTTTTAGGATGATAAATATATATATATTTGAAATATGGTATAAACTGTGATCTATTTTTATTGCACGATTTAATTATCATCAAACTCAATAGGTGAACATACTGTAAATATATTATGTTTCGTGTTTTTTGACAAAATGTATTTACTTTTTGTAAATGTTATTACATTTGTCGGAAAATAATTACAGAACGCCTATAGGTTATTTTGAGTTTTACTTTTGTCATTTAACACAAACAACACAATTTATGTGGCAAACAAAACATGGCGATCGGTAATTTAAGTATTTTTTCCTTAATAACATTTAAAAGCCTAAAAACTTACTATAAACGCTATTAAATTTTATTATTTCATTATTAAGATTGCATATTTATGGTCTATAACTTTATCTTTGTATTTCTTTCCAAGTGCGGTGATTAAATATTTACAATCCTAAATTACGTTTTTCGTACACACGTTACTATTACTAAGCAGATGGTTTATTCTTTGTACAGTACCTTAAATTATTTTATTGCTGTCAGTCAACATAAAATGTTAACGATGCCACTCATGATTCTTCCCATATTATATTTTTATCTTTATATTTTGATTAATTTAGTTTCCATATTAACTTGACATGTATTACTTTTAATTATTTTTTAAATGTGTTTATTTAATTCAAAAGTGACACATCAACATTTGTACACTGTAAATAAGAAAGACGGGTGATGAAAGTTCTGTGTTGTGATATTTCTTTACTTAGAAAACAGCAAAATTTCGCAGTGCAACACTGTTAAGGCCAGTTTAAAACATTAGAGGACTCAACAAGGGGACTTAACTCACGCTCATTTAAAATGGCCAAAAAGTTAAAATCATATAATCCCGGAATTGATACGATCCCGAAAACCTGGGATTGAATTGAAGGCCCGGGATTGAGACCCCCAAACTTGATATATTTCAGCTATTACTGTAAGCACATTGCATATTGAACAATAATATTTCAGTTTAAAATCTTTTCAATTATGATTTGATTTTTATTTACTAATACATTTTTCACTTTTTATTTTACTTTTAAGTGCTTTTATTTCACCGTCCACGTTTCAGGATAAAGAACAGAGATTGTTGGCTGAAGTCAGGCGAGGTTCTATGGACCAAGAGTTTTCTGGCCGGGTGAAACACATTGAAGACCAATTAAAAGGAGCATACGACAAAAAGCCAAAAGATCTTCATAGAGCTATTGGTAGGATTTGTTTTTGGACCATTAATTTTTATTGGTTGGCCATTAACCAGTTGCAAATATTTTCAGTTGAAATTTAGTAGTTTTTATTAAATGAAGTCTAAGGAGTGTGAGTATTAAAAAGTTCAAACAGTTCTACAAATATTGTTAACATTATTCACAAATATTATTATATATTCAATTTGAACCAAGAATCACTGTTTGTATACCCCTAATTGAACCCTAATACCCATTATTAAAGAATCGCTAATTTTAAAAGATGCACCATTCATATGGTAGAACTAGTTTCATCAATAGCATCCATGCTAAATGAAATGTACAATCAATCATAAAACAAGAAAACAACCAATTTTCTTCGTAAATTAAGATAATTAGTTTTATGCTATAAAGTTAATCTCACATATAATACATTATTTTGTTTATACATAAAATATTATGATAGAATAACATTTATCCAGAAAATATTGTGTTGCAGTTAAACACAAATTTTCTTTACCTATGAAAGTGAAATACTGTTTAGTGAGAAAAGTGATCTAATTTTAGCATTAGTATCAATGCTTCTTAACCTCACAAAATTTTCAGGAAAAATTGAAAAATCTGATTGGAACGTGAAGGAAATTGAAAAGAAAATTACAGAAAACAAATTTGGCAGAAGCTCAAAAGGTCGTACGGAGCCCAAAGTCCCGAAATGGAGCAGGGAACAGTATGAAGATAAGGTAAAACATATTAATATTAACTTAATTGTGGTTATACTGTGTTAGTGTTGATTTGAGTCCTAAACAGTCATTAGAGTAAACTGAAAATTTAGAGGCGGTTGAAAGGATCGGGTTAGATAGTCCACAGTTAGTGCAAGCTACAGCTAAATTTATACTTTGTTTAATCAACTTGATTGAGATTGAGTCTAATTGTTGTCCAACCTTATCCCTTTACTAAGTTTAGGAAGACACTGAACTGTGGGAGTAGCTTTTAATAAGCATGAAGAGGTTGCGACTTCAAATCATTACCCTAACATCAAACTGTTAAATTTCTCAATGGGGAGGACCAGATGTTTGAGATCTTTTCAACAATGTTACAGCTGATGGCATAGTTACTTTTGTTGTACGAATGTTTTTATTGTATATATGTGAATTTAAATTGCTAAAACAAATGATTGGGTTAACCTCCAAAATGCAAAGGCACACTATTTTGGATTATCAAACCATTACGAATGTGAGCTAATAAACGGAATTATTTATATTAGCTGACTTAAGAGTATTCCAAAAGAAACTATGATGTGCCTAGCTTTACAATGTCTGTTGAGTTTTGCATCATAACGCCATTTTTCAGAATCGGTTCTCTATTACCGTACTGTACAATGAAGGGAAGTATCTCGGATCGGTGATTCTCTGGTACCGCTGGTATCGAAGGTATCGAGGTATCAAGAATCGGAATCGACCCATCCCTACTTTAAACATTTAAGAGTCCTCACTGTTATAGTTTATATGTTTCTTGACTGTATTATTATGTTTGTCAACAACAAAAGTTTCAATCCACCAATTAAAAAGAAATACCTTCAATGCTAGACATGAATTTTTAAAATTCCTTCCTTTAAAAATTAAAACAGAACAAAAACCTGTAACTGGAAATCATAAATTAGAGCTCTTCACGAAAAGACTGTGAATTCAAAATATACATTTTATAATTCCTTCCTTTGAAAATTAAACAGAAAAACCCCAATATTTTAAACAAAACCTCTCAAAGAATTTTTTATGTGCCTGTTCTAATACTCTTTAGATGAGCATTAGCTTTAGTTTATTTGACTTAATTCGTGTACAACTATGTATAACTATGTTATGAATAAAGATTCTTGACTATGGCTATGGTTGTTTGGCAGGTTCGAAGGCTCACCAAAGAAGACGGTAGGAACAACAAGGGTAGTGAGATCGAAGACACTCTCAAGAAGATAGAGAGACACATGAAGGAGCGTAGTGTGCCTGAGCCAGGCAAGGTGTCGGCCATGGCTGCCCATCTGGCCAATATGAACCAGGAGCCGGAGAAACCTGTGCTGCAGAAGTCTGTAAGTTGCTTCAATTGTTGAGTTTTGAACAGTTTTGGAAATCAGTTACGGTCGACTCCCTCTAATGTGCGGTCTTCAAGACTAAACCGCTATCTGAATAGAAAAAGCTCACACTATTTAGATTTTTAAAATATATGTAACTTATTTAACCTGTAATAGTGTAATAGATTGTACATAAATCCCCTTTTAATACATTTAAAAAATACTTAACAAATTAGAGTGTGTTACTTCCCATTGATTTGTTGGTTTTTAAGACTTTCCAATTTGCATAAACAAGTTTTAGTAGGTAAATTTTCTGTTTTGCATGGATCAATAAATAAAGCTGAATATTTAAAAATCACTAAAACACAAGACAAGAATTCAGTTAGAAAATACACAGCAAACAATGATCCAGTTAATACGACCATTACCTGAACTGGTGTTGATTATTTTCAACCACTGTGGAAACAAAATGACAAAAGGTTAATTGTTCTGTCAATTCAGGCTGTTAAAAATACTTCTGATAATATATTTAAAAAACTTCCAAATCCCGTCATCTCAGTCCAGACCAAATTGGGTCAACTGTATTTAGACCAATTCGTTAATTAATAGGCAAAATGTGGTTCGGATTCCACTATAAACTCCCTTGGATGCCATTGGCTGTATGAGCTATTAAGTAACAGCTGTGTCAAAGGAATATGTCGGCCTTCACCAAAAGCCCGATTTCACCAAGTGAACTGCCATTAAACCATGCTCTAACTGGAGTTAACTCTTAACTGACAAAATCGGATTTCACCACTCGCCGTTAGAGCTAGCTTAGACTAACTCGTCGTTAGTTAATTAACTACCCAACTTTGACCGGTTAACTTCTTTAATCTTCGTGAATTTGGTGAAATCGGGCCTTAGTCCGAAATAGGACCTTAGGTGAAATGGGTGTCCGGTTAAGGAAACAAGACTACAAGATCGTGCCACTCATACTACACTTATCTCCATTCATAATTGGCTTAAAATGGTTTGTATGGTCGTCATTTCAAAGTAAAGTATTAAAGTATAAGTTTTACAATAGATTTAAAAATAATAATAATAGATTTTCACAGTAGATTCGATATTGTATTTCATAACATTTAACTTTTATTAAATTTATTTGGATCAGAGTTTGTCCATGTGTCCGGATTTGATCATCACTAGTACATTACATTTTGGTATGATTTCTTCAAGGAAATTTTCAATTTTGCAGAACTCCAAAGCAGCTCTGAACCTCCCCACGACTGGTGGCTCGGAGATCTGCCATTTCTGTGCCAAGAGGGTGTATGTGATGGAGAGAGTGAGCGCCGAGGGCAAGTTCTTCCATAGGGGCTGCTTCCGTTGCGAATACTGCAAGAACATCCTGAGGCTCGGTAGGTAGTCTAAACCTTAGCTGTCAAATGTTGCCATTAGTGTAAAATTGTTACATGAACTTGCTAAACAAACAGATAACTTTATCTGCTAAATTTTGAACTTATCGTAACGGAACGTTCATATTCACATGATGGTAAGAGAATAACAGACATCTCTTTACTAACGTCACATTAAACCGTCTATTGGGTTTCAGTACTACCTATAGTTAACATGTTCAATGCGGAACCAAATTGGCTATATCACTCGTGCGGCTAAGATATGAAAACTCAAATTAACTACCCAAATGTCGTTTTGGATGATGATCTGGTGTTATTTCGCCAACATTTTCAATTTTTCTCAAGATATAACGTCATCATTCGTCATGCGCCGCATCATACGACTGCCATGTAGAACCGACGCACGTGACACCAAAAGTAATCCTTGGTTTGTCTTGTAAACGGTGCTTGTCCGTATCTCCTACTTCATCTTCAGTGAGAAATTCATCAATCCGTGAAGAACTAGCCATAATCATTCACTATTGCACAACACTTATGTAATGTAATACACTAAAACACAAAAACATACACACAAATAAGAAAAAACAAGCGCAACAGGAACGATGTTGCCCGAGGAAACACAAAGGACTACTTCATACAGCGCAACGAAAAACAATATCCTCCTTTGACGGCTCAGCTCATATCAAGGCAATAATTTTGTACTGGTGCTTTACCTGCGTGTTAAGTTGTAAAAACATTACAACTTACAACTATGTACAATATAACATACAATGAATACTAATTATTGCACCCATTCTTTGCTCCAGGAAGAGTCTTGACTTCTTTGACTTAATCCTGTTAAGAGTCCTTGGAGGCTAGCGGCCAGCTTGTATAATTTCAAACAGCTGCTGAAGAGTGAATTATAATCCAAAAATAGTATTTCAAACACCAAAGTGATTATAATTTTAATATCTAGTATACCAAGAGACTATAAATTTTCATTGTTGTTTTGGATTGATTTCCAAGAGATTCCATGGAATCCAACAGCCATCTTGGATTTATTTGCCATAAGAGCAATGTAAATTTTGTTATTTTCAAACTGCCGCTGAAGAGTTATTAAGCATCTCAAAATATTTGTTCAAATACCAAAGTGATTGTAATTTAAATATCTAGCATACTGTTGGATTAGACATTTTCATTATAGTTTTTTCATTGTTTTATGAGTTAGATCGTCTAGGCTCCAAGGACTCTTTAACTCCTCCTGGAGCATAAGGCCTTGACTGGTCCTCTCAACCTGATTCTTTTGGCTAGTCCCCTCTTGATGTCTTCCCATGTTTTGCCTTTCTCCTTTTTTTCTAGCCATGTTCTTTTTCACGTGTTTCTGGGTTTATCCACTCTCCTGCTTCCATTCTAATGCCTCCGTTGCTACATCTCCATTTCCCTTCGGCAAGGACAGGGTGGGAGCACAGAAAAAGATTATTAGTCTCTTAAATCATAGTATAGGATAGGAAACTGTTAAATACTATCCAACACTAAAAACAATAATAAAAGTCACCTTTATAGTCTAGTTGCACACAATTCTCTGATATTCACCAATTTGTCTTTTTATCAATGTTACGTTGCATGCATTCTTTTTGATACTGTTATAAATAACTGGTCTTTTCAGGCAATTACTCCTACGACAGGGATGGAAAGTTTGGAAGCCAATTTTTCTGTGTACATCATTATGGCATGACTCGAACGAGAAAAGAGGAACAAGCAAATAACAAAGAAAATATTGCAAGACGAGTACCCAAGACCCCAGAAACGGTAAGAACCAATCTTGAAAAATTAAAATTACAGAAATTATTGAAATAGTTAGGTCTTGCTTTCCTTTTTCTCTTGAGCAATCTCTTTAGTGTGTGATAAAATTGTATTAAAAATTAACAATTTACCTTGAAGTCTAGGTAAATTAATTAGTTTGTTTGTTAAGATTAATTTTCAGTTTTCATTGATGACCATTTGAACCATCTGTAACAGCCAGTCCATGAGGTCTTAGTTGTATTAGTGCTAAGCCAAACAAATATAACGTTTATTTTATTGGTAAAGCGCTTTTTGTTTTGTTTAATTTTCAATGCTTAGTTTACTGGTTACTATTTTAGAGGCCATCTCCTTTCAACCAACACTATTATTATAAGATTTAATTTTTATTTTAGCAACTTATTGGTTTCGAATGCTGTACATGATTAATTTTTTATTAGACTACACAATTAAAACAAAACTTATATTTTTATTTCTTGGTTTTAACTCACACCAGTTTCATTTTGAGTTATCTTCTTGCATGATGAATAAGCAATTTGTTTAAACTTCCACCTACATCTGTGCTCGCTTGCAGGTTATGCAGTTGCAGGAGAAGGATATGAATGACCTAGGAGCCACGCCTGAGAGGATAGAGTTTGAGAACTTGTCAGGTATCGGAGAGACGGCGTCTGACCACGAGGATGCTGTCTCTGAGATGGACGAGGAGGAGTGGACTGACCGCAACTTTGGAGCCTCGGCTGCCGAGGTGTCCAGCGACGATGCGTCTGACCTTAGGTACTTTACCTCAGGGCTTGGATACCAGAGTTTTAGTATTTACTATTAGATACTGAAATAGCCATTCCATCTGTATGGACCAATGGTAGCCTTCTTTTTTTTTTTAAAGAACCTAGTTGAATGAGCCATTTAACGAGTGTGCTACTGTATACAATTCTATTGTATCCCTTGGTTTTTGTGTCTGTGATAATTGATGTGACATAAAATATGCTATAGATTGCTTTAAGTTGTCCTTTCAGTTTGGTTAAGTCACATAATTAAAGTATATTAATTGTAAGTCTAATACAGTTTTGACTCCTATTGATTCCTTGAGTTACATGGGTATATCTCAATATGTGATAGGAGACAAACAACTGGCAAGTATGACTATTATAGTGTCATTGTTATTGTGTTTCAGTGACAGTGATGAAGAGGAGGCGTACGCGGAGGCGTTAGATGTGGACGTAGGAGTAGGGATGACCAAGGATGAGACCCTGCGTCTGGCCGAGAAGTGGACGAGACGACACAGCAACAACGTCGCAGCGGACAACGATGAGGAGAGTGGCTCTTGTCACGACTCTGACGACTCTCGCGACCGCTTCAGCTACCCTGAGTACGACAGTGAGGGTAAGCTCCCAAGTATCATATACCTACAGATCCATTCATCTACCAGCTCAAGTCCCCCGGGTGCATTTACTAAATGTCAGGGCGAATGCACAAATGTAAAAAAATTCCTCAACATCTATTTGATCGGCAATTTCACTTATCTGGTCCTATATTTCCAGACTAGTGGAAGACAATGAGAGAAATGGGAAAAATTTTGAAAATTTCTTTCCCTGGTTTTAGAGATTCAGATTTGACCGTATCAATCACGTTCTGTTAAAACGGTTTTTCATTATTTTATCCATCATGAATATTTCTTTTTGTAAATAGGGCAACCAAAGGTTAATTTATGTTGGGTATAATGTTTAACCAAACAAAAAGTATTTAAACATTATTTTTCTTAAAATAACTGTCTTTGTGCCATATTTTTTTTCTAAACAATATTAGAAAAACTATTTCTATTTGAAAGCTATTGTTTTGTTCCTTCGGTGGGTGTAGAAATAAGAAACATGTTGTTGACCGTACTTTAATACTATTCAATTAAATTTAAACTTGTTAATTAAACTGAACTAAAATTGAAGCTAAATGTTTACTTCTGTTGTTTTTATTTCTATTTCAGCATACAAACTTTATTTTTATAAAGAGTCCATCTATACTAACATTATTAAAAACTTAATCTATTTGAAGAGGATAGTTAAACCAAGGATTTCTCTCCAACTGCTCTTGCAGTTATAAAAAATACTTGTACAGAACTATTTTGTTTCTTAACTAATTTGTTCATCCGTTCACTCTCTTCACTCTAATTATCTAATGAAATGTCACTTTTAACTGTTCAGATCTGGCTTTGACTATTCCTCGGATTCCTCCAACACTTCTGCATTGTCTACTGGTTCTGGATTATTTTCTTGTTTTAATTTCTCCTGAGAACATTTTTTCGTTTTTCTCTTGGGCATAGCAAGCTCTTGTCCATTACACATTATCATCGAGTGGTCCAGGTAGGCGAGTTTACCTGATTTTTCGGATGTCAACCTGTTCCTTTTTCATGTGTATCTAGCTGAAAGTACTGAACGTTTGCTTTGAAGAAGGGTATGTAACTGGTGCTTCAAGAAAATTTATTGCAAGTATAAATGTCCAATCTTTGGTGCGCTTAAAATTGCTTTGGGAAACTGTCCCTTCATATATGTCTAGTCTAGCCTATTGGGCTAAAGCCAACGTCCAGATGTGCCAACGTCCAGGTGTGCCAATGTGTATTTTCCATCTTTGTCCTTTTAAATCTATCTCCTCCTCTGCCACTCTTTGTGGTTGTTTTTTCCATATAGCATAATATTCTCTTTTTAGCGAATTTCCCATATAGGACTGTACTACTCATGGTAAGATTTGGACCCGGGACAGATTTTTTGTTTTTTTGTTTTGAGGTCCCTAGAGGCCAAAAACACCATCCGTTCAAATTCATATATGTCCGTTAGCACGAAAACTCACGCAAAAACGATCCGATTTTGATGAATTTGGTATAAACGTGTAAATCTACATTTATTTGAAAGAGTTCGCGAACCAGCATGATCGGACTATGGGAACGGGGGGGTTCATGGGGGTTTTTATGGGGTAAAAATTGGTTTTCCCATTTTTGACCCAAAAAAACATATAATTTAGCAATTTCTTTCTAAACCATTTTGTAGAGCTTAGAAAAACAAATAATTTAATATATTAAAGCGTTATTATGCGCTCAACGGTTACGGAGAAAATTCCAAAAAACTGTAAATTCAAAATTCTCATATGTTATTCTTAAGGAGAATAAGTGAACTGTTGTAGTTTGCTTGTTTATGAAGATATTTTGATCGAATTTGGAAAATATTTTTATTTATTACTAACTATTAATTAATTGTTAGTTAAAAAAAAAAAGTTTACCATCCTTGTTGCAGCAAACCTAAGTACTTGTTAACCTAATTCTATTTAAATAGGGAATAAATGTGATATTTTTAAGGAGACATTTTAGTGTAAATCCAATCAGGCAAATGGAAATTCGCTTAGTCTGCAGGTTTGCTGCGGCGGGGGTATTTTTTATATGTAGAGTTGTGTGTCCGTGAACGCGATAACTCGAGTAATTTTTTTCAGATTTTTATAAACTTTGGTTTAAAGGTGTAAGGCGGGATAAAATTAAATGAGTTCGCGAACCAGCATGATCGGATCATGGGAATGGGATGTTTTATACGGGATGTTTTATGGAAGACAAAATTGCGTTTTCTCATTTTTGACCCTTAAAACACAAATATTTCCAATTTTTCTTTAAACCTTTTTAAAGAGCTAAAAAAAAAACAATTAATTTAGTATAGTATTTAGTATCAAAGTGTTTTTGTACTATTAATAACGGAGAAAATTTAAAATTCCCATGTTATTCTTATACCATCCTTGTTGCAGCAAACCTAAGTACTTGTTAAACTAATTCTATTTAAATAGGGAATAAATGTGATATTTTTAAAGAGACATTTTAGTTTAAATCCAATCAGGCAAAGGGAAATTCGCTTAGTCTGCAGGTTTACTGCGGCGGGGGTATATTATTATATTTTGCCATTTCTTTTGCTGCATTTTCTTTCCATCCATTTCTTTCTTTAGACCGATTTTGACACTCTTCCTCCATTCATCCTTTTTAGGTGACAAACAACCTCAGTCTTGCCAACTTTGCCAGTATTCCAAACTTTTGTATGATATGTTTGTCTCTCCTTCTCGTCTTTATTTTTGTACTAATGTCCTCAGAAATTGTGTTCATGAATCTTGTGTTTGGCTAATATCTTTTTCCTGGGTTTTCATGTTTCTAGGTCATAAAATAGTTAAATATGAGTTCAAGATTGTGATTTGGCCCCTTTTCAGTAGTTAACTATCCTATAAACGACTTCTTTCGTATTAAAAAAGTGTTTCTACTTAATTTGTTTTACTTGTAACTTATTCTACATCTGTGCCATTTCTAGTGATTTTACAATGAGGTAATGTAAATGGTCTACATTTTGAAAGGTGTATGATTTCCAACTAGCAAGATCACTGACGTCTTTGTCCATTCTTAGTTCAAACTCTTTGAATCTTGTATACCTGATATTGAGTTGATTCAATCTAGCTTTCATATCAGTCCATTTCCTTAATTTATTATAACTGACAGAGACAAATTTTAAGCCATCATGCATATTATTGCTTTTTGTTAAGTATATTTTGTGTGCAGAATACTAATTAGTTTGCAATCATTATTCAATATTGCTTTTTACATGTTATAAAATGTTGTAAAAATTGCAAAAATGCATTTGGTATTTTTTAGATGAAGAGAGTGACACGGCAACAGAAGGAGAAGAAGAAGTTAAGGCTAGAGAACTGCGAAGGCAAGAAGTTCACTTGGAGGCGCCGGATATTGAAACAGACTCAGACACGGAGGTGAATAACAATAATGAAAGTAATAGTGAAAATATTAACGATCCTAACGCTGACCCTTGTGGTATCCCTCCCGATGTGATTAGAGACTCCAGCTTCACTTCCTCTCCAGAACTTATCTTTGACACTGATAGACCCTCGACCCCACCTGTCCCATCCCCAAGAAAAAAGACAAACAGCTTCAGAATTACAAGCTCAAGTATCCCCTTGTCCAAGCCGAAAATAGTTTTAATTCCAAAAAGTAACTTAAGTTCTAATACTTCATCACCAGTTTTACCATTGAGAAAACCAAAGCCTACAAACGAAGAAAAGCCAAAAGTTGATTCGTCGGCTACCCCTATTGCTCCTTTAAGAAAACTTAAACCGGTCAAAGTGGAATCTGGAATTGAGCCTGTAAACTCACCGTACTCTACTCCGGTTTTGTCCCCAAGAAAAATTAAGATAGATCCTAATGATCCTGAAACAAATCTAAGAGCTGCAATTAAGAAACTGTCAAAATTAAAGATTGACAATAAAAGTAGTAATGTCTCATCTTATGACACTCCCCGTAACACCGTGTATGAAAAGGATGCAAATTGTTCAAATCCTTCAGTGTATGAAACTCCAAGAGCATCCCCAGTAACTCCTATCCCTACTGATCCTGCTAAAAAACTATCTTTGATTAAAGAAAAAGTCACAACAAGTCCTGATTCGGAAAAATGTATCAAATCAATTTTAGCTACAAAACTTGTAAAAGGCAAAGATAAACCTTCTACTTCACATAATTCGAAAGAGTGCATTGTTATGTGAAGTTTTGAGCTGTACTTTTAATCGTGTGATTTTTAATTCAAAATAGTTGTAACCTTAAGAAATTTTTTTATTAATTACCAAGCTTTTTTAAATCATAAGTAAAGTAGTTTTTCGGTGAACATTTCTTTTGTTGAATCTTTGCTTTACAGCTACTGAAGTTTAGATACTGTGATAAATATCTAGTCATTTTTGTCCCATGTAGTTTTTGTTTTATTTGTTATTTAGTTTTATGTTAAAATTGTTTGTAATGAGCTCTTCTATTTTGAGTGTTAATTGATCTGTAAAATATTCTTTAACATATATTTTTGTTGAATATATTTGTTTTATTTTCAAATTATGTTTTATTAAATGTTATCTAAGATTATTTATTTTTTCTGCTATGATATATTTATTTAAGTAAAGCTTTATTTTCTTGAATTACTTGAGTTTATTCTTTCTTCAATTATTTCATAGACTTTTTTCATAAAACATGCATTTTATACTTTAGTATTTGAAGTTCTTTACAACGCTATGTTCCTTGTATTTTGTGTATTGTAAACCTTTTTCCTTTCTCACATTTTATAAGTTTCACTGGTTGGTTATCAATAGTATAAACATCATGATAATTACTGACTAAACTGTAAGAAAAAGAAAGACAATGGAAAAATGAATTCCTGAATATTGTTTAATTTAAAATCATTGAATTTGAAAATGTTATCCGGTTTAACAAAACATAACTTTTTTAAATAAGTCAGTTTTTCTAGGATTTATTTGATATAAGTTTTTTAATAAGATATAATTCTTTTCATAATTTGGTTTATTTTTTCTTTTAAATCGATTTATTTTTCTCAAATGCATATATTTATTTTATTTATTTATTTGAATAACATACATCCTACAATGAGTTAAAATCTCAATTTCCTAAAATGCTGACTATAGCAATACAATCAATAGTAAAAAAAAAAAAAAAAAAAAAAAAATACATTGGCAAAGAATGAAAAAAAACATGTACATATTATATGTTTAAATGGTTCAAATTTTTTTCATATATTTATTAAACTATTACATGTGCTAATAATGTCTGCATTTGTTGATGGCATGCTAGATGATGGGCACTTTAGGATATGTATAATATCTAAATTTAAAGGTTCACAGATCAGATTTTCTCTACTTGCACCATTAAAATATCAGGTACTTTTGTGTTTGTGAATTTGATTTGTTTTCAGAACTAACAACAAACCAGCAGGTTAGGGAAATATCCACTCAAACTTTTAGCTGTATTAGGAAATGGTTATCTAGACATTAAATGCAATAGTTAAATAGCATAGGTATTAATCTACTTTGCTTCTTACTAATTCCTTATTAATTACCTGAATAATTTTGAAATTTGCTGATTTCACCTATGTAAAGGTTAACTTTTGCCTCTTCTCAAGTTAATTGAATCAAAATGTCTAATTTTCAATAAGGCTACGTTTTACACATTAAACTTTAAAAAATTAATATGTATTTTGCTGAGGTATTTATTTTTTATATATTAGGAGTTTTTAAATATTAATTTCCCAGGGTGCTGTTTTTATACTGTACGGTCTGTTGATTTTATCAAAGTGAAATCTACTGTATAATATATTTATAAGACTCATTCATTGATAGGAATTAACTATGTATTATCTCCTTTTAGTCGGTTATATTAATACTATATATAAAGAATATTCTAAATTGTATTCTCTAATGTGTAATCTCCATTATTTCTGCTCTGTTTAATTTCATACATTATATTTTATAGATGTTAATGTAATAATCTATAGTTTTAGACTTAATAGTTATTACTTACCAAGCTATTAAGTAAATTGTTCATATCCTTTGCCTTCCTTCCATACTCTTCCAAAGTTGTTAACATTAATTTTGTTGTTTGGGGGTGATTTGTAGTGGATTTATTACTAACTTATTAGATTCTCACCATGTATCTAAAATATTTCAAATACATTTTAAAATATTTTTTTCCTGAATAAAACAAATTCTAGTTAATTTCAAAAAGCAACTTCAGTTTATTAGAATCAGTTCAAGATTGTCTTTATAATTTAATTAATTATTTTGTATATGTGATTTCTTAAATATTCAAAACTGTGGGAAAGTAGTCATAGAGTTTATATTTCTTAAACCTGCTGGTTGAATTTGCTTTTTTAATGTATCTAACTAAACACTTTTAAAATATAGAAAAATAAATACACTGTTTTTCAAAATCCTTCTAGCTATGTCTTTATCGTTGCAGATACTAAATGTTAAGCCTCTTTAGTTTCTATTAACTTTAACATCCTAAATTATTATTTTAAACTTGTACAATATAATACTTTAGACCTTATTAATACTATCATTATATGCTGTTAAAACATGTTATTTAATCTTCACACATGATTGAAAACTATTCTATTTTTATTAAACATGCTTGCAAACGTTCACTTATCTTCAACATAATGAAATTATCACTAATTTAAACATCATGTTAATCAGTTTTTTCCTACAAGCATATCACAGCTCGAGACTTAGTTTTTGTGCACCCCTAAAATTAATACGCATGATATGGTAGAGCTAATTTATAATATATTCTGTTATTTGTTACTATCTGTTACCCCTTCACCCCGTTTGACTTCATCAGTATTAATAAAACTATTGATTGGTTAAGTTAAGCTGAAATAAACAAAACTGAATACAGTAATTGAAACAAATAATCACAACTGATTTTAATAAGGTAATAAATTGAACGAATATCAAACAAATACAGCTGAGGTATTTTTAACATTAGGTATATGGAAAGTCCCCTTTAGAAAGGAATTACGACATTAAAGGGCAATTTATGGAATAATGGATTGTTTTGCACAAGGTTTCTCATCATGACAAACATTTTAAGTATATGGTTTATGGGGGTGCGAGTTTTAGTTTTCTCAAAAGTTCATGGGTACTTTGGGATTTATATATGGATAGTTGTCTCAATTCTGTAATTTTTCAGTTCCCTGATGTACAGTATTTTAATTTTTTTTTTTTGTCAATAACCTTTATATATTTTTAGTAAGTGAATGTTTATTCAGTTCAACCAACACACATTGTACATTCCTACACCACATCAAAAAACATTAGAGATTACAATGAGTTGAAATCAGGCTGTTTGTAAACCAGTTTATCTTAAAAGAAGAGTATATTTAATAATGTTCTATTTGTTTGATTTTTATCTCTAGAAAAATATAATAATATCAAGTTTAATATAAAATAATATAGTAGTAGGCTATCTATATAATTAATACGCTACATGAAACTTTGTCGGTTGAACTCCTCCGCCATTTCTTAACCGATTTTATCCATTGACGTCTCATTGGAAAGAGCGTGTCGCGTAGATTTGCAAACTGGCCTTACATTTTTTTTAAAGTCCCTTGGACTCTGCCCCATTGGCTTTGAAAGTTCCCATGTTATCCTTATGGAGAACACAATTGTTTACATTTTGATCAGCTGTATAATTTAATTGCTGTTATTTATTTTTCAATTCAATGAAACGCATTGAGTACATTTATTTACTACAGTATTTGAGTTTGTGTAAACATAACCCCCAAGACGGATCGTGTTAGTATGGTTGTATCTCAAATTTGTGCATTTATCGTTGTTTTGTGTAGCTATAATGTGTTTAATTGTTGTTTTTTTCTTTTAAATGTCTACGACGTGACGACAACAAAACATAGACAGGAGGCGTAATCGTGATAACGACCGTAGCTAACAGAACAGTGGCGCGTAATAGGCTTAACTCATCACAGTCAGCACCTGACCCTGGACAATCTCTAACACTACCCCATAACGACTTTTTGTTCTCAACTGGCCCTCTATCAATGACCTGTGTTGCCTCTCGCCTGTACATCGAGGCATTTTGAGAAGGAGAAAACAGGCCGGAATGCTTTAGGTTTATCAATAACGAAGATAAACATGTTCTGTGTTACACACCGACCGGTAATGTTTGAGTTAACTCTTTTGAACTCATTGTAAATATGACTGTTATTCGTTTTGAAATAACTCCTGTAATACTTTGCAATTGCTCGAATTCGAGCAACGTGTACACTAGTTTAATATAAAACCAAGTTTAATATCACAAAATAATAATTACTCATTTAATTGATATGGATATGCTGTTTACCTGATTCATAACCAACTTGTAACCTTGTGATTTAGGTGGCGTCAGATGAATACACAAGCTCGTCTGAGAGTGAGTCTAGCGAGGAAGAGGTTGAAAACTCAGCTACGGAAATCTCAACAGACTCTGAGTTTGAACATGACGGAACAACTCCGACTCAACAAAACATCCCGGATATTGTCATCAGCGAGAGTGTTCAAGTGAAACGAGGTAATACATTGTTTACGTTTGTGTTGTTGATGATGCTCTTTTCAAGTGAAAACTTTTTAATTTTGCATTTGATTTAAATTTAACTCGCTTCAACCAAAGTGATGTGTTTAGTTTTGACACAAATTGTGTGGTGGCTTCCACATTGATTCTTGAAAGTCTGTTCCTCTCATGTTGTGTCAAAATGCTTTTTAGTGCTTTTTGCATATTCTTGTCCAAATCTTTGAGATGGTCCTTTGAAGGAGCAGCAATATTGCATAGAAAATCAAATTAAGAATAGATTGATTCATCAAGTCTGTCAAAGACTTGTCTATGCTGTCTTATGAATTTTGTGTACATTGTTCGAGACAGCAATACTTAATCATATTTTATTATTAGAAATTATTATTTGTTGACACAATTTCTGTAGATACATAATGCTCCTATTTTTTTTTTATCCTCCTTGGATAGGAAAACAAGTGTACTTCAAGTAAGTTAAATACAAGACCTAGTCCAGGTCATGGTTATGAAGTACAGATATAATTTGTTTAGATCTATTTCCAATAAAAATTCTTGTTTCTTAGGTCGTCTGGAGGAGCCAAGGAAAGTCCAAATGCTCAACAAACCTGTGAATGGAAAGCTTCCAGAGACTAAGAAAGATGTAGAACTAGAATTCACTCCTTTGATACCAGACAGACCAAGTTTAAACAACATAAACAACAATAATGGACCAACTCCTTTGATTAATCCTCGTAGGGGTGATTATCTGTTGAACAGAACTCATTCTACTGAAGGGATCGCTTCAAAAATATCTTTAGAGCTTAAAAAACGTTACCTACTTGGTCCCTCTGGTTTATCAGGAAACGTTAAGAAGTCCGGCTCTGCATCAACATTAGACTCAAGGTTTAAAAGTTTTGTCAGCCACATTTCAGAACAACAAAAACTTTTAAATCCAGCTCCAGAGCCAAGTCCTACAATGCAGGCTATTCTTCAAGGTGCAGATAAAATCCATGTCTCTCCTTCTATAACACAATTGGGGAGAAAGGAAAAAGAACTCCCGGGAGTAGCTAACTTTAGCCACATATGTCAGCTCAAGGATAAGGAAACAGTGCCTATTGAAAATCTTCCAACCTTAACAGAAACAATTAAAGAGTCTTCTCAGCAGTCTGATAATACCACCAGAGAAATATCTGTGATAGAATCAAAGGATACAAACGGCACAGTTGACCAAGGTGATAGTAGACCTAGGAGTCCTGTCCACGAGACTTCGATTGTTGTGCCAGATTTGCCTCAGGCTAAGAAAGAAGAAGAGGAGGAGGAAGATATTGACAGTGATTCCCTCTCATCAGACAATGACAGCTCCCTAGAAGAAGAGTCTGACCACAAGAGTCAGGGGCAAGTGAACATTCCTCCCAAAGTAGAAATCCACAACTCAAGAGGAGAGCTGATGGAAGACGGAGAAGAGAACGAAGCAGTTGTTCCAATAGTGGAGAGTAAACCTGATGTAGCTGACACTGAGGAACCAGCAGCCCTCGATAGTCTCAATATGGTGGTTCCAGACATCTGCCAACACACTAGACCAACAGACTTCCTGCCTAATGTTCTCTTCTCCAATAGAAGTCAGGTGGATCTTGTTCCTACAAAAGAAAAGGATAGTAGTACCTTCCAAAAAATAATATCTGTTCCTAGCACAAGTGAAAAGCTCTCTGAGAGAGGGCAGATTTTAAAACAAGTTCCTACCACAGCAGAGCTGTATGTGTCTGAAGATAAATCAACCGACGGTAAAGGAAGTGGTAAAAGTAGTCCATCGTCCCCAATCTCTGTCGGAGATGATGACAAAAGCTTACAAAACGAGTCCCTCATGGCTGCCTTAACTGAAACTGAACTGTCAGACTGGGCGAGAGATGAGGATGTGGGGGTGTCAGAAAATCTAGAAGACTTGGAGTTCAACATAAACCCTCAATATATCACTTACAGAAGGCATCAGAAGCCGAGAAATAAACGTAACTCTAGAGGGGCTGCAGCCAAAATAGCAAGAACTGAAGATTTTGACGATGAATTCGGACACGTGTGTGGTAGAGTGGACAAAGTGCCTCAAACTTCTAATCTTTTAGTGAATACAGACAATATTGAGTTCATGGACACAGGTGGCGAAGAAGAAAGTAGCACTGATGAGTATTTGAAGAATAGTGGCTACGTTCAGTTTGTAAATCCCACAACGGATGATGAAGATCTCATCACTCCGACTGCTGATACACCAATAAACTGTCTGCCTGATAATGCAGAAGATGGTGGCGACACAACAACAAGCAACAGTGAGGCTGTCACTATCATGGAGAGCCCTCTTGATGCTCACAAGGATTTTGAAGTCAATCCAGTCATTGAATCCCCTGTCATAGAGTCCACCCCAACACCTGATCTCAGCAATAAAACATACGAGGAATATGTCAGAAGACAAGTTCTACAAGGTAGAATATCACCTTTTAGCAATGTCAGAGATTCAATTGACATAAGAAAATCAAGGAAACACAGTGCCAGTAAGACATCACTTTCCCTTTTATCACCAGAAAAAACTCTAAAAGAGGATAAAGAAATTATAATCATGGAAAAAGCAAAGCCTCAAACTACCTCACAAAAGCTAGAAGAGATTTCCAAAGAAAGATCAAAACAAAAAGATTTAATACATGAAATGGTTTTAGAAAAGCTGATGGTTCAAGGAAAGTCTGCCCAAGATCGGAAGCTCAAGAGGAACTCAAGAAGTACGCCCAGTCCTCGATTGGGATCTCAAAACTCAATTATCAGTATACCAAGTGATAAAATAGAATCGACTCATGAAGTTGATAATACTAGCTCAAAATTAAGTTCAGCAACCTCAATACCAAATGAAACAGACAACAAGGTACTAAAAGAAGAAAATCACAATGAAATCCCCTCTCAGCTCACCCCTAATGCATTTGAAACACCAAACAATATTTCAACTGAAAAGTTTTTTACACCAATGACCTCTTTCAAAGAACAAGCAGCTAAAAGTAGACCGCTTTCAATGAACTTTTCTTTCCGGTTGCAAAATAGTGCCAATAAAAATAAAGCCCTGCCTGTTACCCCTTTGACCAACCCAGAAGCATACTCTCTTCCTGACATTAGAAAAGCTTTATTTGAGTGTGAACACAATTTTAAGACTCCCATTCCTCCTCCAAGGCTAAAGGCTTTAGATAGAGAGCAAGTGCGGGCATCTGCAAGAGCGAGAGCCAAAATGCTCTCTGACGAAGAATTGGGATTGAGTCCAGAAGAGAGGATCAAGAAGTTAAAAGAGAAAGTTTCTTTAAGGAAATTTGAAAGAAGCGAATCATCTCCTGCTTCTAGCCATATTGAACCCGCTTCAATAGACAATTGTATTCAGATCTCTTTGTCTCGGTCAAATGAGTCCCTCACTGTCGTCAACTCTCGAATTCCTGAAATAAATTCAGAGAAGAAAGAAGACTTGGTGCCTTCTAAAACATCTCCTCGAGTTAGTCCGAGACCTCTAGAATCTTCTCCTCCTCCTCTAAGCAAGGTAGGTTTCCAGATAGGTTAATTATTTCTACTTGTAAATTTATTCAATTCAATACAAGTATGAGACACACTCACATATCACACAATTGTTTGAGTGATAAATAAATAAAATAGGCCTAAAGTTTTTTCGTTCTGTATCATATACTTTTATATTTGAAAGTTTTAGATTGTACAAAAACGTTCAATATTGTTGATACAAAATTAAATATACGAGCAATGCATCTTACTAAAATATTTTGTATGTTATCTGTGAGGATTTGATGATGGTCATATAATGTTTTTTTTTTTTTTTTTAATAGTTAACATAATTTGTTTTTAAATATTTATTTGAAAAAATTAAACGGATAAATTAGTTATCAGCCACTAAATTTACTGATTGGCAGTAATAAGATCTTATTGTTACATGTGATGTCTCAAATTTGAGGTACAACTGAACGATTAAGTATTTAATTAATGAAAACAGGTACTTTTTATTAAGGTAAACATAAGTTCCTTTTTTTCAGTTAACCTTTTACCCGTCAAATATCCACCAGACCGTAAATAATTTATTGAACAAAACAATTTTATTCCTTATAATAGATAAAAACACACTTTGCATAATGTTTTAACATAATTGGAATGCTTATTTAAATTTTTATGGAGCAAACCGTTCAGTATTGCATAGATCCAGCATTTAGGGGTGATTTCTTGTTTAGAAGAAACTTAACTTTCACTGACTAAAACCTTTGGGACTTTTAATAATGTGTAATGACTTAAATACCGGAGATTGTCTCTTAACTAACCGTTTAACTCCCTCTGCCTAGCAAAAATATTTGTCAATTTATCCGTCAAGAATTTTAAAACTGGTATGTTTAACTGACCTATTCTAGGAATCTATTTATCTATTCCTTACTGCAGTATAGAGTCGTATGTATGCAGTTGTAGATATATTACTTACAACTGGACAATCTAAATCAGCAAATCACAGATTAATGAAGTATTTTACATTTGTTAATTGTTACATGGTTAAACGTTTCAACTGACCGTTTAGGTTATCCGACCTAGGCTTAGAGTCAGGGTCAGTTAAGAGAGTATGTACACACAGCATGTTTTACAATTTTTTTTATAGTTGGACTTTTGGTAAATCTGTATTTTATAATTGTGATTTGTTGGTCAGGACGAGTTAAGGCTGGATAGTCAAGGGAAGAAGTCCAAGAGTAGGGACGGGAGGAAGAGCATCATACAGGTTGTGTCGTCTATCTTCCACAAGAAGTCCCCGACGTCGTTGTCACCGCCCAAGTCTGCTCCTGCATCCTCATCTAGTCACTCCAAGTTTGGAAAGTTCAAACTGAGCAGAAACAAAGACAAATCAAAGGTATTAGTCTTGAGAATGTCCATTTTTTATTCACTAATTGGAACTGTGCCACTACTTCCATACTTTATTTAGCCTATTTTTGTCTGAGTCAAAAGGCAGATTTTGAATGAATGAATGATGTTCATCTGAAGAACTTTGCTACCATAAGGTTTAAAAGAACACCAATTGATCGTTAGTACCTGACAGCAATTCTCGTTACCAACAAATCCTAGGGCATGTATCGGTAACAAAGAATTACGTTACAATGTCGATGCTGATATTTTGATAAATAAGCCTTATTCCCCATACATTTTTATATACATTATTATTTTTATATACATTATTATGACCATGCTAGCGCAGCAACATCTATGCTCACCTCTATGTACAACGAATGTACATCACTACTAAGATTTTTAAAGTATATGCCTAAAGCAATACTCGTACTGTAAGTAGGTTGAAGTTCATATCGCTGTTTTTAGTTCGGTTTACTTATTTGTAAGGAAAAATGTTAACACAACATTTTTGAAACCAATAATGGAACCTATTAACAATCTCTTAGGGAATATCAAAGTAAATATCTATATATTTAATACACAGTTGTAACACTGTTTTCTCAATAATTACTGGACCGATCTACAAGATTTATGTCTCAAATTAAAGGGAATAGTGTGTAGATTTGCCGAACTTCCTTAGAATTTACGTTTTTTCTAAAGGCTACAACCTACAGCCCTTTAAAGGTCGAGTCAATACAATTCTTATTGAAGAATATAATACACAGTTAATAAATTATTCGTCAGCTGTTTAATGTTTGTCAGACATTTGTTATTATTTTTATAACCTCACTTTCAGTATGCAATTATTAAACTTGGAGTTTCTGTTTATAAACACACGATTTTGATCAAGGAAAGTGTATTTGTTAACTTATTTTTTAAATGTTTTAGTTTTCCTGCTAAGTGATCCGAAGGAAAGTGGTAATTGGGTTTAAGATTGAGTATGGAATGTGAAATAATACTCATAGTAGGGAACGGAAACTTATTGTTTTTATCAATATAATTTATTCTCTACGGCCACCAGAATAATTATGGGGAAATCCGCTAGCAAGTTGTACATATAATTGCTAATGAGTGGGAAACATACAAACATTTTATAGTAGGTGACAAATCTTACTCAAGATCAGTGTTAGACGTTCAGTGGTACCTACCAAACTACCTTCTCGAGATGGCGAGTACGCTGGGATATTTTGAACTACAATTTATCAGTGAACTATACCCTTACTATATTTGTTCGAGTAGGCCTACACAGGGAAGTTGCTTGAGAAACTGAAACATACGATTTCGGTTCTGGCGAAGAAGTATCTGACTTGATGTTTAATGGCAATGTTGACTCGGGTCATTATGGCGTTATAAAACTTTATCATTAACCCCAGGATGTGAAAAGTACAAAAAGAAAAAGAAAAGGTAATCATTAACCGGGCGTAAAGAGACATACAGAACGAAAAAAACATGTAGAGAACCATCGAACTAAAAAGGTAAAGAGCAGTGATGGTGTTATATGTGCTCTGGAAGTCCCTTCTAAAAAATACCAATTTTTTGTATTGGGGTCGTTAGATTGGATTTGTCAGTACTGAAAATCTATGAATTTTGAGTCAGAACAGACTAACTGGGACACAAATATTTTTTCTTATATTGTCATAAGGGGAAGGTAAAATGAACTCCTTATCAACATTTTGAGTTTATGGAAAATCTTATCAACAGTGACTATAAAAAAAATATTAAGGGTCAAAAGAGACAAAAAACTATTTGAGTAAAATATAATACAAATCTGCATTTGAAATGGCCAGTTATAAATCCACGACTCCTTTTCCATCAAATTGGACCGTTAATACCCTCTAACATTGAACAAAGTATGCCCAACTTTATATATACGACGTAAACACAGCTTTTACTCACAGTATGGGTCAAAGATTCGTGAAATGCGACCAACTGCTGATGCGTGATTTACATGTAGGCTAAGTGACTATCTTTATTCCATACAACAAATGTAATGGAAAAAAACGACGAATATAGGAATATACTTGAGCAAATTATCTAAATATCATAAATAGCTGCTTATTAGGTTATCAGCATTGCCCAGTTCGTATACTATTTATTTTTCAAATGAAACTCGAATTAATGTAAAACATTCATTTAGTTAAAATAATATATCGGTTCGATTAACATAAAATAGTTTATACAGGCAGACTATCAGTTCTATTTCATGTAAAAAATTAAACAACCCCTAAATAAAATACAAAGATAAACAGTATTTGTTAATTATTATTTCTTTTATTGCTGACAATATTCCCGTGGCGGAGCACGGGCGGTTAACTAGTGCATTTTTAACTGTCAAAATATTTTCAAGATCATGCATTAGTTATTAAAGAATTTAAAAGTACATCAAATTAGCTTTAAAGAAGAACAGGCAAGCTTTGATAAATGTTTAAAATCGGCACCGCCAAAGAGTGGGGCTTGAGTTTACACTATAATCACTTTGAATAAAAATAAAAATAATTATTGTTCCTCTTCAACCCGTTTTTTCCATAATATCCTGTTACTGGAACTTCCTATTATATTCCAAATCAAATATAACATTCACAATTTCATTCTGTATTGTTTTTTGTTCCAGTCGGCCAACAATTCAGACACAGAGGATTATTATGTAAGGATTATATGTGTTTTTTTAACAAAATCTTATTTACTCTTTGTTTCTGCTTTTGGCACACTGTTGATTTATTTATTCTATATATTTTGGTTTTTGTCTTCATTTTCATTTCATTCTGTTATCATTCACATTGGCTTAATGTTTTCTTCTATTATTACACTCTGTATTTTGTTTCTTGAAATATAAAAAAAAAACCACTGTGTAACTTATCTGTGTTTTTTAAATTTTTTTAAATAAATGTCAATACCTAGCTGTCACTTCTATCTACACATTAATTTTCTCTCTGTTACTGCTTCTTTTGAAATATTTTACTTACTTGTAACTTGTTAATACAGTTAATGAAAATATGTTTATGGAGTTTGGTGTTGGTTTTTATATTTAAATATTACACACTCCATTTATACAACAAACAATTATAAATGGATTGTTTGATTCTTATCTTTGAAGAATAGTAATGCAAATATTTGGAATCTATAGAACAAGTAATGAAAGCTAAAGTTTTAGCTTTTTACTAACTAAAATAACTTAATTTCAAAGAATCACTTTAATGAATATTCGTGTTAATAAATCAAATAAATTCACCAACCCTTCATTCATCTTTTCCATTTTTCATTCTTATTTTTTTGGTGTTTGCGGCCCAACCTAAATAGTGAAATTGATGAAGATTTAAATTTCAGGAACAAAACGTACCAATAGCGCTCAGCAAGAGCCTGAGCGAATCAGAAGCCAGACGGAAGTTGATCGACGAGTCAGCAGCTCCACCCATTCCCCCTCCACCTATAAACTATCCCTCCTCACGCCAACAATCAGGTAAGAACATTCTGGGGAACAGTTTGGTTAGCATCTTGTCTGGGCATACTTTTAATAGAGAGATTGCATGCAAATATGTTTTTTTTTTTCAAATTTCATCATGTCCCTAGTTTTAACTCTAGTTCACATATTTCATCATTAGCAGGTATTTAAGATGAAATAACATATTTATTTATGAATAGATTAAATCTATTTTAAACTGTTCAAGAAGTTTCTAACACTAAATCTTATATTTTACGAGGTGAATATAATAGTGAGCATAGGATTCAATTGTTTTATTGTTTTACACACCTAATAAAAAACAGCAATGTTAACTAAAAGATACGTAAATGTTAGGGGATCTACATCCACACAAATGGAATTCCCAGGCACAAATTTCTGCTAAAAAATTTTAATTCTTTACCTTGATTAGTGTCACTAGAAATAAATCTTTTCACTAACTCTTGGGCCTCTACCTCGAGAACCCCTGTAGTTACAAAATATTTACAAAAAAAGGCCAAATTATAATGTCAATCAAGCCTTCAAAACATTGCCATTTGGCATTCAGTATGTTCTTACAGTTTTTCACATTTACAGCTTTATTTAGAAAAGTATTCACAAATGAGCGCAAATTTTTTTATGCTTAACTGTGCTTCCTACTTTTACCTCGGCATGTTTGAACTTTTAGCTTATCTAGCACAATTTGCCTGAATATAAACATACCATAATTTTATTTATTAAGTTGGTATTCAATCCTAAGTAAAGTATAAAGAATTTCTGTGAGTTAGTGAGAATTTTTTATGTCTTTTAAGTACAATTTTTATGCTTTTACGTTTATAGTGACAGAAATTGATTTTTTTTTCAACTAATACTGATAACAAAAAGTAAGTCTGTTGGGGCTCATGGCTGAAAAATGGTAGGAGTTGTGACATACTTGCTCATACATTTGTTCTGTTTAAATAGAATAAACCTTTAAGTGTTTTATTCAGACAAGGTTTACAAACATTTAAAGCTAAAATGAGTTTTTGCAAGACAAGAGTAAGCAAATAGAGTGCCAAATATGAGTTAATTTCCGAACATATGGTCCAAATATTTAGTCCAAAGGGAAATTCAGCAATATCAACAAACTACATATCTCAGAGCAAATGTACCATCATGATCTCGCTGTACATTTCTCATTAGTTAGCGTTTGTGTTCAATGTGTCGTCATAACCAGTCAGGCTAGAGTGTATCTAACAGTATGCGGGTGCTAGAGACGCATGTATAGGTTAGGTTTGTTGCCAGAAGACAGCCTGTCCGAGCCAGAGGAAGGCGAGTCGCACGCCAGCGCAACAGTCGACAACAACTCTATGCGCAAACGCAACAAAGTGTCACGCAAACTGGAGAGGCAAGCTCACCTTAAGAGGTATGATCTTATAGTCTTTTGGATACTGAAGTAGGCATCCCATCTTTTCGGGCTGTAGCCAATTTTCTTTCAAAATAGAACATAGTTTAAAGAGCCATTCACTGTGTGTGATATGGTCTAAAACTTTTTTCTGTTAGTTTTGGGGTACTGAGGTAGTTTATGTCATAAAAGATGCTTTATGTCACAACAAGTTGACAGGTTAGTTTGGTTTGGTTCCAAATTGGCATATTCAACATGAATCCGTAATGTTGAATACGTTTCAATTTTCTCTATAACTGGCTACAACTTTTACATGGGAATGGAATGTCTAGTTCTATCACACAGTACAGTAGACTCCCTCTTATCCGGACACCTTTTAACCGGACATCTGTTTAACCGGACTACACTCGGCGGAAATGACATCTCTTTAACCGGACAGCTTTTATCAGCACATTGGTTTAACCGGACTAGTTTGGCAGGAAGTGGGCGGTACTGAAACAACTGTTCTCATGGGAAAGATTTGAGACCAGTTATCATGTGACTAAATACAATGCTCTCCTAAATTTAAGTTGAATATCACAGTAAACGGTTTGTTTTAACAAGTTATTGGGGACGTCGGCTTAACCGGGAAACCCGTTATCCGGACTGGCCTCGGTCCCGAGGAGTCCGGATAAGAGGGAGTCTACTGTATTACGGAACCCATTTGTTATTTGTGATGTTGGAATTGATGTTTTATTTTTGTTGAAATGTTCAGAGATTCAGAGATTGTTTCAACTTTGGGTTTCTTGTTTGGTCTTTTCTTTCACTAATACTGAACTTTATTCTGATGAATAAACTCTCCAGTGCTTCAGTGTTAACGCTTGTTGGGAAATTCAGCTGTTTTTTTTTTTTTTTATTATAAGTGAATTTCATATTTTGTTGAAGCAAATAAGACATGTTGTATACAGGGTGTTTCGTCATCTCAACTTTACAAAGTGATCATATTACGTGAAGAATATTTTGAATGTCCAACCAAAATTTAGATTCTAAATTAAAATTAAGAGTAGAATTTAGCTTTTATTGATTTTTATGTATACATTATAAAAGAAAAGGGAATGTTATCCCAGATATACCAACCTAAATTGAAGGTACATTTTATGTACAACACCTCTTTGTGTCTTCATAAATGTATATTATTTACAAAGTAAAATGAGAGAAGAAGAAAGAGGTAAGTTATAAGGAGCAACAAAGAAGTAAGAAGTACTGGTTTAGTTCCAAAATGTTATAGAAAGATTCTTTGGGTCTTTGAAAAATGTTGTCACTCTTCCTCGGTGTAAAGATTTTAATTTGGCATTTTGGGATAAGTAGCGCTTTTCTCCTGATGTGCATTTGCTGTGTCAGTGTTTTATAGTCTAATTTTAAGAAATCATATTATTTTAGTATTTCTATGGGCTTTTTTCTTTAATTTTGAATTTATATAGCTGGAAACAGCAAATTTCTCTTTAAAACTATGAGCAATAATTCAATCTACAATAAGTAGCTTTTATCTAATACAGCAATTAAAAAAAGTTTATTACAGCTACAGCCAAACAGTTTAAAGTTGCTACCGGAACATTTTTGTTCCTTTTGATGAGTAGAAAAAAAAATACAAAATTACAAAGATTTTTAAAAATAATTTGAACCAAAAATTTTTTTTATCCTTAAATAATGATTTTGGGGCTGGTTAGTCCAATGGTTGGAGAATGGAGCTTTTTTCCTGAGTACCCGGGTTCAAATCCCACCAATTACCAATGACTTTTCGCTATGTGATATAATTCGCTCTGGCATTGCCTGATGATTCTGAGCCCACCTATCAGGTTAAAAAGGTAGTTCTCTTAGGCAAGGATAACCCATATCTTACTGGAAATATCCTTCCACAAAACTCCATACGATAAAAAAATTGTTTACATTAATGTATGACAATTTCAATGCAAAAACGATAAACATTTTTTATTTTAATGGACAAATGAAACTTTTAGTTATTGTGATGAAAATTAATTAATTAATTAATTAGTTGCCACTCACTACTAATGAGTTATTTATTCCTCGTATCGTAGGTGTTGTGTTTTGGTATGACAATATCTATGTGTCTGGCAGGTTACGGATGGCGCAGGAAATTCAGCGCCAGCTGGAGGAGCTGGAGGTCAAACAGAGGGAACTAGAGACTCGGGGAGTGGAGCTGGAGAAGGCCATCAGGGCAGACAACAGCAGTGAGTAGATACAAAATAAGTCATAGAACGTTGTTTTTTCACGAAAGTGTTTTTGTTTTGTTTTGTTTGACGATTGATGTATGATCATGAATTTAACTTTGTCGATGATCTAATGTATACTTATGACTAATGAAGATTATTATTAATATTAATGAGTTTGCAAGGTCAACACTAATGAATGCAACTAATTGCTCAAGTGTCAAGGTGTTCCGATGACAAGGTGACCTGGTGTCATGGTGACCCAATGTCAACCTGCTCCGAATAATGACATGATTGAATCGTGGGGGAAAGCAGGTCATTTTGACACTAGATCACCTTGTCGCCAGTGATTTTTAATCAGGCTGGTAGCGTCAAGCTGGTCGGTTTAGTTATAATGAAATTAGTGTTCCAACCTGTTTCAATTGTGACCTCCTCAACATATATATAAATAACTAGCTGTAACCCGCGGGCTTTGCCCCGTTTAACTTCTAAATTTTCAAGATTATCTCGTTCGCATGGCTCAATCACGTCCTGGTTGAAGTTTGTTCGCTACGCTCACTCACCTTTAGGTTGGAGCTCGTTCGCTGCGCTCACTTGCCTTCAGGTTAGCTCGTTCGCTACGCTAACTCGCCTCCAGGTTGAAGTTCGTTCGCTACGCTCACTCACCTTTTGGTTGCAAATTAGCTGTTGTCATAAATGTAAAAGAAATAATAGTGCTGCACCCTGTTGGTAATTTTTGTAACTTTAATGCTATTGAACATCACAGAACAGAACCAACTTGTTTAATTGAAACAGCTGTCATCCCCTTTCCTCTTGAATTGCTGCTTACCTTATTCACAGACTAATATAGTAGGCCTTAAGTTGTACAGACAGTATAGCCCTTGTCTGGTTGTAGGTAGCGGAGGTGAGAACTCGGGGCTGCTGCGGGAGTGGTTTGAACTGATGAGGGAACGCAGTGAGCTGCGGAGGTATGAGAAGGAGCTTCTGGTGCGGAGACAGGAGATGGAATTGGAGGACAGACACGCTCGGCTACAACAGGAGCTGCGACTGAGCTTGGCCAAGGATGGTGAGATATACGTTGTAAATTTGCCTAATATCTACACATCACTTAACTAAAAAATTTATTTTTTTATTTTGAGGTAGTACATTTAAAAAAAACTGAAAAATCATAGTTTTCTAAAACCAGCTCCAAGGACATTTTTTAAAGGTATAATAAGCCTTTTAATCAAAAGTAACGTCTTTTTAAAGATTTTAGTTTGAAAAGTTAACAATTTAAACAAAAGTTAACGCAAAAATGCTGTGGGAAAGCTTGATTATTCTATATGACAAATGTTCAATATATTAATATTATTTAAAGGTTTACCTACTGCAGACATTTTACATCACGATTACTAAAAATAAAGTTTTCATTTAGTTTTGGGATGCCATAAATTTCTGTAAATGTGAACATTAGTTTACATGAGATAAATCCTCAAATTATATCATTTATGATATACAGGGTGGAACGAAGTTAGTGTTAAAAAATTTTATCTGTTAAACTACTAAGTATTGGTGACAAAATGGCACCAATTTAAGTTTCCATACCCTCACAGGTAGGGAATAACGGACAATTTAAGATTTTTTCAAAATATTTGTATTTGCTTACATAAAATGGCCATAAGTGCACTAAACATTATTTTTATTCCAAATTCATTGTCATTTTTAGAATCCTCGTTAAATTTCCAATATTAATAGCACAAATTCATTGGGATAAAACATCTGTATAAGCCCTTATTTGGCAATGGAAGTTTGAATTTGTGATTTTTTAGAAAAAGGTAATTACTTTTTACAAAGTTTTTCTATACTACACTGGACTCTAGAGAGTGTCAAATATTACTAAAAACTTCTGTAGTTAATAACCTTTAAAATGATGTATAAACATCTACTGTTCGTTTGATTTGTTGTTCTCAAATTTAAGAGTTTCTCTTAAAAAACACGGAATGCCCAAAATCGCCTCCCTTTAAAATAACATGTATTTGCTTAAATAATATGGCAAAAGCTGCAATAACAATTATATTTAAATTGGGTTTATTGTAATTTTTAGAATCCTTGTGAGATTTATTGTAAGAATATTAAAGATCTGTTAGGATTAACATCCATATAAACGTATGTTTTGTAAAAACATGTAAAACTTTTTTTTATTTTTTGAATACATTTAATATTGCTTAAAGTTACACATGTTACATTTAACTTAAGATTATTTTCTAAGCATAAACAAATAAATGGAGTAACCTCTAAAATTATGTAGATACTACACTTTACAATGTTGTCAATATGTTCACCGAAAACGAAAACCCAAAATTAATCTAAGTAAAGTATAGCAATTAGATTGTAGTGCTTAGACAGATGCTAATGAAAATCAGCCAAGTGATTTATTTCTTTACTAAAATTATTGTTAAAACCTCAGAAATACGTAGTTTAACTTATTTACACAAAAATAAAAGTTAATTCTAAAACACACAATATTTGAAACTTAAATAACTGTTCCTTACTTCCTTAACGTTTTAATAGTTGCCTTCTATTTGATGCCAACTACTTGAGTTTTATTTTTTTTTTCAAAATCTCCTTTATTTTCCCTGATATACAGCCAAGTTTTTTTGCAAGTGGCACCAACAGTAACATTAAAATACAACGTTCCTCTGACTACCACATCTGCATTCATTATCCAGTTTTAAATTTCCTTATTATCTTCCACTAAAGATGAGGAGACCAAGTACTCCACATAGCCACACAAAACAAGTCCAGTGGACTTAAAGTCTGGCGACCTGGCATGCAAGCAAATCACACCATATGATCCATCTTTATCTATAAGCATCTACTGTTAGTTTGATTTGTCGTTCTCAAATTTAAGAGTTTTGCTTGAAAAACACGGTACGGCTAATGTTTAATTTCCTGTAAAAAAACATGTATTGGCTTCAATGATATGGCAGCAGCTGCTTTAAAAATCATGTTTAAATGGGTATTATTGCAATTTTCAGAATCCTTGTAAAATTCCTAATATATTGAGGTATTGTTAGGATTAACGCCTTATGAACCTATGTTTTGTGATGTATCTTCATGTCCACTGGACTTGTTTTGTGTGGCTATGTGGAGTACTTGGTCTCCTCATCTTTAGTGGAAGATAATAAGGAAATTTAAAACTGGATAATGAATGCAGATGTGCTAGTCAGAGGAACGTTGTATTTTAATGTTACTGTTGGTGCCACTTGCAAAAAAACTTGGCTGTATATCAGGGAAAATAAAGGAGATTTTGAAAAAAAAAATAAAACTCAAGTAGTTGGCATCAAATAGAAGGCAACTATTAAAACGTTAAGGAAGTAAGGAACAGTTATTTAAGTTTCGAATATTGTGTGTTTTAGAATTAACTTTTATTTTTGTGTAAATAAGTTAAACTACGTATTTCTGAGGTTTTAACAATAATTTTAGTAAAGAAATAAATCACTTGGCTGATTTTCATTAGCATCTGTCTAAGCACTACAATCTAATTGCTATACTTTACTTAGATTAATTTTGGGTTTTCGTTTTCGGTGAACATATTGACAACATTGTAAAGTGTAGTATCTACATAATTTTAGAGGTTACTCCATTTATTTGTTTATGCTTAGAAAATAATCTTAAGTTAAATGTAACATGTGTAACTTTAAGCAATATTAAATGTATTCAAAAAATAAAAATAAAGTTTTACATGTTTTTACAAAACATACGTTTATATGGATGTTAATCCTAACAGATCTTTAATATTCTTACAATAAATCTCACAAGGATTCTAAAAATTACAATAAACCCAATTTAAATATAATTGTTATTGCAGCTTTTGCCATATTATTTAAGCAAATACATGTTATTTTAAAGGGAGGCGATTTTGGGCATTCCGTGTTTTTTAAGAGAAACTCTTAAATTTGAGAACAACAAATCAAACGAACAGTAGATGTTTATACATCATTTTAAAGGTTATTAACTACAGAAGTTTTTAGTAATATTTGACACTCTCTAGAGTCCAGTGTAGTATAGAAAAACTTTGTAAAAAGTAATTACCTTTTTCTAAAAAATCACAAATTCAAACTTCCGTTGCCAAATAAGGGCTTATACAGATAAGTTTTATCCCAATGAATTTGTGCTATTAATATTGGAAATTTAACGAGGATTCTAAAAATGACAATGAATTTGGAATAAAAATAATGTTTAGTGCACTTATGGCCATTTTATGTAAGCAAATACAAATATTTTGAAAAAATCTTAAATTGTCCGTTATTCCCTACCTGTGAGGGTATGGAAACTTAAATTGGTGCCATTTTGTCACCAATACTTAGTAGTTTAACAGATAAAATTTTTTAACACTAACTTCGTTCCACCCTGTATATCAAATTATATCATAAGAACCTTGACGAAACCTTAAGGGTTTAGGCTGTGTGGATTGAAGTATGTGTCATTGTCTGAATGTCTGACATCATGTGTAATTTTATGCCTTCATAATGAATGATTCCAATATTTTTCAGACAAAACAAAAACAAATGAAGAGGTAGCGTCAGAAGGTCGCATTCTACGAGAGATGCTAGAAATCGTAGAGAGGAGGGATTCGCTCATAACTCAGCTGGAAGAAGATCGGCAAAGGTGCGGGCTTGTGAGGCCCTCTCCTCCAATACCTTCTTCTCTCTCCTCCCCCCTTCCACACCCACTGGTGGTTCTACTGGTTACGGTGGCCATGTGGTCTTGTGCCAATTATGTTGTTTCTTATCTATCTGGGTAATGCATGAACTGTTGCTTGGTATTTGTTGGACAAGAAGGGTAAATTTTTAAATTTGAAGTCTTTGCAGGTTGAGGTTTTGTGTCGTTTTTGTTTGGGGTGATGATGTATAGCTATCCTACAACATAAACCGAGTGGCATAATCGCGGATGATTATGCTACTCTTAGAATTGTTGGAGGATTTTTAAAACATTTATTGATTATCTTTTGGTACTAGTAAAATTTTGAAGAATATATACAGATAGTTTTATTCATATAACGTGTAAACTATATACAAAGTATTATATTACATATCATTTTTACCAAACTTTGTTTTTGACGGTTACCAAAAGAACCAGATATTTGTTTATTGTTTGTGATGGTGATAAACAGTGCCTTATAAGGATATAGTTTTGTTTTATCATGAACGTAAGCAATATTTCTTGACAAACAATTGTTAATTATTTAATTTAAAGTAATCGAGTGTTTGACACAAGACTATCTTTATTGTAAATCCATTGTTTTATTGATTTATGTTGTAATATTGTACAAATGGAAATCATGCATTCTGGGTTTTACTACTTAATGTTAATTTGTTGTTGATTAACTATTTATTTATTTATTATTGTAATTTATTCTTATACTTGGTAGGGCGTTATGAAGCAAGATGGTTTTGAGTGTTTTCTATTTATAATTTGTATTGCTCTATGTCAGTTTTCACTACTAACCCGATAGCAAAAAAAGATTTTTGAATAAAGCAAATGTTGCTCGGGGTATTTAAATATGTATATATCTTGTTATTTGTTTTATGTAGGCTATGTGATTAATGTCTTATAGATCTGGATTGTGTAGTTGAATGCCTAATGAACCTATTTATACTCTTGTTGTATGAGTATTAACAATTGTAAACAATAATACCGTAACACTAACACTCACTCCAATCACTAATGGTTGTTAATGTAGTAGTGTAATGATGATGCATAATAGATGTTTGTGTGTAGATGTAAAAACTAATAAATAAAGCTCGTAAAGCTTGTATTATGTTGTGTAACTTTAGACAAATTTTGCGGGATTAGATTCCAAACATTCCATTACGTTATTATTATGGACGTTATTATGCCCAAACACTTCTTTGAAGTTTAGAATGAGCTTGAAAAACTCTCAGTTCAAAATAGTTCTCAAGATTGATACTTGATAAATTTGTTAGAAAAAGTCATTCTTACAAATTTAAAATTCAATACCATAAGTTGACAACTGACCTGTATACTGTATGGCCATTTGTATTATGCTCTCTATTATAACGTGACAGTTATATTACAACCAATTAATTGTGTAAAGTATAGCCAAAGTAATTTTATCTACATTTTTTAAAGTTAAATGATCAACTTAACAATATTTACAAAAAGGTAAAATATATTCTAATAAACAATGAAACACAACGTTGTTTCATACTTTAGCTAATAAGACATTTAGAACTGTTAGAAAATTTGTGGAGAACTGACTAACAAAGTAAATCTCCTCATCTATTGTGTTATAGAAGCACAGCAATTGTTATAGTTATAGTTTAGGACGGGTTAAAATTCTGCTAATTCCCAAAGGAGATTTGCTAAGTGATTATATATCATAACCCAGAGGTCAAGAGCCCACCTTTAGCTGTAGGGGTTTCCATCTAGTAATAAAAATGCTTTAAGGCTATTAGATCTCTGGACAATGAAGATCAGAAAAAGGCATAACCTAATATCTTAACTGTGTTATATTTCACATATTTTTGTATTGGCTAACATTTAACTTGTTAACAATAAATAACAGAAGGTTGAATGGCAAGCTTGCTAGATTTCTCACATGTGCACAAAACTCACTTTTACTAAAGCTTGGCGTTTTGTATTCAGCCGTAGTTATGCTTGGGTTTAGCATGTTCCCCCTTCCATTCCTATCATTCAGCACTAGTAGTCAGTCGCATGCCGCACATAGATAGCTTAGGTAAGCTATTAACTTGTCTAGCTTTTTTATAGTTAGGTTATGAATACTTATTGCTCTTTATACTAATTTTGTTGAATAGTAGGCTTGTGTTCATTGTGTAATCTTTTCATGTCTATCGTAATTATTTCAATTGTTAAATTTAGTTTAGGCATAAGGTATTGCTGCTTAACCTTTCATTTCAGAAATATAGTAAAACCTCGATAACGAGACTTGGAAGTTATTGCAATCGTGGGAATTAATCAAAGACATGATTGCTGGGACTATGGATGTTGCCGGGATTGCGAGAAGTGGTAACGAATGTTACCGTGATTGTAAGAAATAGTCATAAACATTACCGTGACTGCAGGAAATTATCATGTGTTTTGCCCCTATTGCGAGATATTTTCAAGTACATTGCCTTAATCATGTAAGAGGCTCACGACGTTACTGCTATGCTGGCTTTGCCACAAACGTAAGTAATGATCACAACATTGCTGCAATCGCAATTGCAAGTGATGATCACAAATGTGGTCGTGATCCCAAGAAATCATAACAGAATTTGCTGCGATTGCCTGAGATGTACACAAGTGTTAATAATTGTTTAGAACCTATTCTAAGTGTAAGAACCTTATGAAATCCAAGAATAAAACCAAATTTCATAGCAGGTTCTCGGTTGTATTTGATCACATATGAAATTGTGTCCTTGATTTATGACTCGATTTTTAGGATTCAGATTCTAAATTTTGTTTGATTTGATTGGTATTTTTCAGTTATCTTAATTTTCTTACTTTTGTTTTATAAATTAGTTCTTCTTGAATTTCCGTTATTTTTGGTTGTAGGGTTTTACTAGTCACTTTTGAACCTGGAAAACCTGATGGAATTGTCTTAAATTTTATTTGGATGGGACGCTGGATATCTGGGTATGCAAACCAACTCTTTAACACGGGCAGGGCACTCTTTGACTGTTTGTCCAATATACTAGTTTGGAATTCTCTATACCCACATGACTGATGATTATCTTCCATCTTCCATCCCTACTTAAACATCCAATTATTTAATCCTTAACCACCCAAACTAACTAGCTTTAGTTCCTTGACCCAATAGGAGTCTTACAATAAAAACCAAAGTTAAAATACAATTTCTATAAAAAAAACATAATAAAAAACCAACCAATTGAATGATATACAAAATATTAAAAATGGAAAACATTGCAACTGGATTAATGTAATAGTAATTGATTTTTATGACAAATACTAGAATTGATATTTTTCGCTACAAGAATAGGCTACCATTCAGGAATTATAAAATAATTCACAACTGGTTTTGTGAATATGGGAAATCTAATTTTGAACAATAACGCTTAAGCAGTATTGTTAAAGGCTTACACAATTGGTTTTTGCAGGTATAAGGAGGAAGATAAGGATTTGGAGGCGGAAATGTTATCCAAAGGTCTCCGTCTCACATCGCTGAGAAGAAAAGAGTCTGCAATCTAGTTTTAATATTTTACTTACTTCAATAGCCTTTAAACCACAGCCATCCAAAAAATGTTTTAATCGTTTACTGAGGTTGTTAATGGTAGCTTAATCCGGACATAATATTATGTTTGTTGGCACTTTCTATTTGATATGCTCAATTAATTTTTATAACTAAAACAAAGAACAAATAACACACTGTTGTCTCTTTGTTGTGTTGTTTTATTGTGATGGATAAAGCTCAAACGCGATCATTCATGTTAATTTTACGATAACGATTTTTTATGTCTTGATCTTGATTGCTACTGCTGTAAAAATATGATGAATTTGTTCTGAGTGCATAAAATGTGCTAGTAATGTAGCGTAATAATATAATTATTAACTGCAAATATTATTAAAATACTGGTAGAATGTTGTAAAATAATTGATCTGGGATTGTTTGAAGTAAAAAATTTAATGATTGTGATTATTTATTTATGTAATGTCATGTTTACTAAAAGCTTAAAACTATTATCAATGATTTTATATTTTCCCCAGCTATTGATAACATTGGAATACTGTATTAACAAATTTTAATTCAAATTAAGTGCCTTTGTGCAAACTAGTTTCATTGAGTGAGACATGTTTTGACGCAAGGTTTATATTGTTGTTTTGGTGCTTTTTAAAAATTAAATTACAGTATACACAACTTATTTGTCCTAAGTAATTTTTAAGTATTTACCAATGGTATTTAGAATTATATATTTTGATTTTTTAACATGAACAATTTTTAAAGATATTAGGTTAATGTTAATATTAGTCTTTTAGAACATAGTTCCAGCCCTTTTAAAAATTAACTCCTAGGCAATTTACGTACTGAGAAAAGAATTGAAGTATTAGTATTGATTAATCGTTGAATTTCCTGAAACCACCAGGTTTTCATGGATTCAAGAAAGAAACTTAAGCAATGCCTTCGTAAATCTTTTTTTATTAATCTGTCATAATTTATTTTGGGAGTTGAATAGCTTAACTAATCATTAAAATTATTTATATGAATCAAGGCAAACATAACCTCTTTTATATTTTACTTTGTGTTCATTTAACACGAACCATGAATTCAGCCTAATTTTTGTAAAGTGTACATATAGGTAGTATATTTTTAATAAAGTTGTTTTCGGTAGTTCAAGGAGTCGTGTAAGCACTAAGGCCAGACTGTGATAAAAACCTCGAAATGCACGCCTGCTCCTCACTACTATAACCAAATACTTGAGCTCTATATTATATATAAAGTATATATTTAATATTTCCTGGTTTCCATTGTATTATGATGAATACACAGTACAGGTTGTGTATTGTACATTTTTGTCTATACTTATTGAAAAATATATGCTTTTATACTGTTTTGTGAATATTTTATTTCCTAAATAGTTCCTGCAAACTTTGAGATTTGACTTCACCTAATGCTTCAGCTTTAACAAACACTTTATTTCTGTTTGTCGTGTACTAGAAAGTAGTGTGCAAGCCATTGTCTATGAGATATAAAATAAAACTTTGACTTAAATCTTTTATTCTTAAATCTAGTTGGATGTTAAATTAAAAGATCAAATGTTCTTGGTTAATGGTAACTACTTTTTTCTTAGCTATGCAAGAATATGGCCTATAAACATATTTGATGATGTTTGTAGAAATAAAATTAATATGTAGCCAAACTATTAAGGCACTACCTTTATTTTCCTTACTACATAAATATTTTATTGAAATGTAAGATTTATTCTTGAATTCCCTAAGTGACCTTTCCCTATGTCAGAGTGTAAAAATTCAAGAAAAGTTATGAAATAATTGGCATGAAATGAGTCAATACAATTACTACATCTATACTGTCTCTCACATATATATACAGGGTGTCCAGTCATAAGTCATAAGTGTTAAATAAAATTTTACATTAAACTACATGGTAATTGTGACAGAATGTCGCAAATTTGAGGTTCCCAACTTCAACAGTTGGAGGATAACAAATAATTTAAGATTTTTCAAAAGTTATTGTAGTTGTATGAAAAAGGTTATATTACTCTGTTAAAAATGCACTTACTGTCAATTTCAATGTAATTTTCAGAATCCTCACAAAATGTTAATAAGATATGACACATAATCGTTGGGGTACGGAAAAATATTCAATTTAAATTTCTTCGTTAAACAAATTATTTTTAATATCCACGAAAATGTAAATAACATTACGAATTTTTTTCTCGGTTGCCAAGTTCCGGTGAGGTTATAAAATATTACTATAAACTTCCTTATCTTTGGCTTTACAATGATGTATAACAGCTTTTACCTACTGTTAAATCCATAACTTACTATTTTATGAGCTGACCACTGATGACGAGGGTTTGTGTAATTTATGATTGACCAGACTACACTTCCATCAAAATAAAGAGTTTTTTTTAAGACTTTGGAAAATTTGTTATTAAAAACAATACATTAGGAAAAACACAATACACACTTTTAATGTGAAAGGATAGTTAAAACATTAAAACAAATCAATGACTAGTACAGGTAAAATTATACTAAAAAACCATTAGAAAACATAAAAATTAGTCCATTCATGAAACTTGCAGGAAACTTAGTTATTACCATTAGGTTTTGAAATCTGAAGAGTCCCTAGTGATTGTGGGGGTGGAAGTACCGTTTTATGGGGGTAGTGATTTTGAGAAAATTTTTATTTATGGGATCCAACCATAAATAAAAACACGCAAGTGAGGTGTTGTTTTCTATGTTTCTTAGGATGCAGAATCGAAAAAGAACAAATTAAAGCAAAACAACCGACGGTTTATTAGAAAAAGACTAATTTATTAATGAAAAACTAAATATGACAAATTAATTAAGGTAAAATAATCCAGTTAATATCAATTACTGTATTACAAAATTGACTATGAGTCTGTGTCAAATGTTAAAGTTGTGAGGAAAATTAACCAAGAAACTTTTAGTTTCGCCTCTTTACCCACCACGTGTCATATTGTTCATCAGCTACTGATGCATCATCACCATCCATGGAGTGGTCAGGGTCTCTAACTTGTTCTTCTCCGTCGTCTTGACTTAACACTGACGGCTAACTATGGGTAGCAAAAATATTTCAGTTCTGGCGGTGATCCTGCGACTTAGGATGAAGATAATAAGACCAAGAATGTAAAACCGCTCTGACCCCAATTTTTAAGGACCTTGGTCGCCCGTAATGACGTCATCAATATGGCGCTCGTAAGAGGATGCTGGGTCGCTATGAATTAATAAATGCCTGAACCGATTTTAATGAAATTTGGCATACAAGTGCCTGAATACAATATCTAATCCCAGTTTGTCAATGGTCGAGTTTGATTAGGCCATTTCAAAATGGCGGCCGTTAATCACTAAAATAATAAAAAATTGTTTAGTGTTTTGTTTTATCAACTCTCTCCAGAAATCTGCAGCAATCTTTCATTTTCCTTGCAATCATAGGTCGTGATACCATCTCTGTATTTCCTGGAATAGGCAAAATACCCCCACTGCAGCAAACCTGCAGATTAAGTGAGTTTCCATTTGCCTGACTTGATTTTCAATTAAATCTATTTCAATGACCTAAAGTTTAATTAGTATTAACTAGGTTTGCTGCTACGGGGAGGGTAATAAAGTGTGTTTTTTAATTAAAATATGAATAGGTTAAAATAAATAAATTGTCCAAGTTTTATCAAAATATAACCATAAACTAGCAAAATATCCAATCATGGTATTCAAAATGGCTTAGAGAGAAATTCGAAAATTTTACGTTTAGAGGGGCAAACATGAGAAAACCCAATTTTCACCCCATAAATCCCCCAGAAAACCTTGTCCTCATGGTTCGATCATGCTGGTTCGCAAACCCATTCAAGTAAACGTAGGTTTACGTTTTACCAAATTTCGTCAACATTGGGTCATTTTTGCTTGAGTTATCATGCTAACGTTCTTTAAAAAGTACACGTCTACAGTCACTAACGCTGTTAAAGTTTGATGTTATGTCATATAGAAAAGTACAAAAAATCTTTAGATTGATTTTAACGAGTTCACAATCCAGCATGATCAGACCATGGGAACAGGGTTTTTGGGGGGATTTATGTGGTCAAAATTGGGTTATGTCATGATGAACCCTCAAAATTTTCCAATTTCTCTCTAAAGAATTTTGGATACCATGATGATTTTGAATACCTTAAAAACCAATAATTTTGTTTATTGAAGTGTTTTTGTACAACCTACCGAGAAAATTCAAAAATTGTAAATTTACCATTCTCGTTTTATTCTTATAGAGAATGAGTAAACTGTTGTAGTTTGCTCGTTTAAGGATATATTTTGATAAAACTTAAACTTGGCAAATTTATTTATTTTGACCTTGGCTATTGATATTAAAAAAAAACACACTTTATTTTCCTGTCCGTAGCAGCAAACCTAGGTACTAATTAAACTCAATTAAAGTATATTTAATTGAAAATCAAATCAGGCAAATGGAAACTCACTTAATCTGCAGGTTTGCTGCTGTGGGGGTATTTTGCCTATTCCAGGAAATACAGAGACGGCATCACGACCTATGAGTGCAAGGAAAATGAAAGATTGCTGCAGATTTCTGGAGAGAGTTGATAAAACAAAACACTAAACATTTTTTAATTATTTTAGTGATTAACGGCCACCATTTTGAAATGACCTAATCAAACTCGACCATTGACAAACTGGGATTATATATCGTATTCAAGCACTTGTAAGCCAAAATTTCATTAAAATCGGTTTAGCCGTTTTGGTAATACAGTATAACCAATTCATAGCGACCCAGCACCCTCTTACGAGCGCCATATTGATGACGTCATTACGGGTGACCAAGGTCCTTAAAAATTGGGGTCAGAGCGGTTTTACATTCTTGGTCTTATATATTATCTTCATCCTAAGTCGCAGGATCACCGCCAGAACAGAAATATTTTTCTGCTACCCAAACTCACTTAGCTGTCAGTGTCAAGTCAAGACGATGATGGAGAAGACGAGTTAGAGACCCTCACCATTCCATGGATGGTGATGATGCATCAGTAGCTGATGAACAATATGACACGTGGTGGTTAAAGAGGCGAAACTACCAGTTTCTTGGTTAATTTTCCTCACAACTTTAACATGTGACACAGACTCATGGTCAGTTTTGTAATAATTGATATTAACTGGATTATTTTACCTTAATTAATTTGTCATATTTAATTTTCATTAAAAAATGTTTCCTTTTTCCAATAAACTGTTGGTTGTATTGCTTTTATTATGTTCTTTTTCGATTCTGCATCCTAAGAAACATAGAAAACGACACCTCACTTGCTTGGATCCCATAAATAAAAATTTTCTCAAAATCACTACCCCCATAAACTTTAACACCCATAAAATGGTACTTCCAACCCCACAATCACTAGGGACTCTTCAGATTTCAAAACCTAATGGTAATTACTACGTTTCCTGCAAGTTTCATGAATGGACTAATTTTTATGTTTTCTAAGGTGAGTTTTGCCTGTACTAGACATACTTTGTCCGAAGCACAACTTTAATTAAGTGAAATCTAAGTTTGGGTGTAAAGTGCCCTCCTTTTTCCCGCAAGCAGGCCCTAGCTCTCTTGCGAATTGCGCCAACTGTGACCTCATACGTCAATTTTTCACTTACTTTCCGTTCCGAGCAGCCTTAAAGAACTCAACTTCAGAGTTTACAACAGTTGAGTAAACTAGACTTTTCATGTAACCCCAAACAAAAAAATCTAACCGGCTCAAGTCTGGAGATTGAGGAGGCCATGTCACACTTCCTCCACGTCCAATTCATAACGGGTAGTTTTGGGATAGCCATAACCGAAAGTTTTCAGTAAAATGTGGTGGAGCACCATCCTGCTGAAATATGATTTTAGCTCTTTGTCAGTATGATTTCAGGATCAATTTCATCCAACAACTGAGGTAGAGAGTGCTGAAGAAAATCTAGATATAAATTTCACTGTTCAGATTTCCTTCGAAGATATGAGGACCAATTAAACCGATCTCCAATCACACCTGCCCACACGTTGATCCCAAACCTTTTTTGAAAAGACGCTTCTCTGGAGGCTTTTGGATTTTCATTATTCCAAAGATGCATGCTGTGAATATTTATCACACCTTCTCTGGTAAATCGCGATTCGTCAGTCCATAGTATTTTTTTAAGAAAATGATATTCAACAATATCACGTTGAAGAAACCAGCGGCAGAACTCCTTTCTGGATTCGAAGTCACGAGGCTCAAATCCTTGGACCTTTGCAAAATATGTTTCTTTTCTTAGCTTAAACTTGAGCGTTGCATGTGAGAAAAAAAATACAAATTATTTGTTGCCTGCACTTAAATGTATTATTCTTTACAATAGCTTTTCTTTGCCCTACCATGTTTTTTCACAATAACGATTGAATTACATTAGGAAATTTTAAAATAGGTAAAAACTATTATACACCATTGTAAAGCCCTTTAAATGAGGAATTTTAGTAATATTTTATAAACTCAGCAGAACAGGGCAACCGATAAATAAATAGCTGAATATTATTTAAATTTTTAGTCAATATAAAAAATAATCTGTTTAACGAAGAAATTTTAATAGAATATTTTTCCGTACCCCAACGATTTTGTGTTATATTTATTTAAAATTTTCTGCAGATTCTGAAAATGATTTAAATTAACAATTAGTGCATTTTAAACAGAGTAATGTAACCTTTTTCATAACAACTACAATAATTTATGAAAAATCTTAGTTTATTTGTTATTCTCTAACGGTTGAAGTTGTGAACCTCAAATGTGCGTCATTATGTCGCCATTACCATGTAGTTTAATGCAAAATATTTAACACTTATGACCGGACACCCTGTATATGAACACTCTTAAAAACAGAAAATGTTCATGATCTCAGAGCCTTTTTAGATTTCCATTGTTAAACTGTCATGCCTACTATTAAAAGTTTACTAATATTTGATTTTTACTTGACTTTCAAATTGCTGTTTTTTTTTATTTTCTAAATGTTGATTTTGTGAACTCCACAGATTGTTGAAATTGAAATGTTGTACGTGAACGTCAAAAAGAAAGTGGGGGAACCTAGGCGCGATACGGTTGACATGGTGTCCTCATATCTTCATGTAGCTAGACAAGAACTTGGGAAATAAACTTATCCCACCTGCACTCCACCCTCGCCTTGAACGGTTTCATCGCCAGCTATGCCGCTCAAGACTGCCCTGCATTTCAAATCTTGTCAATCCACAAGGCACTGTTCTTCAGCTGAGTGTACTTTATTTAACGCAGTTTCTCCTCGTACCTCGCGAACATCTCAACCTGCCAATCTTGTGAGAGCCGGCTTAGACATACAACATTTCAATTTCAACATTGCCAACTGTTCAATAAATTGTGTGGAAAGCTTTAAATATTTAGGAGTTACCGTTAATAGTTCAAATTCTGAAAATCTAGAGATACAAAGTAAAATAGCAAATTACAATGAGAGCCTGGGGGCCTGTACAACACTTTTTTATCATGAAGCTAAAAATTAAGGTTACACAAGACCATTATACAGCCAGTGTTATTGTAGTGAAACATTGGTCCTTTCCAAAAGAAATTGAGGACGTTTGATGGTGTTTGAAAATAAGGTACTTCGAAAAATATTTGGCCCAGTCTGTGAAGGAGTTTGGCGCGTAGAAAAAATAGATCTACATGCCCTAAACAAAGAGCCTGATAATAGTGCTTATACAAGCCAAAAGAATTAGTTGGTTAGGTCATGCACTTCGGAGACAGAAAGGCGCAAGACTGAAGGAGGTTTGTGAGGCCATACATACAAACGGGGAAGATGTCCGTTGGGTAGGCCTAAATTAAGATGGTATGACCAAGTCAGGAAGTATGTGATCAAGTGTGTAGGACAATCTGGATGGAGGAGGATAGAGAAGAGTGGAGGAGGCAAAAAAACTACAGATATTTGTGACGCCCCATCAGTAAGTAAAGATTATTTCTTTTATTAACTTTCAAAATTGTGATAAATCTGTAATATTAACTAACTCAAAAATGTTGACTCCTCCCATACATTGTTATTGTAATAATATATCAGATGTGTCTAAATATGTACTGTTGTGTTTAGTCCTAGTTACATTGTGAAACATTCATATTCTGTTGAATGATAATTTCTTAAAATCATTCATTACATTAAAAGAAAGTCTTTGATTGAAACACAAGCGATGTTAATCAGTGCTTTATTGTTATTTCTGAATAAATTCCAAGTTTGATTTTTGAATAATTCACAATATTACACACTGAGATGGAAAATTATCTGTAGACTGAATGAAAATTACATCAATGGGTCTGCTCTAACTACAGTAATTGTGGTGTATCCAACTCCTCTGATGCACTCACTGGAAAAATGTTAAAGATAAAAATATGGGTTAAAACAAATCTTTCAACATTCTTTTCTCTTTGATACATCTCAAAAGATAAATTTTACTAGTAGTCTGAGCCTGCTAATTTCTAAGAAAAACTTGCACAAACTATTTCACTTCTATTTATATGCAAAACAAACTTGTCGTGGAAAAGGATAAAAATAAAAAATGTACAAATATAGACAATAGTAATTTATTTCCTAAAACTCAATTGAGAACAATATATATTCATGCAAATTTATAAACAGTTTATTTTGTCACAACTTTTAACAAAGTTAATCATATTTATAATAAAAGTATGACCGAATGATAAAACATATCAAAATATAATTTCAAATCCATTCAATAATAATGTGAAACTTAGGCTACCGATGAAAATGATCTTATAATAAATATATAAATAGATATCTAAGAACAAACTATGCTACTAAAAGCCGATCTTAAAATTTAACACTTTGTGTAAATGCAACCACAAAATGTTTGTACATTTTAAGATTTGTTGTGTGAAAGCATTAGATAAATATTCAGATTTAGAGTAAAAATGGTATCTTTATAAATAGCAATTGTGTACACTAAATTGTAACAGCCTCAACTGTTAATTTTGGGCACACATCAAATGAAGGTTAATTAACAACATAAAAGCAGTAATTAATATCCTAATGGTTTTGATTCATTCTGAAGATATAATTAACATCACCAGGAAATGTTTTCGTTTAAATACAAGAATATCAACTTCACTAATGAAAAATAATAAATAAAACTACAGGATAAAAATTCAACATTTTATATAAATAAAAACTTCTTTCACACGAACAAACTGATTTTTAAAACTACACAATAACTTAAGTAACAAAATTTATTTAAATTGCGCTAAAATAATAAAATATCAATCTCTATTAACAAAGGATAAAATTATTTCAGTTGTTTAAACTGCGATAATAAATAATCTTTTATGCTGGTGGCGAACACGAGACATATACACAAGACACTTACGACTAGTATTTACAATAATACATGATGCCTTAGTGGCCGAGCTTCGGCTTGTAAACCCCACGCTATCACACGAGTCGAGTTACGGACGACTCATTAGCAACAGTGACAACTCGAGTTCCGCAACTGACACCAAGGTAAGCGGGGCAAGACGACACTAGCGCCGGTGTTGGTAAAGGTTGAGATCACGCTACAACTAAACTGACAACATCGTCGTCTTGGTGTTGATCATCTACACTTAATCATCTACAAAAGGATGAAATTAGATTACATGATTTTTATGAGTGTCTGGAAGTTTAAACATCGTTTTCCCATTTCAACAGTGATTATTTAGAATTATAGTTCCGGAGGGGTACTGACCAAATAATTTCAAAATATGAAATCAAAAGATTAAAATATTTTAATTTTACAATAAACTTACTTATAATTTTCTAAGCTAGAAACATGAAAATGGGTTTACTGTAAAATTGAAATATAGTTTTATAAATTTAAGTTATAACAAGAAATTTTATGTAAATAATAAGTAGCAAGAGAACTTAAATAACCGGACCCTGAATGATAAGTACAACTCGTCAGGTATAGCATGACCGGTGGGGTGCGTTAGAGGGAGGGCAGTAGGCCCCGAGGCCACCGGTCATGCTATACCTGACGAGTTATAACAAGTTGACCTACCTACACATTACAAATCCCTTTCAACTTCCAAGATAAGCCTACTAAAAGCTTTGTAACACAAACATTGATGGGATGAGTTCAGTCATTAAAATAAATAAGCTTACGTTAGGGATTTAGTCTTATGATCAACATTTTACTACAACTAATTTAAAACCAAATATATCTCATACATTTAATTTAATTGCCATCAAGTGAACGCTTTGCTGTAGATTGAGCAAGCAAACCCAAACTAATTTAATTACAGTTTAAGTTTTCTCTTATTAGATTCAATGTCAAATGGAATGCCAATTTGTTATACATTTCCAGGAAATTAACAATAATTAGGTTTGGGGATTACAAAAACAATGTTTCATTGCTAAACAATTTGAAGGGACAACCTGAATAGGACAGAGAGCGAGAAATGGCCAACATTGATATGTGTGTTAAATATAAAATACACTTGTATAAACTTTACAAAATTTTTTATTTTTATTTTAAGTGATTATTATTATAAATTTCCTTAAACTCCCATTATCCTAAGAAAAGTCTCAAAAACTTGATCAGATCCAATTGTTAAAATGGGTAAACTTCTACACATAGTAGTAAATTGACATAAAAAATTCTTAAGCATACTCTATCGTGCGAAACATGAGAAAATGACTCACAAATAAGTCTGACTATAATTAATAGTCGGGACAAGTTCCAACCAAACATTTGGAAATAGCCATGACTATGCTACGAGGTGGGTGTACAACACAAAAGATTTCTTAGTTCAGACTCACAACACAAATACAGCTTAACTCTTAGTAAAATGGAGTAACGGTCGTCTACAGCAACGAACCACAAACAACCGAAGCATAAACACAATGCTAGACGGAGGCGAGATATGAAATATACTATGACATCTCACTTAACATTAATCGTGTGCACAACATTCATCTAATCTATATTATTTAGCTATGCACTATTCTTTCAGACTAGAATTAGTTTCCTAATCTTAAAAATAATGCATATAAAACCGCTTTTCACATATATACAATTTGTAAATCAGACACCCTCAGTCAACTGGAATTTTATAGACTTTTTTTGTCTTTAAGGTATTATAGAGACAAACCAATTTTATTGTTTCAAATACAACAGTTACGACAAACACTTAACACATGTAACATTCAGTATATCTACTATAACGTAATATTATGCATTGAGATCTCGCAATCCCTCGGAAACAAACTTTACTCTTCTCTTTGGGTGTCATCTTAACATAAACCTGGGATCCACCGTTCAACAGAGATGGCCTCCCTCTCAGGCTCCATGTTCTGGACAAGGCACGTCACTCGACTCACACGGGTGTACACAGCTAGCAAAGGAAATAGGTGAAACTTAAAACTATGGCAAAGGAACAAGGTGAGGTTAGAAGTTTAAAAAATCTATTAGTCATTGTCATTCAGCAAAGCAAAAGCACAATGGTGTAAATTGTAAATTTGTATTGCTGGGAAACAATGAAGATGCGATTATTTTACAGTACAGTACTATTTGGCTTCAATTCCTGGACTTGTATGTAGTAAAATGAGAGGTGAACTAACCTAATGATAAAAGAAAAATTATGGGACAGAAGATTAGTGTATGAATTTACACAGTAACTTAGTCACAAAAAGGCCTGACTAAAATCATGTGTTTATGTTTCACAGTTTAGAAATAATGTAAACAAATTACTACTGAAAAGGTCGAGAGTGAAGTTAAGGTTGTACGTAATAAGCTGAGCCTGAGAGAGAAGTCGTGATAGGAACTACAATTGTGTAATACTGCATGTGCTTATTGCTACGACTCCTCTGTGCTTATGGTAACATATTAAACACTAGTTGGCAGTAGTCAGACTTGCGACAGTTGGTCTCTGTCGCTCGTCCGGATTATCTTATAAACACGCAGAGCCATTCGATTCATACTCGATATAAAAGATTGGACCCTCGAAGTCGTGATTGTTTGGCAACATCGTCGAAACCGGACCTAAATATTCCATCTATCCGTTGTTAAGTACAAATTTATTTAAAATTGGTGTCGATCGTATCGCGACTCCGGGTCGACGAATATCACTCGGACAATTTGATTGTCGATTTTAAAATACATAACAGAAAACAGTTAAATGAAATAATTAGGTCTTTAAAACAAAGTGATGTCTAGGCGCAGTCAACGTTAATTATTACTAGGGCCGGGTTGAACTACTTCACCCGGATTGGAGGATTCATCGTAGCCCGAGTCTGATGAGTTGTCGCTATAGATCTTGGTGGACGAGGCGTCGGTGGTGGCGACAGCAGCAGTAGTGTTAGTGGCAGTGGTGGTGGGCGCTGCAACGTGAGTGTGTGCGTGCGCACGCTTGTACACACAAGGCTTGAGGAATCGGGGATCTACAATCACCTGACCATGCGGTCCTTTGAATATCACTCCACAGCACACTTTCTCCCTGAAACACATTCACCATTTATTGTGATCCCTTCTGCTGCCACAATTGTAGCCATTACTGTTAAGTTGTATCAACTTATTACTTTAGTTGTATAAAGTGGCTACAAATTTAATATGAGAATTGAATGTGTAGTTCTATCTTGATTTGATCAAGACATAAATTCTGGTTTTTTTTGCAGTAAAAAATTAGAATTATTTTCAGGCAGGATTTTGAGGTAGGGATTTTTTGCAAAAGGATTTCCTCTGATGATGGAAAATATAATAAGGCTTGCAAATAACCTACAAGTTTTGTCATGTGTCAATGAAAACAAATAAAACTTTTAACTAATTTGTTACATCAACTTATTCAAGAGTACACAGAAATTAAATTATACTTCCCCAAAAATTAGGAGTAAAAGAAATAGGGAAGCTCGGTACAGGAATTTCTTTTTACTAAAAGGAAGTATACCTTCATGCCTTAGTGTGTGTGGTTTAATATAATCGTCGACTATGAATAGTCATGCACAAATGGCAGAAGTGATGTTTATTACACTGTTGGTACATACCTCTTCCAGAACGTCATGTCCAGGAAGCTGCTGACAGGTGGTGAGGTGTTGATGTGCTTGTGACCTCGGACATACATCTCCATCGGCTCCTCTTCCTCCACAGACCTCGGACTCGCAGGTTCAGAGTCCGCCTCTACATCTCCTGGACAATCAACAGACAGTAGGCTGTTAGCAAGTGGCCACTAACGGATATCTTATTGAGTCCTTGTTTAGCGATATAAAAAGGTGAGTCTAACATTTTAGGATACAGCTATTGTTGGAGACATTGCATTGAAATGGTTCATCTATCAAGGAATAAAGACTCATCTACAGTAAGTACCTGACATTTTCATAGGTAGAACTACCATTTAATAATAGTGAGATAGCTCAATAATATTTATAGAAGTAAAATTTTTTTAACAATAACTATAATTTGTTTACAGTTAATCAAGGAAGCAAAAATGTAGGTCTACTACTAAAGGGTTTTCATGAAAACTACTAAAAAAATAAGTCATAACTTTTAATTAATACCTTGAATCTAATAGTCAATGTTAATAGTAAGAGGAGGTAATAATATTTATTACAGCTTGAAGGAACTAGTCAGCTAGACTAGAACCAAAATAACAGTAGGCCTAGTGGGGTAGTGGTTGATATAACATTAACCAACAAGTCTATTTAACTTAAACGACCAGCATTAAATCCCAGAGTATTGTATCAATAGAGGAACAAGGGGGTGGCCCTTTCAAATAGTAAACAAACCAAGGGTAGGATTTGCACAAAGATATATAGTCTAGTCATAAATAGGCCTAGTTTTATTTACCACCAAAACTTAAAACTGACCTGATATGTCATTCATTGCGAAATCATTTTGTTCATCGTTTTCTATAGCTTTTTTAGAATCTTCATCCATTTCTTCTTCTTCAATATGTTTCTTGCTTTTGATTTTATGTTTGGCATTTTTCTTCGACTTGATCTTAACAAACGACTTTGTTCCTGGGCCGGCCCTTGCATCAACAACCTAAAAATACCTAAGTGTTAATTACATCAAAATGTGTTGGTGATTATAAATAGTACAATTATAATCTACTTATCATAAGCTATATGTGTACCATTTGTCCCCACAGTAGGCTTACTTGTAATAAATTACAATAAACTTTCGCTGGAGTCTTTTCAGTTGTTTGAAGATTATTTGAAAACACATAAACTTATTTTAAAATGGCTTTGGTTTTACAATTTATCTTCTTATTTATAATTTTTTCCCAGGCTGCTAGGCACGAGCCTGGGATTGTTTTTCACATTACTTCAGGCTAGACCTAGGGATTGCAGCATTATCAATTACATAAAATCCATTGGTGATTTGGCGGAATTTGAACCCGGGACCTCTTGGACTGAAGTCCCGCGCTCTAACCACTATGACCAGCTCGCTCCTCCCTTACCCAATTTAGAAGACATCTTGTTTTAAATGTTTCTTCATTATTCTCCAGAGATCTGTATTGATGTCTTATGACAAAAAATATATAAACAAACAAGATACTAAAGCCTGGATGGAGTGAAAAATACAAAAGACAAACGTACATGACGCCAGTGGCGTTGCGTTCCGGGTGGTAGTTTCTTCCACCTCTTAACCAACAAAACACACGCATTGCACACCTCTCCCGCACGCCTCTCCTCCAGCTGGAAACAATCTACAAAGTCTTCCTCGTACTTCTTGCTATCAGTGAAGCGTGAACTGAAACACAAATATTAACACACTCAGTTATATTACAATGAACTGAACTCAAACACAAATATCAACAAAGGTTAGGTTATAATGAACTGAAACACAACTATTAATATCAAGTTATGTTACAATGAACTGAAACACAACTATCAACAAAAGTTAGGTTATAATGAACTGAACACACAATTAGTAACATCAAGTTATGTTATAAAGAACTGAAACACAAATAGTAACATTAAGTTATGTTGTAATGAACTGAAACACAAATAGTAACATCAAGTTATGTAATAATGAACTGAAACACAACTATTAACATCAAGTTATGTTATAAAGAACTGAAACACAAATAGTAACATTAAGTTATGTTGAAATGGACTGAAACACAAATATCAACTTCATTACTGTATAGGTTTAAATAATGAACTGAAAAATGTAAACATTGAGAAAAATGTTATAATGAAGTGGAACACAACCTTGCGTTAGGTTACAATATACTGAAATACAAATATCAACTTCTTGATAGGTTATTATAATGGTGTGTAATAGAATACTGAGGGCAACCTAGTCTAAAAAATGTTGCCACTTAGGAAAAATAAAATGAGTTGTGAGTTTCCTCTCATTGTGTGGCACACTTGTTTATCATCTAGAGCTAAACCATTATTTAAAAAAAATGCACATTGTTATTCTGGTTTGTTGGAAAAATAATAGTGTAGGTATTATTATCCATCCACCTTTTAATATCAATTATTCAATTTGAGGGAGAACACAGCACAACAGCTTTTGAAACCTATTTCTTATGAGAACTTTAAAAATCATAACTAAAACAGAAACATTATCCACAGAGTAGGCTAAATATAGGTTTTTGGATATGAGTTGAATAATAATAAAATTCTAGGTTACATTTAGTGCAATGAGAATTGTGGGCTACCTAAAATTTAATTTTAGGTATACATTTCCTAAAGTTATTTAGACACAAATTAGCTACTATTTTAGAATTGAGAAAAGTCCATTGTCAGTATTTTTGTGATCAAAAAAGGTTTTGTAATGTACAAACATTGACTATTGGATACTGAAGTAGACATCCCATCTATATGGACCAGCTGTCGCCAATTTTTTACTAAAAAAGAACGTAGTTGTGTGAGCCAGTCAGTCATAGAATGCGCTACTAGTGTCTAAAATTCTATTTTATACCTTAATTTTTGTTTCTGACCAGGTTGATAGGTCATAACAGTTGCTATAGCTCTCCATAAGTCATTCCCTAATTTTGACTCGGTAAAAAGATTTGTGTACATGACAGAATTTAGTAATTTTGATCAGCACAATCTGTAGGTGGCTCACATCAACTATGACAATTTTGATAAAAAACCTCCGGGCTACAAATTTAACATAGGAGGTACAAGTGACAAACATTAATGGAAGTAGAAAGGGATAAGGAGGGACAGAAAGAGATTGAGATGGGGAAGATGGTGTTGACTATGCCTATTGTATTTGTATTAATGTAGTGAATGTACAACTAAATAAACGGTATCAGAAATCTGACACATACTTTCTCCCATTAACTTGTCAACAACCGGTATCATAAATGGTGGAGGGAAAAAACATATGTGTGCTATTCCCGCCATATGCTGACATCACACAGATTGCAAACAAAAAATCACCTGATTGTATTGCCATATAAATTTGTTTTGATGTTGTTTTTATAACTTTTTCTAAATGGTGAAATGGGGTTTGCAATCTGGGTGATGTCAGCATATGAGGGGATATAGCACAGTTATGTTTTTTCCTTCCACCATGGTTATCATCCGGGTAAGCAGTGGGAGTAGGCCTAACTATGATATTTTACAGGGAAAATCACAAAAGTTGCAATAACTATTGAACCGTAATTTGTACAGCAATGGGGGGTGCACTATTTAAAATAAATAAGTTACAATAACTTTTGAACTGTAATTTATAGAGTAATAGGAGTTGTACTATGGTATACTTAGAGGGAGAAAGTAAGAAGAAGTCTGCTAGGTTTCAAAATTCAGTTTTAATTATATTTTCAAACTGTGTAACTTGCCAGAAATAGGCCTTACGAGGTGATCAAAAATAATATGTTTTTTTTTTAATCTGGACTAGTACATCTAGTTTCACCTAAAAAGGGTTGTCTTTAAAGGCTAATAGCTTCAATTGTAAACATCTAGGTAAAGCTAGGCAAAGCCTAATTTTTCACAAAAATACCATTAGGCTGGATTTAAATATTATTACCTGCTTGATTTTGCTTTGCATATGCAGCAGCCCGATGTTGAGCGGTAGACTTTTGGTTTGTGGAAACTAAACATCTTTATTGCACCTGAAAAGAAACATTTTGAAGTATTATCGAAGGAGAAAATCTATAAGATTAGTACAAGCTAAGAAAATATGGTAGGCTGCAGTCTAATACAGTGTAGGCCTACAACAGTTTTTTACAGAGTACCTATGTTCAATCTGTTATTCATTCACAGAAATTAAAGTAGGCTAGTACATGCAGTCACCTTTTTAGAATGTCTATAAGTTTTCTCTTTTTTTGACGCAATCTATCCAACTTTTGTTGGTCAAAGATGAAGGAATCAAGTATTCAAGTAAGTAAGTATGTATACTATTAGTAAAAGTATTAAAGTAGGGTATACCCTATTTTATTGTTAGTTAGGACTATGTTAGATATATGAGTCAGTCTGAAGAAAATGTATTATTATAAGAGATCGATGCAGACAATGCGTGCATATTCAAGTACAACATGTAAAATTGCGGTACTTGGATATTAACTTTTTAAGACAGACGCAGCCTGGGCCGTCTTGTGGGATCGACTGCAAGTAGGCTGTAGGCTTACTTAATTTGTGATTAAATTAAGTTACTGTAAAGTTTGAGCAAATTTGACTTTTCAAACGAGAAATAAATTATCAATGTTTCTCATTGATGGTGTTGAAACTTGTTAGAATTGTCTGTCGGTTTAACATTTATTCAAAGCAACCAGACGTGTAATTTGAATACCCATCCAAAACATGCAGATAAGTTAGGAAACTTGTTATTGGCCTAATAGTAAATTATAACATTTAACTTAACTTATTGCACGATAATAAGGGTAAAGTATGTCGGAATCACAAACATCAATCAGTGTGAAATAATAGTCTCCAGATTGCTAAAAATTCTCTATTCTAGGTCCAATTTCTAAAAAGTGTCCAGAGAGAATTAATAGAATTTATTCAAAATCCTTTTTACAGCTAAAGTGAATCTATCAACTGCTAATTTGATAAGTTATTAAATTATAATTAAAATAAATTAACTTATTATGGTAATGTTTAAGTTGATTGTATTTTTATGTAGCCTAATCTTATTATGTAGGGTACAATGTACACATAAGTTATAAGAAATTTGATTGTATACGGTAGCCTACGTTAAGATGATTATCATATACCAATTATGTAACTTATATAAGTTAACGTGAACTATTTCTTTGTAAAAAGGCAATGGAATAAATTATTCTTATTCTCTTACTGTCTAAGTTATGTCATGGAAGCTTGACTCTACTAGATATGTTTCCAAAATTCAAACTTGACTTTTTTAAACGTTAACTGCCACCTTGATATTCAGCCTCTTTACAGTATTGCCAAACTTTATTTGCAGAATTTCACTAATATTGTTTCTATTTACTTTTATAGGTTAATATATGATGTTTTGAATCATAATTATTATATTTAGGAATGGGGGTAGTTTTTGACCGATCGGGTCGGCACTACCATCTTTCAGCAAAAAATCACTAAAATAAATAGCTGCCGACCCGATCGGGAAACACGTCGAATAGGCCTGCTAAAGGCAATTTTACTTTGCGAAGTTGGCAATACCACACTTTCCCGCGTAAACTTGCCACAGAGGTTTTGAAGACACAGAAAAAGAAACCAGACGGGTAACTCCATACTGAAGCCCATAAGTGTAGTGCAATATAAAAATGCAAAAATGGGAATCGATTTGTCTGACCAAGTGGCATCATATAGCACTGCCGTCTGTAAATCAATGCGTTGGAACCACAAAATTGCAGAAGAACTGCTCCTTGGTACTGCCGTGGTAAATGCCTGGCTTGCTTATAAGGAGAATGTAAGTGGTACTAACGATAGAAAAAAACCGGACTCTATTACTTCATTCAGAGAAAAAATAGTGTATGCTCTCCTGGATATTCAAGATGCTGCTGTAGAACCCGTTCGAAAACTGGCCATCACTACTTACCCGAGTCTGAGACATTCGTTGGGGAAGGAAAAACCAGAAGGCGATCGAGAAAGAACTATAAATTGTGTTACAAAAGAGTGATGAATGAAGGAGGACGGTAGGCAGCAAAGAAGTTAAAAAAGGTAACAACATTCGATAAGCCTTACTTATGCAAGAACTGTTTGTTTTATGAACATTCACTGGTAGACTAATGAGACAGGAACACAAGAAGGTACCGGTAAAAACTGTAACATTGTTTTAGATTTTTTGAATCTAAGTAATTAAATATGTTTTTATTCTTTTACAAATGTATTTTTTTCAGCAGCATACTTTCAGAAACAAAAAAATTATAACAAACAATGTTTAGTTTTTGTTTATCAACTAATGTACTGAGACAATAAATAAGATTATTCTGTAGATACTTTTTTATTTCAAACCCAGCAACAACTTTAGAATAAACATTTTTTACAATTTTATCAAAATAAAAAATACCTAATAGCCTACAAGTTATTTATCAGTATTCTTAGTAATGATTACAATGATACATAAAGTAAAGCAACTTGTAAAACATTTCTTATTTTATTATTTTACACGAAATTGCCATTTTTTAATCGTTTTAAGTAATGATGAAACCATCTAAAACAGCTACGCTGACCGGATTGGGTCGTCACATTTTGACCATGTTGACAATTTTGTTTAAACCGTATGTAGAATCATCAGAAACTTCAATCAACGCTATCTAGTAGGAACGGGATATACTCTGCTGTTGCAGTACGCTTGATCACCGCTAGATGTCAGTGAGGGACATCTATCGGCCAAAAAGTGAAACCTTGCATTCCTGAGGTGTCGACCCGATCGGGTCGGTATGTCATTCCATCCGACCTGGTTATGCCGACCCGATCGGACCAGCGCGGCGGTTAACGTGTTAAAGCTTTGGATTTTAAGTAATTTTATTGGTGTTTAAGGCCTGATACAATTTCATTCCAATTTCATCTGGTTTGTGATTAAATGCAATGACTTTTAAGTGTTGGACTGCATGTGTGCCCCTTTTTGGTTGTTTATAAGGTTTAATAGCATAGATCAAAACTAATTCCAAAGCTATAAGTACTAAGCCTAGTCTTGGTTTATCATGTTAAAATACACATGTTACAATTTTGACTTGGTAGGTCACAAAATGAGTTTTTAAGCAAAACGGTGCAGTCTGTTACGATGATTTGCCATGGAAAACCATGATAGGTCTTGAACATGAAACATTTAAAGGGAAGTAGGCTTAGTAACTTAGCCTAGGCTACATAGACAACTTAAATAAAATCTTAACAATGTTAAAAATCGTGATATTTAGACCTTATTTAAGTTAGCTGTTGATTATTTATTAGGCTATATCTAACATCGCTAACTAATTTAAGTTAGCCTAGTAAGTTAGAGACAGAATCATTAAAATTGAGAGTTGTTATTAGCCTAGGCCTATTTTACATTTTAGGTAAGAAGTTTAATTAGGTTAAAATAAGTTCGGTGGGCCTAAACTGTTAGACTACATTATACATTTAAAACTTTGGAAGATAGGCTTTTTACTTATATGTGATGTTTTGACTCTAAATTTTAAAGGTTCTTCAAAAGATGAAGAATGGTTTTAGCGTCCTCAAGTTAACGTACTTACCTAACTTAAGTTAGGACCTAGCTTAAAAATGAAAAATAGTCTCGACCAATAGGCAGCTAACTTATAATTATGTAAGCTAAATTTTGTAAAGTTGGTGTAACAGTTCCAAGGAATTAGATGAGGCCGAGAAGGTGTCAGTAAGCCAGTTAAATTAAAGTTGAGTCAATAAACTAAAGTTAAGTTATCATACCTCATAACTAAGTTTAAGTTAACTTAGGCTAAAATGCAAGTAGTTTACTTATTGCTTTCTAAGTTAGGTAGGTAGGTACGTAAAATATATATTTTTTAATTTAGTTGGCCACTATACAGGAATCTAACTTCAACTTAAGTTATAGCCTTAAGTTATAACTTAAGTTAACTTAAGTTATTAGTTATGGCATATATTGACCCATAATACTCAAACTCAGACATCTTTATTTTTAACAGTAGCCTACAAACTGCATAACTTAATTGTCAACAAATATTCTCCACAAATAAAAACAACTAGTTCTTATAGACAAAATCTTAAACTAAAAGATGCAAGACTGTTTAAAGTAGGTCACCCATAAATCTAATGACAAGCCACTTGGTATGAAAATAGCTCCCAGAAAATTTTATGAAAAAGACAAAGACAATGGTTTATTTATGCAAGTAAGTTATGTTACAGTATAATGGTTTGCTTCAATCATAATAACAAAATGATTGTGAGTGATTATTATAAAAAACTTTGGGTGAGTTATTAGAGGAATTGGATTTCTGTAATTTTGTCAAATATGAAGGGTAGGGTAACTTAAGTTAGCCTACTACTATACTACTTGGTCGGCTTAAAGACCATTAAGCAACAATTATTATTGTCCGTTTCTTAACCCCTAAACTGTCAATATAATATTTATTTCTGAATAGCAAAAGCTATACATGAAAACTACAAAATGTAACCATATTAATTGACCTTAAACTTTGACTAAGTTACTTAATTTCTCCCATGATGCACGATGGCATTCATAGCCAAGCCGTGCGTACACTGATTCAAAGGGTGAAAAGAGCCCAAAACGCTTTATGAAAACAGCGAACATCGAAGATTGATAATTCATCAAAGAACCATATGGGAAAAGTCTTCAGTGTGTAATTATAATAGGAAAAGTTGTTTAACGTTACAACGTTTGAAAAGTACCGAATTTATGAAACTTAAAGCCGTTTATTTTTCAACGCCAAGGTCGGTTAGCAACCATAGAAAACATAGTTTTCTTGACAGATTAACACGAATGATACATCAGATATATGTACATCAACTGTTTAAACCTACTTTATATGAAAATGATAAGTTACTTTACTTACCTTTTTTTATTTAAGAAAGTAATAAATTAATGACAGTCACACAACACTGACAATCAACCCCTACCCAGGCTTTCTTCCAGTCCAGGCCAGCCAACCAAACCACAAAACAAACGCTTCTTTTAGCTAAAATAAACTCAGCAGATTGACCAAACTACAAAACTATATTTTCCTCCTTACTTCATCATACTGTAAGAAAGTGCATCTCTACTTAAACTATATGCTGTAAGAATTGCGTAAGTGAAATCTTAGATGTGAAATGTAAAATTGAATTTGAATTATAAAACTCATGAAAACTATCATTTTCACGAATTATTTAATCATGGAGTGCGACCGTTCCACGAATACTATTACTAAAATCTATGGAGGTGGTACTCTTATTGCGATACGCAATGATATTCCGAGCAGTGCATTAACCCCAACTACATGCTCGGCTGAATGCGTTTTTGCCTCTATTAATCTTCCCGGCTCTACACTTGTCTTTTGCTTCGTCTACATTCCTCCAAACCATCCATCCCGTGCTTATTTCAATTTCTCCAATTCATTTGATGAAGTGATGTCATCTGTTAGCACCTGGGATAACATACTGTAGCTCGGTTACTTCAATCTTCCACATACTGATTGGTCGGTCAAGTGATGACGACAACCCTACATCAATCTCTCCTCGATATTTGAATGACCTTGCTTCAGCTTATGGACTTAGACAAATCAACTCAGTCCCGTAATCTCCGTGGGGTGTGACTTGATCTGTTTTTCTCTTCCCTTCAAGACTAATGCAACTCGGGCTGAGGACGCTCTTCTTCACGAGGACATGCATCATCCTGATCTTTCTGTTTCATTTACATAACATAATTCTTACTCTCGCCAGCCTCCTAAGTTTGTATTGGACTTTCGGAATTGCATGTGATCTAGATGGAATCTTTCTTTCAATCCAAAACTTAACTTATCCGCTGAAATTTGATCAATTAAACCCAAATGACAACTTCTCTGGACATGACATCTTGTAAAACAGTTAACCCATCTAAAAAAGATCAGAAGTACGACCTTTCCTAGATGGTTTTCTGCTGAGCCGAGAAAACTTATCATTAAAAAGAAAATTGCCCACAAATCGTACAAAGGTTCCAACTGTTACTCTGGTCTGATGCAATTTAGAACACTTAGAAGGAAATGCAAGGGCCTCGTCAGAATATGTCAGGATAACTACTTGAGAAAAGTTGAAGAGGACATACCAACAAATATTAAATCCTTCTGGTCACATACGTATCAATAATCTCAAATCTAGCCCTGCTATTCCTCCAACCTTATCTTTTGAAAATACTGTAGCTGTGGACCCTTTGGATAAATGTGAAGCCTTCGCCAATTAATTTTCTTCTGTCTTCAGCAATGATGTGCTGCCTATTCCTACTTATGGCTATGATGGAGCTAGTATTTCTAAGTACATCGTAACTGTAAATGATGTTTTTCAGAAACTAATGACCCTCAACCCCAACAAAAGTGCTGGCCCTGACAATATACCGCCTAGTTCTCAAATATTGTGCTCCTGTTCTTGCTCCCCACCTAGTGGTTTATTTCAATATCATGATTAGACAGGGTAACTTCCCCGACTCTCTTAAAGAAGGCTTTGTTGTCCCCATTTTCAAGTCCGGAGACAGATCGAATGTTATAAACTATAGACCTATTGTTATTCAGTCTACACTATGGCAAAGGTTTTTGAGAGCTTACTTCTCGACTTCCTCTACTTCCACTTGAAGAAATACATAGTCGATGAGCAGCATGGGTTTCTTCACGGACGATCTACAGTCTCCAACCTTCTTATGTATTCCAAGAGTTCACTATGGCCGCCCTTTCCGCATCGAACCAAAGTCGATTGGGTCTACTTGGAGTTTTCAAAAGCCTTTGACAAATTCAACCATCGTTGTTTAGTTGCCAAGCTCTCTGGTTATGGAGTCGGTGGAGCCCTGCTGGGACTACTAGAAAGCTATACCTTACTGGAACAGCTAATGGTTAAATGTGATTTCTTTTTAATCTGTTTATAAACGATATTGGCAAGATTATACAACTTTTTGTGGAGGTTCGTTCTGTGTTGGATCAAGATAATCTTCAGAGATCCCTAAATAGCATCAGTGACTGGTGCATGAATAACGGCATGAATCTTAACACTGCAAAATGCCAAGTTATGTCTCTCAAGTGTGGGATTAGAATCCTCAGCTATGACTACTGTTTAAATCGTGTTATTCTACCCAAAGTGGACAGGGTTAAGGATTTGAGCATCATTATTACGAAAAATCTCAGTCTGTTTTAACACCTTGCTCATATAACGGCCAGGGCTAACTCGCTCTCAGGATTCATACACAGATCTACCAAGAACTTCGTCAAGTAACAATTACACAAGTGATCCTGTGTATAAGTCGTTGGTCCACCCCATCTTGGAATACGGGTCTGTTATATGGTCTCCATATCAAGTTGGTCAAATCCAGATGCTTGCAATTAAGAACTCAGGATCGGTTCATTAGGATGCTTGGACCCACACTCGGCTTCGGATACTAGGACACACCTGTTCGTGAGCTTGAGGTGCAACTTTATATCCTACCACTGCATATAAGACTATGACCTTTGATGCTATTTTCCTTTTCAAACTGATCAATGCACATATAAACTGTCCTGAACTTCTCCGCAATATTGATCTTGTTGTGCCCAGAGGAACACGTTCCAGAACTCCTTTCCGGCGACACTATCAACCAACACTTTTTGCATACTACAGTGGCCAATGCAGATTGCAGCGAACCGGAAGTCAGATTGGTGCGCGGGTCAACTTCTTCTCCGGTGCAACTGCTTCGTTCAAAAAAAAGAGTCGCTGTTGTGCTATATGAGGGAAATTGGTGAAAGTTCCTATTTTGGTGGTGCCATTAATAGGCCACAAAATTTAAGATTATGAATGTACAGTATTACAAATTAATCTGTGCTGGTTATTTACTTTTTTGTTTTGCGTTGCCTTGAAGTTCTTGAAGGCTTCGATTTCTGATGCGCATTAACAGTCGGCGCCTGGCAGGGAAATGAGTGAACGCGCCGAGCCAGTCTGTGTTTTGTTCGTTTCCAATGTATAAGCTCTACATATTTTTTTCAAGAAACTAATTACAGTTATATATAACGAAAATATCTAAGTACAAAAATCATTATTTTTATTTCATTCGCTGTACCCTAGAACTGTATTTTTAATACTGTAGGCCTAATTACGTGTCTATTAGGCATTTCTAGGCTATTTTTGAACATCCGAACAAATCAGTAATTTGAACTACCTACCGGTCTTCATGCAGGAACGACTTAACCTATTTATGCTAATTGCCTTTATATATTCTATCACTTGTTACTTACTTTGTTATTTTTGTTGTTGAATCTATATATTGATTGTTTCATATTTTCTGCAAAAACCCAGACCTACTTGTTGCAAACATCCATATATTCAATGTTCAGATATGGCTTTATTTATTTGTTATTTATTTTATTAGCGATGTTAAAAAATATTAGTAAATGTGAAGATAGAGGGACTATTACATTTTTTGTCAAATTAAACAAAAATCCTACATAAAAAAGAAATAGTCATTAAAAGCACCTAGTTTTCGTAGTGAGTCGGTGGCTCAGTCGGTAGCGTCGCGGACTTCGGGCCCAAGGCATCGATGTCGTGGGTTCGGATCCTGATCACTGTCGAAAACATTTTATCAGTGCACTTTTTTACTTTGTACTGTACTGGCTCACTCATTGCTTTGCTATACGATCCACGCACGAACGGTTAGTCTATGCGGACGGGCAAATGCAAAGTTAAAAGAGGCCACCAACCTCTTAAAAAAAAGTTTCAAAAGGATAATGTAAAATCGTTCATATGGACAACGTTATTAATCTAAAGTTACTATTTTATTATTACCATTTATATACTAGTTATTATTTAGATCATAAATCTAGGTTTATTGTTACTGTGTCTGGCAAAGTTTATTATAATAAACTCAGTTTTAAAAATAAAATATTTACTATTGTTATCTTTATATAAGTTTTTATACATATTCTTTGTTCTTGTTATAGAATCAGAATCGTTTATTTCCATAATAATACAAAAAGGTACAGGGCAAAAGTCACTAAAACTAAACGAATAAAATCAGACCCATAAAAATAAAGATACAAACTTCAAGAGGTACATAAGTTACTATTTACATTTTAAAAACGAAGAAATACTGTAAAACTCCTTATCAACTAAATATTCCCTCAAACCATGTTTAATTTATATATATATATATATATATATATATATATTGTTGCTGGATATTTTTGTAAAAATGTATTAATTTGTTATAATGTACAGTATTTGAGAGAAATACGTTTATGTCTACAGTCTATAACATTGGAGATGTCCGTTGATAAGTAAAATTAAATAAAGATGTAAGACTCTATGCCATGTGTAGTGTAGGTTGCTAATCTTACTAACTCATTGTGGAAAGGTGATCTTTTGTATGCAATCTGAGTGACGTTAGAATATGACGGGAATAGCCACGGCCGACTTTAACTCCAGGGGCCCATTTCATAATAAACTACAAGTTACAAATTACAACTTGTAAACTTGTAATTTCCATTAGATTTGCATTGGGCGATCAGCTGATTTACTAATAATATTAGTTTGTACTTTATTATGAAATGGGCCCCAGGCCGCGGCCTTTGAAGTGGCAACGTCGCAAGTGGTGTTGTAACAGCGGTTTTGTTTGGAAGCAGCTAATGGTATTTGTGTATTTACGAAAGATTGGTTACTGGACTATGACAATATTGACTCCCCTTAAAAATGTTCAGATAAAGATTTTTAATTCATATTGTTTCTGTTTTCAATTCTGTATGTTTTATTTTCAATAATTTAACAAATTTATGTTCATAACTTTAAATTTAAATCAATAAAGTGCGAATTAATGAGCTGCTGTCACCTGTCTGCCATGTTATCTTATGGGACGTCTGACACTAAACAACACCACTTGCGACGTTGCCAATTCTACCAGGCCGCGGCCTAGTTAAAGGTGGCCGTGGAATAGCACACCTATGTATTTTCGTTCCGCAATGTTACAACTCGTACTGGAGCACTTTGATACATTCAGGAGCAGTGTGCTAGGAAAGCCCTAACAATTTGATATCGCACGGAGTAGACGGAGAGCAAATTGCTATTATCTTGTACTGGTCCTCTAGGCTCTTTCCAGACATGTATAGTATATGTTTAAAACCAAAGAGGGAAGCGCGGAAGCGCCCTACCAAACTGATATATTTTAACTGTGCGATTTACTAAAAATAGGAAACAATGTGTTGATTTCAGATACTACTGAAAAAGATTTCTTGTTTCATAGATTGAATATTAATCTATGGTTCTATAGTATTCTCACAGCATTTGTAATCAATGGTCCCAATTCGATATCCAAATCTAGAGCTCAGTAATGGTAAGTCAATTTTTCCCCTTAACAGCTAGAAAATGTCCACTCTGCTAACTGCTTAAAATGAGGATAACCGATAACAAAGATAAAATCCTAAGGGAGTATGTTTTATCTATGATAAAACCATAGACTAACCAACCCATGTTTTATCTATGATAAAACATACCGATAACGATAACATAGGAAAATAAAGAGGTATACATAGAGAACCAGAGAGGATAGAACAACGGACATTATTGCTACTGCTATGTAATTCTAAAATAGACCGCTCCCCTCCCAGACTCCCGAGTTATTAGGCCTAGTTCTCGTTTTCGTTTTCAGCAGTCAAGGAACGTATGGCGTGTAGTAGAAATGTCAATGGAGGCTCGTTCTAGTTCAGCTCTTTTTAAAAGGGCCGAACAGTTAAGGCGATGGGAAGAATCAGAAACTAATCGTGAATCTACTGTTGTTCCTGAAAAGTCCAGAAAAATTAAGTTTTCCGCGGATTGTGTGTTTTTAGCTGCATGTGCAGCAGGTGACAAGGAGGAGGTTTTACGTTTGCTGGAACAAGGAGCTGTGATTGACACAGTAAACGTTGATGGATTATCTGCTTTACACCAGGTATGTCTATGTCAAATTATTTTATAATTATAATATTTACACAGGCCACATCCTTTTTTGATACAGTTCTTAGGTTTTGGTCGTTTGAAACTAACTAGCCTATTTAAGTTAGTAACGGGAGAAAACTCGTTCAAGGTTTTAAGTGTCAAATTTGGTTTAGGAGAGCCAAGCCTATCGCTGAGTTAGGATCAGCCTAATTTATATAGTTGTCTGATTGTTTAGACGCAAATATTTAAAATACTCATTTTCAGTGTTTTTACCTTTATGGCCACACATAAGTTTAACTTAGTCCTATTTTGAATGTTATTAAGTAGGCCTAAGTTAAAGCAGATGCCCTTGGTAGGCCTAGCCCAGTTTATGTAGTTAGTTATAAGGGCTATGGGCTTAACTTACCACCTTGGTTTATTTTAATTGGTAAATATTTACCCTAGGCCTACTTACACTGGGATATGATGTAGCCTAGCCTAATTTTGATATGTCTACTTACAGTATTTTTAACGCTGAATCCAAAAATGCAATCAGTTTTGGTCGGAGAGATTCCTAAGTGGCCGTACAGTTAAATAATTAATATTAAGCTTAAGATTTGTTGATTTATTAACATATTTGTGGTATGGACGAGTCCAAGTTCTAGTGGCGACTAAGTTAACACTAAAAGGGGTGGAAGGTTTGTGGAGTGGAAACAGGCTGTCAGTTGTTTACATTCGATACTAAATAGACAAAACCACACACGACGCCCTGAGAGTAAAATCAGAGTTACAATATGCAATAACTAGATTTTTAAAAGAAAATGGACTTTGGTGCTGTTTAGAAAATACAACAAATCAACTACGATACATAAACTATTAATCACATCAACTTAAATTATAAAACAAAATAGAATTAATTCATGTAAAATATCAGTAATAGGTATTTTTTTAGGATTCGTGATAGAAGCTAGGCCACTGCCGACATGGTCCTCATTCCAATCCTCAACCATTGACTAATGCCTCAACGTCTGTTAATGAACGTGCCATACTTAGTGCATAATCCCATAGTACCGGTACATAATCCCATTGTGTCTAAAAGTGAAAACGTGCCACAGTGCATAATTTAATGTATCAGCAAAGAATAAATTATATTACATAATCTAATCTAATCTAGGCCTAATCTAACCTATCCCAACCCAACCTTTTAATGTTTAAATCGCATTTTATGTCAGAAAAGGCTTGTGAGGAAGATAAGTCGGACTTTATGCGGATTCGTGACTGTATTAAGTACTTCCAGACTGTTTTTTTTGCACAATTAAATAGTGGGTGAAACACAATGGAATAACAATATCAAAAATGCTTCAAGCGCTAACCTTTACCTTCCTAATCTAACCTCACTTCAATTAATACAGTCACGAATCCGCCCTACCTTCCTCACATGCCTAAATAAGAACTGATTATTTGGTTTCAAAACGAATTGATTTGATTTCATTCCGCATTAGATCAAGTATACAGTTGTTTGATTTTCTCACTCAGTCCTCACTCCTCACTCAGTACGGACCCGTCTATACCACGCCATATTACCATTACCTTCAGTACCGTACCGCTCAATTATCCTTAGATTCGTAATCCTAACCTTCGTTTTACGGCCACTTGGGAATCTCTCCGACAAAAACTGATTGCATTTTTGGATTCAGCGTTAAAAATACTGTAAGTAGACATATAAAAATTACATCATATCCCAGTGTAAATACAGTAAATAGGCCTATTTGCCAATTAATTAATTGAAATGTAAGTCTTAACACAAGCTGCCATCTGTAGGCCTAACTTAGACAGCCTTGGTTAGCCACATCCAATGGTTAGGCTTAATGCAATTTAATAAACTTAACCATTTTGTAACCATCTGTACCGTTGGTTATGATGTGCCGGTGGATAAAAATAGTCTAATACACAGTCCCTTCAAATTTGTAGTTAGGTAAATTTGTAGGTTTGGGTACTTAGGCCTATACCTAGGCCTATTTACAGTTCCACAGAGAACCTACGATATTAGCCTAAAATATATTTTTAAGTTAGGTAAGTTACTGAGCTTGGAATTAACTGAAATATTATTTTGATATTGATTCAAATCAATTTAACTTAGTTAAATATTGAATGTAGGCCTAAATATGGATTTTCTCCTGGACTTTTCTTGTAGAGAAAGATTAACTTAACATCAACCACGTTTTTACAGTGGACTGGGGTGTTTAAGGCCCAATTACCAAATTCTCGCTAACGATGATATAGTTAATCTTCGGTTAAAACTAACCGATGATTTAAACCACAGTTAAGGAAACCTGGTTTCACCAACGAAAATGTGTCAAAACTAACGCTGGTTTTATAAACAAGAGTTTAGGGTAAAATCCAGGTGGCTGTGGCAGTGAACTGTCATAATACCGGGCTGTTATGGCCATGGGAGCAAGTAAACATAACCTAGAAAATAAATCGGTGTTAATGAGGTAGTGGAAAACAAAACTGGAGACAGCAAGCTTACAGGAATACAATAGATTCTGAGCAAAAAGAACAAAATGTCAACATAAAGCAAGAAAAAATAGCAAAACAATTAACATAAGTAAATAAAGGCAAAGCAATGTTGATCAAACAAATTCAATTGAGGAACTAATTGATTGAGTTTTGCGGTCGAATCAAGACTTAAAATCTAACAGGGATGTTCAATATTCTGTTTGTTAACTAACCACTTTGCCTGTCAGTTCATAGGCAGCGCCACCAGCGTTGCCATGCACTCAGCATAGCAACGCTGGTGGCGCTGCCTACAAATTGACAGGCGAAGTTCTCTCAAAGTACTTAACGCTTTTTACTATGCGGTTGGCATTCTGGGTTATAGTAGTATGTTTTCTGTGGTTACGGTACAGTAATTGAAGTAGGGAAACATTATGTGAAATGGTAAAAATCTCTGTGGAACTTTACCATGATTTTAATAATTTTTAAAAATTTTTAATGGTCTAGTAAATTTAGAGTTTCAAATCTAGACTAAGCCTATAGGCCTACCGGTGATATAAACTTATATCAGCGCTCTCCAAAATTGATAAAAGATGAAGGATGTTCTGTTGGCCTTATTTTGTAGTCGGTAGCTTGTCTGACATTCATGAACGACATGCCAATAATAGGCTATAGGGCCTACCGGTTAGTAGTAGATGGTACTGTCTGACACTGAACTTAAGTTATATTATATCTAAATTAAATATAAATCATAGGCTACCGGTATCCGAATTTGAATTTAATCCCCACAGGTTTTAAATCTTAAATTGTTATACCGTATACTGTACCGGTAAGTTAAGTTGCTACAGGACCTCGATATCTCAAACCTTGGTATCTCGAATACATTGACATCTCAAAGTTTTCATAATATCCTTGAAACCTCGGTAAATCAATGTGTGATATATGCCTTCAGCCCTTCAATTATTATAAGTCAAATGTTTTAATTATATAAAACCTTGATAGCCTAAAAAAAAGGAAAACAGGTCATGCTGCAGGATCCATGTCGTCACACTTGTGCATAGACTCACTACCATATATCCCATATGTTTTAGGTAAATAAGCTGGCTTTTTACATCTGGCGGCAACTTTAGTAACAATCCAGCAAACTGTGACGTAGTGTTGCACTGCCCATTTTTTTTCTAGTGAGGCATTGATCAAATACTTAAAGTTCTTACTGTATACTTTGCAAGTAAGCTGTTTTCAAATTCTTGTTGGGATGTGGAAATCCATCTTATTTGTTTGTTTTTTTTTTTTTTTTTTGCTAGTTAAGCTTGGTGTCAACCTAGCAACCCAGCAGGTGGCATGGCGCGGAGAAAAAATTCCTTTAGCTTCTCCCGGGGTTGCGCCCACCTGACAACTCTAGCGGAAGCGTGGGGCGGTGCGGGCATACTTTATCCAGTTCAGCCACAGTACAGAGTGCCTACGAGACTGTATGTTCCTCGGAGTGAAATTTTGTGTATAATGACTGAGTCGAGCTCAGATGAAGAAGATGTTTTCTTAATTTGCTTGCTCCAATCAGAGGAAGAAGAGAAACGTCAGAGGCGCTTTTGGGAGCATGAAATAATTAGATAAGACACGAATACAGAGAATTTCATCAACTGTTTAGTGACCTTTAGAGGACTGGTGTTACCAATACAAAACCAGACGACACTAGTCAACAAAACTTCACTGCCACGTGCCGGGTTGCTAGCGACACTAGAGTGGACTTCGGACCCGAACACGCCCGAAGGGCTCACAGCACTTTCCGAAAACACCCAGACGAGGGGCAGACGCCTTTTCCGCGCCTCTGCCCCGCGCCCACCTGGCAACTCTATGGAGGCGCGGTAACACGAGAGGAAGAACTTCTCTACCGAATTCTCACTGCTGGATTCAAAGAGAAGTTTTTTTCTGCGCCATATCAAATTTGTGTAGGCCTACTTTATTTTTAACGTTTAACATGAAACAGCCACATTGACTAAATAATTAACGATTCAAGATTAATTGGAAAACATCTGCTTTGTTTTTTATTTCAAAACGATCTAGATGTATTCTACACTTTCTTTATTTTAAATTTGAGATTTATAGTCGATTTTAATCAGTATTTTGTATGAAGTGGAATAACCTCAACGACTACCTACCTACTCTTAGAAAATAACCTAGGAATAAAGATGGATTAGGTTCGTACAGAAAATATACAGGGTGTCCCGGAACTCTCTACCAATATTTTAGGGCATTGCTTCTGGGTAAGAAACATACCTAAATATCATATTTAAATTGTCCGGAAGTCCTTAGTTACTCACACAGCCGCCATTTTGTTTTTTTCAGTTATTAATTTTTTTCTAAAGAATGGTTGAACATACGAAATGGAAACTTTGCACAAACATTTATGACAGCTAGACAAAGCTACGAAAAAATTATAACGATTTTTCAAATTCATAAAACAAAATGGCGGCCATTTAAAATTTTTATAAAATCAACGGTTTTTGAGTTATTTAAGAAACACAATTTTAAATAGCAGCC